TTAAAAGTAAAGAAGAGTACGGAAGATTTACAGAAAGCATCTAGGGCTTGACCTCACCAAAATTATCATCGATTGTCATTTCCCAGCCGTCTTTGATGCCGTTTTTTTTTCGATCGTATGGCCTCTCTACCCCCTTATTTGAATATGGTATCTCCAAAACCCGCGACAAAACCTATAAAATGGTTTTAAAATATTCAATGTTCCATTTAAATATAGGTATCTTATAAAATCGTTCTTGCATGGTTCTTTACCATATCTAACAGTTTCTCGCTAGCAGACTTCGTTCTCAAATATAATGCAATAACTAAATCTAAAAAATCTCTTTATTGGTGTAATTTAGAATCTTTGTTTATTAAAGACAGGATGCACGCAAAGTGATAAGTTAAATCCAAAAAGCTCCCCTTATAATAATAGACAACGAATCTAAATGCCTCTTATCGTATAATTGTTACAAAAATAATAAAAATATAACAATAACATAAACCTTAAATGTAAATATTGATTTTTCGAAATGTAAGTCAGGATCACAATGCATGTTACTTTCATTGTAATAATTGTTGTCGGAAAGTTGAATGAATGAGTAATTGGCATTACAATTCTTTTTAGTGAATCGAATCACACGATTCAGTTTCTCATATTGAATTTACTCCTACGATTCGTTCATTTGAACGAACCACATGCACAATTTACGTTTCATAAAAACAAGAATAGTAACTGGCACTAACGGCGATAATTTGGTAGGACAATTATTGCTTAAGAGACCAGAAAAAGAAATATACAGTTCTTTCATTTGTTTGGTTTGGTTTGAATACTAATAATTAACTATAATAATTAATAATTAATGAAAACTATAATTTGTTTTTTCAATACTTTGACACTGGCGTAATTGGATTGATTATTTTATCCAATAATATTAAATTATCAATATTACTATATAATACCGCATGATCGAGAAAAAATGGCGTCCAGTTGGCTTAGAAATGAACATCGATGATATTCCCCATATAATTTTACATATAACATGACAGTGATCTTGATTTTATAACCACCGCTGATGCCATTTTTTTATCACATTGAGCAGAGGCCAAGAATATTTATTTGGAGTTGCATAAAAACACGATTTCATCTTTTAGTCCGACATTTAATAGTCGGTAATATTATTTTAACAAAAATATTAACCTGAAAAATGAATACCTTACAGATACTCCCCTACTAAGCACAGTATAAATAAGTTTTTTCTTGTAAGTATCTTTCTTGTCGTTTGCATTTAATGCACATGATGTTTGTTTAGGGCTTTTGTGCAAGTCTAAATATTGGTGCCTGCATGTATGCCTATATCACCGCTGGCGCATGGCGCCGCGCCGTAGAAACGAACGATCGCATTGTGATCCGATTCAATTCTCACGATTCTTTTTTACGGCTCATTTTTCAAATCTTATGGATCCGTGCTGGCCACGATTCACGATTCAATTGAACAACCGTATTGTAAGCAATGAATCAATTATCACGACACTTTGAACGCACGATCGCATTGTGATCCGATTCAATTCTCACGATTCTTTTTTATGGCTCATCGGTCAAATGTTATGGATCCGCTGGCCATGATTCAATTGAACAAAAGCAAGCAATGAATCGAATCTTACGATTCATTTTTAATATACGTTCAAGTGAACGATTCGTTCAATCTTTGCCCACCTTTATCAGTTTTGATCAAGTTTGTCAGTTTTGACGTAGAGAATTTATACACCAACGTCCCTTTAGAGGACTCGTTAGACATTGTCGAGGCTAGATTGAGGGATGACGTAACGTTTTCCGAAAGGACTTCGCTGCCTCTTGGGGGAGTTATGGAGCTCTTGAGGTACTGTCTGCATAATTCTTATTTTCAAGTTAAAGAAAAGTTTTATGCTCAAAATGATGGTTTACCTATGGGTTCCCCGCTCTCTCCAGTGATAGCGAATATATACAGAGAAGACCACGCTACTAGTAACATAGCAAGTTGCCGGACGAATTTTCGTTTACCCGTTTTGCGTTCGTACTCGAGATTCACTGCCGGCTAGTCGGCTGGTCAGGCAGTACGCAGTTGCAGTTGTGTTTGGACGGGTCGGTCATGACAGACTAGGAATACGACTCGAGGAGTGCCGAGTATTTATTATTTTAATTTTAAGTATTTACCTTCACTTAAGGTAACATTTAAAATAAAAATACTTAAATATTTTTTTTGGAAGTGTGTTTACAAGCCAAAACTAACAATAAATAAATTCTCTAAACCCAAAAAAAAATAAATATTACTCTAAATAAAAAAAAGTTATAACAAGTGTTCAAAAAGACCATCTTCTTGTGCTAGACAGAAGCCTAGGCGGTCGTAAAATCCCCGTCTGACATTGGCTAACATATTATAGGGCTAATAGTTTGGAAAGCCTCTCGTATTTTTACTTGAAGCTCATCCAGATTATTAGCCCTATTATGACCATACACTTTGGATTTTACAAAACCCCACAAAAATAAGTCATTGGGAGAAAGATCTGGTGATCTAGCGGGCCACAAAATAGTTCCATATCCACTAATTAGACGGTTGGGAAAAGTATTGTTCAAATATTCATGAACAATACGGGCATTGTGGGCAGGACAACCGCCTCAGCAATTTGATTACTTGAAAACGTGGGATTTTGATCCGCGGTAGCACAAATGAACACTTGCTTTAACTCCTGTTCTTCATTAATCAACACATCAGGCTTCATTAATCAACACATCAAGCTTTTTTTGTTTTTGTGGGAACACGCACCCATGTCTTTCAAAATGATTAATAACTCTTGATACAGTAAGTAAAGATAGAATTGGCCTGTCTACAAAAGTTTGTGGAAAAATTGTTTGTATATCCCGATAAGACCTATTTTGGAAATACCATTTTACAATTTGAATTTTCTCACGAACTTCGTAAACATCCATTACTTTACTTAAAAAATAAATTTTACACGAGAACTGTCGCTAGAATCTATGTATTCGTTTTGGCTATTAAAACACGAATAAATGCGAATTCTGAAACATTCTTATCACATATCTACCTATTTTTATTTTATCGCATTTTTTCGCCTGCTTTTTATCCGGCGGACGGGTATACGCTAATTCGTCCGGTTCTGCCTATGTTACTACTACGGTGGTCCGGTCTGTATATGAATGGTTTGAGACCAATGCCATTAGTACCGCGGTCGTCAAACCCAAAATCTGGCTTCGATATGTTGATGATACCTTTATAATCTGGAACGGAACCGATAGACAGTTGGATTCCTTTCTTAATCATCTTAATTCACGAAATAACTCAATCAGATTCTCGATTGAGAAAGAGAAAAACTTCTGTCTGCCGTTTCTGGATGTTCCTGTAAGTAGAAGCGATGGTTTCATTAGCACTTCTGTATACAGAAAACCAACACATACAGGACAATATTTAAATTCTCAGTCGAACCATTCTGAAGCAACCAAAAGAGGTATAATTAAAACACTATGTCATAGAGCAATCAGTATATGCAGTGACCAAGAATCTCTGAATTCTGAACTAAATAATATTAAAACCGATTTGCTTCAGAATGGTTACTCTGCAAAATCACTAGACAATATTATATCCAATTGCAGGTCCGGTTCATTGGTACGCCAGCCTGAGGAGGATGCTCTCTCTCTCTTGACGATTCCATATGTGAAAGGAACATCGGAGAAGATCAGGCGAATAGCTAAGCAATATAAAATTAAAAACTGTTTTTAAGTCTGGGACTACTCTAAGAAGTGTCCTAACAAAAACAAAACCTGAATCATCAAACCAAGAGAAAGAGTGCATCTACCAGGTACCTTGCGAGTGCGGTGAGTCGTACATTGGAGAGACAAAACGTCCTCTAGATGTGCGACTTGACGAACATAAAAAACATACGCAAAGAGGTGAAACAATGAAGTCGGGTATTGCAGATCATGTGTGGTTCAAGCAGGGTTGTCCACAAAGAACCCCATTGGAAAAAGCGCAAATTTAAAAAGAGGCCGTATTCATTTCTAACAATGATAAAATCTTTAGCAATCCTAGTATGAAAATTTCAACAATATTAGCAACCACTTATAAAACGCTGCAATGCAGGTGTACTTAGTGGAAAACCGCATGTTTGACTGCACCCAACAAATTCACGGGTGAATGCTCGGCTCTAGTATATAAGCTCAGTAGTTTTAGGATTTAGTTTAGTTCACACTTGATAACGGTCAGTGATACTTCTGACTGAAACGTTGTGTAAGCAAAAATAAATAAAGACAATGCAAGTCCGAAACTCTTTTAGTTTTAATACTGAATCATTGTCTACCACATTCAAAGTAACCTTTAATAGTGTTCCTCATCTATGACACATGAGTATATACATATGTGTATAATGCCGTTGATGTAAATTAAATTTAAATAAATTTGTCCTTATGTTTCTGATCCACCACATCTGTCTTCTGCCTGGACCTGACCTCCCTTCAATTTCACCTTTGATGATAAGGTGGTATGGTAGAAGCCGTGTCGTCAGAGCTGCAAGCTCACAGAAAACTTAAGTCTTTTTTTGACTTAAATCATTTGATTTTATATTTCGAAAGCTTTCGACTTAAGACTTAAACTGTAAGTCATTTTCAAATTGACTTGTGATTTAAGTCTTTTAAAAGATTTAACTCTTGATATTGATTTTCTTGAGTTTTAACTCACTTCTAATATTAGAAGCTCTCTCTTGGTTCATGCGATGTAATACGAGTCATTTAGCATGTGTTCCGTTCATGGTATCTTGAGTATTCAACGAAATACCCACATTTTCAAGGCTTCGATCTTCCTCATTGTAGTCTCTTTCCCTCTATCCTGGTTTTAACCTCTACGTCCTGATCCAAATCCTCAATGATCAAACATTCAAGATACCTGAATTTAACTACTTCTATGTCATATAACTAAAAAATTAGAATTATAAAATATGTAAATTCATACCTTAGAATTAAATTTTATGTAGATCAAAGTTACTGGACCCAGCTAGGGAAAGATGAACTTGCAGCAGCTCTCAAGAAGAAAACCAATGCCGGCGTTGCAAAAAATGTCATTGTGTTTGTGGGAGATGGCATGGGTCTGACAACAATAACCACGTCCAGGATATACGGAAAGACAGAAAAAGGATATCTGGCATGGGAGAAATTTCAAAACTTAGGAGTATTGAAGGTATATTATTAACATATTCCTCTGTTAAAGATTTTTTTGATAATTAAACTAAATTACTAAAATATTATATTATCTTGGTATCTTTGAAGACTTGAAAGAGTCTACAGCAAAACCAAGACCAAGATCAAGAGTCTTGATCTTGCACTTGATCGTCAGTATATGTATATATCGTATTGTCTCATTAAACCGGTATTCCTTCAACCGTTCAACCATATTAATTAGTAATTCGGTGTTGATGTCTTCACTTTAATTTAATTTATAGATATTCTTTGCTTTTTTATTACTTTACTTTATAAATAGAGAAGAACCTCTGTGAAACAGATCGGGGAAGTTTAGTTAGAATTATAAAATACGATCCTGCTTGGGCTGCTACAATCCTGCTTCAAATCCCAACCCAGCAACACCTACCAATTTTGAGCTATAGTTACTTTTATTTTGGTTGCTCACTTCCCGGTTGGCAACACATGAGAAGCAAAATCGCTAAAACTGGTTCCTACTTGCGCTGCTATACCCCTGTAATCCTCCAAATTTCATCCCAGCACCACTTGCTGTTTTTAAGATACAGCAAGTTTAATACACGCATAAATTTGAAAAATTTGTGACGTCACATCAGAGGGAGGAGGTTCTAAAAATGTGACGACCTGTGACAAGGACAGGGGGAGGGGTTCAAAAGTCCTAAAATTCGTGTGACGTAATTTATGGATGGCCCCCAATGAGCCCATTACGTAATTTACTGGCAGTTTCGTTGTGAAAGGAATCCTTAGGATCATTTTATATTTGATCTTTTACAGGTTACATGATTGGAAAACTCCAATTCCCCAATTCCCGATTTCCAGTAATCAAAACGAAATTTGCTGTATTTCAAAAACGGCAAGAGTGGCAGGTATAGCTATAGGGTTTGAAGCAGGATGAGGCAGGATTATAGCAGCAAAAGCAGGGACTTGTTTCACCCATACTGCTTTTATTGTGTTGCTATGTGTGACGTCACCAATCAGACTTAAACTTGCTGTATCTTAAAAACAGCAAGTTTTGCTGGGATGAAATTTAGAGTAGGATGCAACAGGAGCACAACAGCGCAAGCAGGAACCAGTTTTGGCGATCCTGCTTCTCATGTGTTCCCAACTGGGAAGTCAGCAACCAAAATAAAAGTAACTATAGCTCAAAATTGGTAGGTGTGGCTAGGTTGGAATTTGAAGCAGGATAAAGCAGGATTGTAGCAGCCCAAGCAGGATAGTGTTTTATAATTCCTGCTTTCAATGAGTTGCTAACTTCCCCGATCTCTTCGAAACAGCTGAAACATACGCGTTTCTATCATCCTACTATCAATTCCTATCATTGTAAACAACATCATAATACACATGCTACCGATATACCAATATGTATATCTCATAATGTAACCGTATTTTTATCTATTCATGTATATCTATGATTTGCCGTGACAAAATCCAACATACATATACATACAGCCGTTACTCGCTGACGAGTATTCGACACACATAAAGAAAATGGTCACGCAAGGCGTTTTCTTTCATGAGCTTTTCTGTGACTGAAAAGCCCGATACGTGATGTTATCTGCCTACCGCACTCCGGACATTCAAAAATCTCATTGCTTTGTTGCCTCTCTACTTTTTGGTTGCGCTGTTAACTGAGTTTACAACCCTTCTCCATTGAGTTCTATTGTGAGCTGCTTTTTCCCACTCATTCTGCATGTTAATTCCCTTTAAATTTTCGTGGAAAATGTCCTTGTATCTTTTCAGTTGTCCACCCGGCCTCCTCTTACCGTCCACAAGCTCACCGTAAAGCAGAGATTTTGGTATGCGGTTTTCTTGCATTCTGCATACGTGACCAGCCCATCTTAAGCGGGATTTTGTGACCATGACTTCAATACTCTCGCAGTTAGATTTTTCAAGGACCGATACGTTTGAGACATGATGGAACCACCGGACTCTTAAGAGTTGTCTAAGGTGTCTCTGTTGCAACTTGTTCAATGCGTTCATGTGTCGGCGGTAAGGCACCCAGGTTTCGCTCCCATATATCATGGTGGGGATTATAATTGCTCGGTATACTGCAAGTTTTGTTTTTGTACTCAAGTATGATTGTAGAAAACCCTGTCTTTTAATTTCCAGAATGCCCTTGAGGCGCTACTAATCCTGTGCTGAATTTCAGAGTCAATATTGGCCTTTTCCGAAATCAAACTGCCAAGGTAATTGAATTCCGCCACATATTCCAATAGTTCTTCTCCGATTTTTATAGCATTGTTGTGATCTTCCGGGTGAGTGCACATGATTTTAGTTTTGTCGATGTTTAGCTTAAGGCTCAAAGCCTCGTATGCCCAGGTATATGTGTTCAACATTTCTTGTAATTGTTGTACCGTGTTTGCAACTAGAGTGCAGTCGTCAGCGTATTGAAGTTCTGTGATAAATTTTGTACGTGTTTTTGCCCTGAGTCTTTTTATGTTGAACAGACCGCCGTCATATCAGTATCTAATGCCCAATCCTCTCTCCTGCAGTTTGCTGTCCACTATAATGGAGAGCGCTGCCATGAATATGTTGAATAGGAGAGGCGCTAAGACACATCCCTGCCTAACTCCTGTATTTGTTAGGAATGGGTCTCTCAGTGATCCATGATGTGACACTCTTGACTTGTTGTTTTGGAGGCTTTTACACACTGTAAGAAATTTGTTGGGTACTCCGAACTTTTCCATAATTGCCCAAAGCGCATCTCTGTTCACAGAGTCGAAGGCTTTTGTTAGATCGATGAATGCAACATAAAGTTTAGACTCCTGCTCTTTTACTTTTTCCTGTAGTTGACGGATGGAAAATATGGAATCGACGGTGCCGCGGTTGGTACGAAAACCCCTTTGCGATTCTGGAAGGATTTTTTCTATATATGGGTGCAGGCGGTTTGACATTATTTTTGCAAGAATTTTTCCGCCGATAGCCAATAGCGAAATTCCCCGGTAATTTCCGCAGTCTGATGCACTTCCTTTGTTCTTAAATATATTCACTATATTCGCATTGCGAAAATCCTGAGGTAGCTCTCCGCTTTCCCATACGACGTCAAAGAGAGCCTTAAGATGACCAATAAGTTTCAACAATGATCTGAATATTTGACCAATAAATCCAACAATGATCTGAATAGCTGCATTTAAAAAACTTGTGTCACTGTAGCATTCGATATTTTTATCGATTCGATAAAACAATCGAAACCGTACCATGTAAACTGACTGTTTAGTTAAATTAGTTAGCGATAAATGCAATATTGATAAGTAGATAGTTACTATATCAGTTACCGTTATTAAAATATCCTGCGAGTTGCTAATGATCTTTTTTATAAATTTCAGGTTTATTCGGCCAATAAACTAGTTCCAGATTCCTGTAGTACCGCAACTGCCCTCTTTACAGGCGTCAAAGCTAACCATAAGACATCTGGGGTAGATAATACGGTCGCCTTCAATGATTGTGACGCATCTCTTAAGCCAAGAGCCCAATTGGATAGTATTATTCAGTGGGCAAATAATGCAGGAAAATCAACAGGTAACTTGACCACATTTTGTCTGTAAATTTATAAAATGTCTATAAATATTAAAAAAATGTTTTAAGTAAATCAATAATTCTTAGATTTTAAAGATTTTTGATCTTCATAACTACTATAATTTGAAAATCTAATTACGCCACTGAGTTCTGCGTGAAAAACTGTATGGTAGGTACTGTTTTCACCGTTTTGATAAGTTTATAGATAATAAGGTAAGAAAGGGGCTAAAAATTGAACATTTTCAAATTCGCACTGTATTTCATAAACCAAGGGGGCTAGGATAAATGTCTTGCATCTTTAGTTTCATAAAAAAGTAGTACAGTGATGTGAAAACAGCATCTTTGTATCTCTACTCATAAACGAGAAACCCCATAAAAGATAGTGATGTAAACTTTAGTTACTTTTATGGACTCGTAACTACTAGTTACTTTTGGAAATAGGACTCGTTACTTTAGTTACTTTAGTTACTCGTTACTTTGGTACTTAGTATCGTTACTTTATAATCGTTGTTTTGTGTACAGCTTGGAAGACTTGGGCTTGACGTGGAACTTCGTTACTTATTGTGCGCGGCGATCTTCGTTGCATGCTCGGTTTAACCTATAAGGGGTTTCTACTTTCTTCTAGTGTAAGGGCTTAATAGGATAATTTCAATACTCGGTATTCAAGTACTGAATAATATGTTTTTATATGTATAATATTTTTATAATGATATGTTAAATAAAACTATGTACTATTAATAAAATTAAAAATAAAAGAAAACAAATGAAACAAAGAAAATATGTGTATAATAAATATAAAGTAATTTTTTATATTTTCTCTCTCTCTCTTTCTCCCTCTCTCTCTATTTGTATTACATAATAAATAGGCAAAAAAATGTATATATATATTTTTGTTAAAATGTAAAAATATTAAAAAAATGTATATTCCTCTGTGGCGGATTCATCCCTTCAAAAAAGTCCTTTGGATTAAAGCAGCAGTGTTCACTAAAAATTACTATTTTTATTTTGTAGATTTTCTTACAGTGTAAGTGGCGAAATATCTATTCTCTTTTGAAGAAGAAAAATATTTGCTCTGCTTTTTCAGATGTTAACATTTTTTGTGACTAACGTGAATCAATTTTTAATTAATATCTAAGACATGTTAATCTAAATAAACAATTCTATTCTATAAATAAAAAGCGACAACAAACGGACAGACCGCCTCCGGGTCGGCATGAGCCAATCCATAATAATTGTAATAAAAATATCACACATTTGCCATCCAAAACACCAGCCGGCGTCAAGTCAACACTTTAAACATAAACATATTGATAACAACTAGACCTACGTCGAAGTAAGGAATATTTCAGTATCGAGTTTCGAGTCCTCGGTTCGTGCATTTCCAGGGATTACGATTACTGCCGGCGCAAAAGTAACGAATTAGCTTAGTAACGAGTAACGAGTCCTAAATTCAAATAGTAAGCGTTACTTCGAGTCCTCGTAAAGTAACTGTTACTTTGTAACGATTACTTAGAATTTTTACATCACTAATAAAAGACACTAAACTGGGATACCCTGTGTTCCCAAAAAAATAAAAAAATATAGGTACAGGATACTCTTATACAATGCGAGAGAACGGTAGTTTATATCAAAATGAAATTTTGGGAGCATTTGTAGGTTAATTGGAAGCATCTTTTAAGAGTGTCCCAAAAAAAAGTTACACATCAAAGTTTTGTTTTTTGTAATAGAACATCCAATATATTGAGTGTTATTAAAAAAGTATATGACTAAACTGTTAAGGTTTTGGCTTATTTAACATTGTCTAAAAATGAAGAACAAATTTCAAATTTCAGTAGAAGCTACCTAAATTGGAATTGACCCTGTATAGCCTGATATTTCGTTAAAATAGCCATTGTATGTTAAACAATATTAAAATTTGTCCCAAAAAGTTATACAAGGTGGGACAAAATTAACATTAACATTGGTCACTTTTAAAAGCAAATTACTCATTGATTTTAAATGAAACACCCTGTATATTATTCCGATATTCAATGGAAAATTCATATATCTTCAAAATATTCTTACGGTTGCCTACCCCTTAGTTAAAAATTTGCTTGGATATTTTCATTTTTATGATTTTGCGTCAGTAGATCTTTATTATTTGATAAAATCTAGGTGGCTATGATATACCTTTCGTTAATTTAACAAAAAATAAAAGATCTAGAGTAAAATAATTAACGGTAATAAAAAGATACACGTGGCTGCGAGGAACAATATATTAAGAAAACTAACCCACAGTAAGTGGGGCGCTAAATCTGATGTCCTAAGAACGACGGCACAAGCGCTATGTTTCTCCACAGCCGAATACGCCTGCCCTGTCTGGTCAAGATCGGCGCATGCCAAAAAGATCGATGTAAGCCTCAACGAAACTTGTAGACTTGTAACAGGGTGCATGAAGGCTGCTCCGCTGGATAAACTGGTACCAAGCAGCAGGTTTTCACAGTCCTAACTCACGTAGGGAGGCACATGAATTCAGCGAGAAGTTTAAAAAAACTTTCGACAATCGTCATCCACTTTTCGGGCAATACCAAGAATCTAAAAGACTAAAATCCAGACGACGATTTCTCAGTAGCCCCCTGGATGAACCACCCACAAACTATCCTCTGTCAGAAAGCCTGCCGAGTGGTGCCTCGTTCAACTTTAAAACCTGGAGAATGTTGAACCGCATAAGAACAGGAGTTGCTCCGGTAAAAACCAATCTGATCAGATGGGGCCTTGCGCAACCAAATGACGACAAATGCGACTGTGGGATGATACAAGATATGGAACACCTTCTAAAGTGCGTTAATTGTCCTGCACATTGTAACTCCGACGATTTATGGCAAAGCAAACCCGAAGCATTGGACGTGGCTCAATATTGGGCCGAGAAAATATAGATTGTTCCGGACATGAAAAAGTAAAGTAAAGTAAGATACACGTTGAAAACATATTTTAATTAAGAAAATTACGTAAAACTTTTTGTAGCCCCCATATAAAATACCAAACGATGACATGAAAACTTCAAAATATAGCAATAAAGCTTTGATTGTTGTTTTGCTAGTTTGATTCTTTTGTTTTATTGTTATTAGAATAGAAAAATAAAACATTACAACGACCAAAAAGCAATACAAAGACACAAAGTGGGTAGTGCGACCCCAAACCTTTCATTAGATTAACGTAGAGATCAGACGATTATATCTGTTTTATCCATGAGTTTTTATGATAAGAGTAACTAAAAATGATATCAACCCTCGTTGGTTCAAGTTGCGATTTGCGATTTTGTTGCGAATGTAATTTTCCATTGAAGCATTTAGTAAACCGCGATTGATTTTTTTTTCTGATTTTATTTATTTATATACTCTGTTTTTTTTTCTCGGGTAAGATTTCGACAGACAATGACAGAAGAAAAGCAGATGACGTCCCATACCAATCTATTTATTTTACTAAAAAAAGTTTCTGATAATTTTTAAGTTAACTATGGATGGGTTTAAATATAAATCCGTCATACGTGGTCTCTTGTTGTTTTTAACCAGTTTTATTGGTTTATTTCAAAAATGACAGATCGTATTTCAATTTTATTGGTTTGACGGAACGATGAACGACAAACGGACGCCGATGCGTATGAACTCGCCTCAAGACTCGCCTTTAGATTTTTGTCGCTTGTTAAAGTGTTGCCAAATTATAGGTTATAATTTTGTGTCAATTTTTGTCAAATACTCTGCGTTTTGGAAGATGGTGCATTTTGATTCGTGTTATTACGTGTGTTTTGTGTCTTTTAAAGTCAAGTGGAGGAAAAATCGAGTGAAAATTAATTGTAGACCCAGAGCACAGTTTATGGTTAATACTCGCTGTCCAGGCAGAAAGTCTTATACACCAATAAAGTTACCATCAATAAAGTTCGTATACCATCTCGTCGTAGATAAGTGCATCTCGAATATGGTAAAAAGACCATACTAAACACATACTAAAAACTGGAGTAGCTGTAAAATATAGACATCACACGATAGGTAAATAATGGATTTTAGTCATAGATAAAAGAAAATAATCTTCTATTAAGATAGATATGAAACTTAATAGTAAAATTTTGGGTCAAAGCGCCCCTCCGTGTTCTTAGTAGAGACTACGTTTAACCCAGCGCCTTCACCTTTTCTGCTGTAAATATTTTTTATGTTTATATTTCATTTCAAAGGATTTAGTTTTAAAGTTACACTGATATATTAGTATATCAGAGTAACTTTAATAAAACATAAGAATATATATATTTTACAGTTTATTAAATATAAATTTTGACTACAAGGTAGAAAGTAAATCACAATATTTGATAAAACTTATAAGTATACCATTTTTACAGTTAATAAATAATAAAACTATTTCTGACTATGATATTTAAAATTTAGATAGATAGAATATTAAAAAACATACCGGAATTTGCAGACGCAGGCCCAAATTCAATAAAAACCAAAATTTTTCCTGCGAAAATCGGGCTTTTTTCACAGAAAAAGTATTTTTTGATTTATCAACAATCATTGTCAAGTTGACAATATACAGGGTGCTTTCTAATTACTCTAAAAAATTGTGGTGTGATTCCTCATGTGTTCTTAAAACAATTTTTATATAACCATTGGGTCTAAAGTACTTCCTTTCTGATCTACAGGGTGTTAAAAATTGAAAAAAAAATCGATATTTTGCTTAAAATAAATGGTACACTACTGCTTTCTTAAAGAAAATATATTTTTTTTCTTGGCTGGCCATCCTTTTTCAACAAAATTGATCTTTTGAGTTTTTCTTGTTCATCAAACGGTTGCCGAGAAAAAAATAAATATACTTACTAAGAGCCCGCCTTAAGCCGTTTTCTAACGATTTTTTATTTTTTAGATTAATTAGGAAACACCCTGTATATGCATATCACAGGCAACCAAATAAACTAGTAACCTCTAAAAATTATTTTTCCTACTACTAGCGACATACCGTGTTTTTAGTGAGTACTAAATTATTTTATCAAAATTTCACCATATAAGTTTCCAGGCAATGATTTTAGTACTGCATAAAAATAATGTTAAAAGGTACTGGTTTAAAAAAATTAAGATTAAAGTTAATTATAAATATTTAATAATTAAGATTAAAGTTAATTCAATAAATCAATCTTTAAGGTATAAAATTTGGTAAGTGTTATTATTAATAAAATAGTTTGTTTTATTTATGTTGTTTTATTTATTCCTGTGGAATATTACACATTTGTATTTGTACATAAGTTATATTGATAAATATAATCATAAATGCGGGAAGTTTCATAAAGCTTGAACGACAATAAGTAAGAAATAGTTCTTTTTTATATTTTTTTGGTATGTGGTGTCTTGTTCTTGTTTGTTTTGTATTAACACATACCGTTTTTTATTAAATTAAATAACTCGATTACATTTTTTCAGTTTTATACAGTTTTTTTCACAATATTTTGAAGTCAAATTTTAAATAAATTTCCTTCTATGCGTTCCAGTTCTACCAACTCATTTCTTTGTAAAATAAAATAAACTACTTTGAAATTAAAACGACAGACACATCTATCACTGTCAAGGATCTTCTCGTTGGACAGACTCAAAGGACAGACTATAGAAAAGGTATTATTTTCTAGAGCCAAGATCATAATATACCGGGTGTGTTTCAAGAGTGGTTCGCCTCTATAACTTTTTTATATTTTCTGATAAAAAACGAGATTTGGTATGTAAGCCTATGACATAAATTAGCATTATTCAATTCATTTCGATCACTTCCTGTTTCACCGGAACTGACGACAACTTTTGATTTATTCAATATAAAATGACACTCTGAATAGAATGCCTAGTACAATATTTAAATATTAAAACCGCAATCGCAGGTTACAGTCGCAACGATTAAAAATCGCAACCGCAGTTTCAATTACAATTGGAGAATCGCAGTTTTGCTCATCTCTACTGTATACGGTATTTATCTAGTCTAGGTTGATGCATTGACTATAAAAAAGCATAATTTAATTCAAAGGAAGCTAAAAAATTCCAGGGTTTGTAACAACAACCAGAGTGACTCACGCAACACCAAGTGCATTGTATGCGCATACGCCTAATCGGAAATGGGAATGCGAATCCATTATTCCTGAGTCCGCTGCTGATTGTAAAGATATCGGCTATCAGCTTGTGAAGGAGGGAGGCAGAAATATTGAGGTACAACCACGACAGTACTTTATAACAATTCTAATTACTACAAATTCTAGTTATTCATTCTGTAACGAATGTGTTCAATAGTTTAACTACTAATTGTCAATTTATTAAATCATTAACTCGTCTATTTATTAATTCATCAATACATAATTAATTCGTCTCTTTGTTAATTTCTTTTAATATATTAATTAATTAGAAACAGTAGTAAATTAATACATTAATTAATTCAGTCATTGATTCATTATCACTATAACTCATTAATTAATTACCTGACTTTTCTTCCCTCATTGACTTATTAATTCATTAATTGGTTAGTGTATTAAATTCAGTCAGCTCATTAATACCATATTTCATTAATTCATTAATCTGTCACTTCGTTATTCGTTAATCCGTTCAGATATTAATTTATCATTATCAACAACTGGCAAGAAAAATATTGATTTTCTTTACCTTCCCTTAATTACTTGTAACTTTAAATATAATTTTCTCCAATTTCCCCTTAACTAATGCGATATGAAAAATAACTGAAAAAAAATTACAAAGTTTATACTTAGGTATATAATTTTTAGGTAATCATGGGTGGTGGACGGCAATGCCTGGTCAGTAACGTCCAAAATAGCTCGGCCGATCCAATAGACACTTGGGCTTGCATCAGTACCGAAGTGGGAAGAGACCTTATCTCCGATTGGAAAACAGACAAAGAGGTTCGAAGGGCCACCTATCAACTTTTAGAGAACAATCAAGATTTAGAAAATATGAACGAATCAGCTGAATTCACATTAGGTAACATAATACAGTTCTTTTTATTTCCAAACTATATTTATAGCAGTATATCGCTTTTTGGCGTTTCATGAAATTAATTAGAATTCCTAAAAACTATATTTTTTGTGTCACAATATCCTCGATCTTACATTCTGTGTAATACTTCTGAAAATGTTTTATATTTATATATACGTAGTAACAGGAACTTCGGACTTCCAATAGCTTATTTTACTTACAACTACTTTTTTACAACCACTTACTTACTTTTACCTAACCTAACCTAACCAAGATACACATGATAAACGAATATCTAGGTAGGTACGAAGTGTCCCAAATAAATAATCTGAAGTCGACTGGTCTGTCTAATGAATAGGTTGTGCTATAGTATAGTAGAGTGGCCATATACATATCAAATATATACGGATTATCGCCTATCCCTGCAATGTGTTGGAAATGAGACCGAGTTAGAGACAACTAGATAATCGGTCCATGTATATTTCACATAAGTCCGTCTGTTAGGGCAGATACTGGCGCAACAGCGCAACTCCAAAATTCCGAATATCGATTAGCCAGGATTAGCCAATTGTCGAACGGGAACGCAAACGAAAGCCGTACGAAGTGGGACGGAGCCGTACGAATGAACAGCTGGTGCTAGCGTCTAGTCTCTTATTGGTCTGGATATCCGATCGACAATTCAAAATCCAGGCTTGCGCACTACGCTTGAGCACAGCTAACTGAGCGACTTATGCAAATTCCTTCAGAAGATTTATATACCCATTTCACCGGCTTGCCTTCACAGAATGCAGTTTGGAGTCGATATTCTTTAGTTAATATATATATGAGAGTGGCGCATCCGGTTTATCTATCCAAAAGTATGCCGTTCATCTGCAACGTCGTGACTCTGGTAGGTGGAAAAGTCCGCAAGACGCGTAACCGCATTATATTTGTCGCCCAACGTGAGCCAGGGTCACGACGTATATTGTATATCTTAATATTAGTGATGGCAAAAATCGATTAATTTCAACAATCGTGTACTCGAGTTTCAAGCGATTTCAATAATCGAGCGATCGCTTGAGGAAAATATCGTATATCGTATAACGGTCGTATAAATTTGCTACATGCAATATATGTAGAAAATTGGCTCGGCTTTTTATCGAGTAAGTCACATTAAAATCAGTTTTCAAATTATTTCATTCTAGGATCGCTTGCGTTCATCGCTAGTAACCCCTCACTTGCATCGCTCGTACATAATCGAGCGATGTCGGTTATTTCAGTGATCGAGTACTCGAGCGAATTTTCAACATCACTAATTAATATCAACCCATAGTATCCAGTTTTTTAACCAAGTCCCAGTCTTACCCTGTACGTATTATTTATTATTTCGATATAATAAATCTGATTAACTAATTGAAACTACACATTTCACGATCGCCGGCCAGTATAGTAGTCTGACGCATCTCACCTGTCTATCTAAACGTAGGCCGTTTATCTGAGACGTCGTCGTGACCCTAGCCGTTTGAAGAATCTGGAACGCGTGCTTCTGCACTATATTTGGCGCCCAACGTGGGGTCGGGGTCATGACATGTATATATTATTATCAACCCATAGTATCCCACTGTCCATATAGCATTAACCACCATGTACCAATGCCACTTAGACCTCTCAGTCTTAGTCAGACCCTGTACGAATTATTTATTATATCGATATAATAAATCTGATAAAACTAAATTAAGTACTGCTGTGATAGTATTTAAAAACGTAATAATTAAAAAATAATTGATTCACACAACTGGTTTTATCTCATTTTGTAGGTATTTTTGCAAACGGTCATCTTAAACTCGAACATGAGCGTGACAAAGGACCCGAAGGAATGCCATCCCTGAGTATGATGACGGAGGCAGCTATTAAGCTACTTAAAAAGAATGGAAATGGATATGTTCTAATGGTAAAAATTAATGTAATAAAGTGCCGAAGTAATATTTATTTTCCTTAAAATTAGATCATGTAGGTACACACCAGACAAAAAAAATAATTTCTTTTTAACTGATTTTCTTTTACAAAAATTGTATAGAACGATTTTTTTTAAATATCTACTCTTTTTTCTTCTGTTATCTTTTACGTTAAGCGTTTTAATCACGTGAAAACATTAGGGGAAAGTCACACTATACCGTTACGGGTCGATTTAGTCTCTCCCCTAAATGTAATAAAAATGGTAGTTTATTGCAAATTAATGCTCATCTTGAACGACACTTTAGGTAGAAGGTGGAAATATAGATCAAGCTCACCACCGAGGTCACGCAAGAAAAGCCTTAGATGAAACTGTTGCGCTCAGTGATGCAGTCGAAGTAGCTTTAAACATGACTAGTGATGAAGACACTCTCATCATCGTCACAAGTGACCACTCTCATTCCATGGTGTTCACAGGTTATCCTGATCGGGAACAAGGAGTATTAAGTATGAGATATAATCTGTTTACTTTTAAATATAGGTATATTTTTATTCTAGTACAAGTATCTCTAGTAGACATAATTATCAAGTAAAATGTGAGTTATCATATTTTCAAAAACGTCTATAAAGTTATTAATCTTTAACTTCTAGAAATAAATACTCGTATTAGTCGAAGCGTTGAATTAAAAAAATTGTGTGTGCACTATGTGCGCATATTTGAAGTGAAACTTCTTACTAACAGCTATTAAATTGAAGGATTTGAAGGATATATATTTTTTTTCGAATGCTTTTTATAAACTTCAAATAAATTAAAGTTAATATAAAACCTTATACTATTCTATCTTTATAATTTTATAAGGTTTTTTTTAATTTTTATTAAAAAACGATAATTCTATCACTCGGCCGGATAGCTGTAGCCATTAAACCAAAACACTGCTACATCTATATCTCTGACTAACTGCTACTAACCAACAATTTGTTTTGTGTGGTCTGTTTTTGTTTAAATGTTTTGTTCATTATTCATGTTGGGGATTTATTTTTAAATTAATGTTAATCGTCAGGCAACCAGTAAACTCATAGAATATGTATTTCTTTTGCATAATCAGAATTGTCATTCTAAATTTTACATAACCAAATTGTCACTCTAAATCGCTGTCTCGCCAGATGTCACTTGTCTTGTCATTATTCAAATCATTATTCGAATTCTCAGAATGTTGTTAACAGAAGTTTCATCTTAAAGTAAAATTTTAATCAATCACAATTGTTTATCTCCATCATTTACCGGATTAATAATACAGAAATTATAGTTCAATTACAAACAATTCATTATTTATAGTGATTTACAATAATTTTATTAAATTATACGAATATTCTCGTTGGTTATTGGTTTGAAATAAATATGAAACTACACGCACACTAGTGCGATCACGGCCTCTATCACGATCACGATCAGGGCAGCGATAACATGAACGATCATTCTAGCACACACCAACGAGGTCACGTTCACCGCCGTACCTATATGTAGTGAGCTGTCCTGTAGATATACATAGGTACAAATTAAAAATGTGAATTTTGTATACCGAAAAAAAAACATTCTTAAATATTTACCTACAATATTTAAACTTAAACAATAAAAATGTATACATATGTACTATCCAATCCAATTGCAACACCAATTTTACCTCAAACTTTTTATTTTTAATTCTATTATTTTTGTAACTTGGATCGCCTGGATCGGATAAGTCATATAGAATTTTGTGTATTTTTACAGCCTTAATTAGCTGCTCTGTTAACTCCATTTCTAAATTGCAACAAGAAAAAACACACAAAATAACGAAAAATTCCTATCAGTTGCGTCGCGATCACGCGATCAAACTCGACAAGTTGAATCTGATCACCACCGCAGAATAGAACGCCGGCGCCGCCAGGCCGCTTCGTCTCCAAAACTCGATCGCGCCAATGTGAAACGGCTCATATGTATTCTTCAGCAACTGTTGGCCGCGGCCGCGTGGAGATCGTGATCGCGGCCGTGACCGCACCAGTGTGCGTACAGCTTGTCAGTGTCTTCCAAAGAAAATGCGAGTTAAGAAAGCTAAATTCTTTACCTAAATCGTTATTCAGAAGCTACAAACCTATCGATGAAAATATGCATGAAAATTTACTTCCTAACACACAACCAGACCATTCATTGATACACATCAAGGTTGGTCAGTATCAAGTTTATTGTAGTGATTTTCATAGCCGCGTATGGCACAGATCGTTACCCAGTGTTGCCACAAGCTTATTTTTCATCGGGGTAGACAATCACGAGATAGCGGAGTTAAATTATTTTACAAAGGGATAGATCTACCCCGAATACCGCTATCGCTTCTCCTCTCGCTAGCTAGCACGTCACGACCATCTCAGGATCGTCACGGCCGTCATTCAAGGCCGTGTGTCACTCACGCGTAAAGTTTCACTTCAAAAGAACGTATAAATATTTAAAGATAGATGATGAGTCCAAGACACCTTTTCATTTGATCATTGTCTACTACCATCACACAAAAAATTATATGTCATCACAGATTATACACTATCTGAGATGGACCAAAAGCCTTACACAAACCTTTTATATGGAACTGGAGGTCCAAACAACTACCAATTCAAAGTTTCATCGACAAACGAAGTGGAAAGGGCCGATCCGTCCCAGGAAAACACGACTGATTTTGAGTACTCCCAACAAGCTGTCGTATACAATGACGAAGTAACGCATGCTGGAACAGATGTCTTAGTTTATGCAAATGGTAATGTATTATATTGTACTTTACTCAATGGACATAGAACAACTACGTATTTTTGGAATCAAAATATAATAATTGAACACAATTTACCTCTATAGGCTTGGTGCATTCTCAGCCGGTGCTGCCACTATCGGAGAATATCGTAAACAATCGGTATAAACAAATACACGCGTTTAAATAACGACCATACGAGAAAAATATATAATTATTCCACAAGTGTTAAAAAAAGTCGTCTTGACTAGTATTCGAACCTGCCTTACTGCGGCTCCAACGTCATAGCAGCGTAAAGTCCTAACGCTATAACCACGCGGCCACCGAGGACTTGAAAGATTCTATGTAAAATTCTTACTTAAAAGATAACGTTTAGTGAAAGTACTTTTTTATGTATAAACATTTATTTAATTCTGTTTTTAGTATTTGTTCTTATAGCGGCAACATAGAAACATTATTTGTAAAAATTTCAACTGTCTAGCTATAACGGTTCATAAGATAGAGCTTTATGACAGACGGACGGACGGACAGCGAAGTCTTAGTAATAGGGTTCCCGTTTTTACCCTTTGGGTACGGAACCCTAAAAAAGAGCATACCATTAATACTGCAAATTATATTTTATCCTCTCATAGCATATGCCTATTTATTTTTTTGATTATGTAACGAGCACTTTGTTTTTTCTTTCGTCGAACTGCTTGAATCCATTTTGGTTTTGAACAAATCGGTGTGAGAAACTAAGTTATAAAATGTTATTTTGGGAGAGTTGAATATCTGGAAAAGCTATGTTATTGAATATTATTGCACCCAACAACGCCCTAATTACGCTCTTCTTTCCGCGTTAACATTTTTTCGGCAATTTTATTAACACTTGAAATTGTCACAACACAACAGGACGCCTAGTTCGAATTCTTTTTCACTTATTTTTTACTACCCGAAACAGCATTACATCACACAAACTTCGTACCTGAGTCTTTTATAGTCTCAAGAACTGCACTAGCAAAAAGCTAAAATACTTAAATATTATGATAAGGCCACGATTTCAATATTACTTTAATGCGATCAACATGAACTGTAACCGGGACGGCGTGAAGTACAGAGCAAAAACTTCTGATTTCTGCCGCATAGAGCGCTGCGGTCGAAATTTTTTGAAATCAACTGAAATGCATCAAGCCTATACACAAGTGCTTTAGAGGTGCTTGTCCTTTAGAGGGCACCAAACAAAAATAAACTCTAACGTTTATTAATTTAAAATTTACGTGGCTTATGTTTAAGATCATTTGAGACACTAACGTAACACTCCACATTTTCGCCAACTAGATTATTAACATCGGCTAGATTTTAACTCTTCATGTAAAAAATACTTGGTAGTTCTATTTCTACGAAATATTGAGACAACATCCATTTTTACTTTAACTTATCACCTAAAGGTTTAATACGTTTGTTTAAATAATACTTTATTTATTACAGTGTAAAAATCTTACGATGTATTGATATGTTTTAGGTCCAATGGCTCACCTATTTAACAGCGTGCACGAACAAAGTTATGTAGCTTACGTTATCAGTTATGCTGCGCAAATAGGAGTATTCGAAGGATTCAACACAATTGATTCGGGAAGCGTCTCTCTTAGTCAGTATTCAAATTTAGCTTTAATATTTTTTGTCTTATTATTTAACAAGGTTTTTTCGTTTTTGTTATATACGTAAATCACGCAAATCAATAGTATTTGTTTCCTTAAATTTAACCAAAATATGTTTAAGTAAAACTTCTACCTCTGTAATAAATATTGTGTAGTTGTTTTAAAGTCTCCTTAAATTATTTAATAATTGTTATTAAGTTAATAAATATGAATTTTTATAAACCTGCTACGAATTAAAACAAAATATACTTCTGCTGTACAAACACATCTCACCATTCTTTGCAACCCAAAACTTTGCGATATTAAACACGATCAAAAATGTTCTTATTGGAAATATAACGCATTCAAAAGCAGCTTCAACAGCTAAGAAGGATAGTTAAATTAAAGATTTGATAGTTTAAGACAAATAATGTACTTACAAAGTTCCAAATGTAGTGTGTAAGAATTCATCATATGCATAAGTGAGTAATAAGACCAATGCACAAAAGAGTATCTTAGAAAGCGAGAAATATGGATTTAAGGTGTCAAAGACTACTTTCTATGTCTATGTTTCTTATTATTTTCTTCTATATATACAGCTTATCTGGAATAGTCCGGAATAGTAAACCCCATATCTCAAAATCAGACCTCAGCAATCCATAAGCACTTTCCAATAAGTCTTAGCACACTGTCTAAACTTTTAGGACAGTGTACCAACTAACAACAGTAGGAGAATGTACGAAAAAGTTGTTATACTCTGCCACTGACATGATATTGCTTATGCTTGATAGTATAGATCGAATTATCAATATTACGATTTGTTATTTTGCTAACTGTTAGTTACATATTCACAAGCTACAAAAACTCCATCATATATTACCATACTTTCACCAGACACTCCAAACAATCGGTTTTGTGTTCTTCATAGACTAAGGGCGCTTGCACACACAAAATCGCAACTGGTGATTTTCTATTAAGAGTTTTTAATGATCTGGATATATTAAGGAGTTATTAAGGATCTGATAGACAAATTTGATTGATTCAAGTTAAGGTAATTTGTGGTATTTCTTTTCTGAGCGTTTTTTTTTTTGGTACCGTGAAATGAGGTGACTTTGCCTCTTGGGGTGACTTTGCCAAATTCCGTCCGAAAATATGTTAGACGTAGCCGTAGCCACTACTTGAAAAGAACGCGTTATGTGTTATCGGTAAATTATGGGTGGAGGCGCCCCACGTCTCGGAACATCGTTAAACGCTTGCCGTCAGTAGCGATGTAGCATTTACAGTGCTGTGAAGCCAAATCTGTTTTTAAAGCCTATTTTGTGCGTTTCAAACTTCTACGTGGCTGCAATAGTTAACCACGCTATATTGAGGTAAGTATTATGCAGAAGTTCGTTATAATATTGAGGGTGATGAAGCATATTTTACGTAATTATGCTTTTAAATGGGGTGGCTTTGGTCTATCAATAAGAATAAGGAAGAGGGCAAAGACACCCCATATAAGCAACTAACTTTGCCCATCCAGTTTTTTACTTTTTTTATATATATATATTTGTTTAATAAACACAATAGCGTATTATTGTTGTGTTGTCCTTATTACCACTTATAGCATAGACCATGCGCATTTGAGAAAATACAACAATTTTTGAAATAAACACGATTTAAAATTCAGAATTGGGCAAAGTCACCCCACTTCACGGTACTAAACTTTTTTCCACATCCTGGCACTTCCGATTTAACCGGGAGTGACAGAAAATAGAAAATATTTGAAAAAAAAAGTACCTACACCCGGAAATAACCTAACAACAATCAAATTTCTTTCTAAAGATAAATCTAATAAATTTTTAATTAACCCGTTACATAAATAACCGTATTTGTAAAGTAATAAATCTGTTATACGTAATTATAAGATATTTAGTAGCTTGGAATATCTCAGATATGTTGTCCAGTTGTAGCCCATAAGTGACAACTTCAGCCAATAGAGTGAAAGCTTTGATATTTAAGAAGATATTGATTAAATATTTAAAGATATCGACCTTAAGCTTGATTTTCATTCTGCGGTTCAATACTACACATCATATTTTTGTGTGTTTTATGGGATTTCTCGTTTATTATACATATACGTTACCATGAAGGTCAGATATTCGGTTAATATCGACATTACCCGGTTAATCTCGAAAATAACACAAAACAAAACAACCAAAAACAAAACCAAACCCAAACATTAACCTGTTAAAGTCGACCTGTGTCGACATTAACCGGACATCGGACTTTAACCGTAACATATACAATGATGCGATTGTCACATTACTTTGCTACTTTTTTATGAAACTAAATATGGGTATTTCGCCACTGCACTGCAAGAAAAATAAATTTATTTTTAACAGAACGTCAACGGTTTTCTTGTAGACGTATCTGTTTTAAAAAAGTAAAGTGTTCTCGAATAGTTGAATTTAAATATTTTAAATAGTTTTTTTCTTTATTCTTTGTATTTTTATTGCTTCTGACGACGGAAAGAGATAAACTTTCCGAAACGTTAAGCATTTTTTTCTTTGTTAGGCAAATTTGTATAACTGCAACATAACTTCTGACAAGCAGTGTCCGTTTAGGTTTAACGCCAGAAGTGTTTACAAAAAATAACTATTTTATTTTGTAAATTTTCTTGCAGTGCAGTGGCGAAATACCCATAAAGGATTTTTTGGAGAGATGAATCCGCCACATAGGTTAGACATTTTTTACTCCCTAGTTTCTGAAATACAAGGCGAATTTGTGATGCGCAGTAGTGAACAGATGTTGAATACAGTTATGGGGATGTGCAGTAATGAACGCAACCTCTACCTACAGCCAGACGGTCCGCACTTTGTTCAGGAGAGCATAGCAAAAGATATATTAAAGAACCAGCTTTCTTAAAATTCTCTCTCGAAAACGTTGCTAGCTCTTAGACTGTAAGTAAAACAGCGAAATCTCATTATGGAAATAAAAATATAAAATGACAATCACAAGCAAATCGTATATCCGATGAACGGAGGCATGAAAATGCAATAAATTTTAAAAATTGTGTAATTTTCTAACCAATCGAAGTCTTTAAATTCAACCAATAAAATTAATATCGTATCGTCGGACAACGGATGCAAGTGGAAGGACCAGTGATCGTCTGGAAACTGTAGCGCTGGTATTCCATGGCAAGAGTCTTAAATCTATTGCCAGCGTCTACTAATCTACTGCCCATTCCCGCCGGTTCGAGACCTGATGACATAGGATATCAATCTATCGTCGATTGAGACACTCGCCAAGTCGGTAGGTCATTGACAATGATATGGCCATTGACAATGATATAGGCCATTGACAATGATATAATATTAAAATACTGTCAAGGCGTATGTGGCGACATCTGTCGGGGAACGAGCCAAGTAGAAAACCGAGCTCTGTAATTTCGAATCAAGCGGCAGAATTTACTGGTAGATGGCAGAAGGGTATCAAAAATTACAGATAAATTTCGAACGTTCCCAGAAACAACCCCTAGGATATATAAAAAGCCCGCGTTCGGCAGTTGAACCAATTAAGTTTGAAAATACGGTTGGTTTAAATAATTGTGAATCGTGACAATTTGGCAAAGGATTTTTTTAAATAGTTATTGTGTGTTGTAATCAGTATTAATTGTGAGTATATAGCAAGAAAATAAATCCGATAAGTATTTTATCGTGAGTTTAAATTAGTGGACCCACGCAATCCGTAACAATACTTTTCAAATTAAAGATATCTGCAGAATTTTCTTAAAAAAAACAACAATGTAAAAAATCGAAAATATTTATTGATGATATCCATTCCTACAATTAGGAAATGTTAAAACTAAAACATTAAGTTATAAAAATTGAAAATACGGGCAGCTAAGGAACTGGTGGGCTTCGCGCCTCTAAGCCGAAGAATGCGTGGCGGCCTTGATTATCGTCGTGAACAAATCCGGATCTTCTTGCTGTACCCCCACCCACCACATACAGAGGGCGTTCTCGTACACCGGCATGGTCCGGCTGTGATGCAACGGATCTATGGCGTGGTGCTGACCGCTGGCCGTGGCCAATACAGGCCTGTACGGGTGCAAGCTGACGCCGTTACAGCTATCGTTATGCAAACTCATCTGAAAGATATTGAAGGATTTGAGTGATTCCGAATGATATTCAAAGTCGGGCATTTACCGATAGTCGAATAATAGTCATCGAATCCTATTTAGGTAAATTAGATGACTTTTAAGTGATTTTATGTCGAAATAAGAAAATTAATAGTCCTCGAATTAAGTCCAGGGTCACGATACCTGTGATGACCAACTGTATAAAGGCCTGTAAATATTGCTCGGAATATTGAAAATATACATGTAAACTATCGGGTATAAACCTGCTTGATAATTAATCAAGAGGTTTTAAATAAAATTAACGTTAAGAGACCTACAATTTTTCCAGCAAAAGAGTATCAATGGGTAGTAAATAGAACCATTTAAAAAAAACAGATACAACCCCCTAAAGAGTTTAATCAAAAATAATATAATGCCGTGTTACTTTAAATAGTCCAGTAAATAAGGACACGAAAAAATGGACAAATTCGGTTTTTCCCAAATACCTTTGGGAGTACTCGGATTTTTAACCAAATCATACATCTCTAAAATTTAATGTGTTATTCTTCAATTTTAAGTAAACAACGTCTAGAGACTGACCTCGCCAAACTTATCATCGATCGACATTTCCAAATAAAAAAAAGGATGGTACATTTTTAAAACACAAATGGGGTTTTACTCGAAATACAGATAATCTTTCCCTGGAAAAACTATACATTTATAACCTATACATATACGTTAATTTTATAAAATGACGTTGTGTGTGCTTAATAACTTAAACTGACTGATTTTTATATTACAACATATTAGTTTTAATAAGTTATATTATAAAAATATTAAGCTTTCAAGGTCACACGTCATATGCCAATAAATGTGTTCCGATCAAAGCAATCCAAATGCTGCGTCCAATGGATAATGGCATCTAAAAAATACATCGTCTGTTTTGCGAAGAAGTATAGTAAGTATACCTTTTATACTTTGACCTTGATTAATTTGAATATTAAATGTTTCTAGAAATACTACACAAAATAGTTACCATTCTTCTAAAATAATTAAAAAAATAACAAAAACAAGTGATAAAATTCATGTGTTGAAAGAATTACATTTAGAAAACGAAAAACAGACGATGATATTACAAAATATAAATTGTTATGAGGTTACAAATACAAAATATAACTTAAAAATATTTTAAATTGTAATAAATCCTCTGACTCATTAGAATTTATTAAACTGATCGATATATCAAACAATATGATTGAAAATCGTTCGATGGCTATGAAATGGAGATCGCTGTAACTTTATATATGTTACAGTGAAAGTCGGAAATTCAGTGATTGTTAACATTCACTAGGAAATGCTAGCAATTACGGATTGAACAAGTGAATGTGGTATTTTAAAGAGATTTGTCGACTTTTCCTAGTAATTTCTAACATTCACTAGTGAAAGTAACATTTTCTAGAGGTTGCCAGTAAAAGTTACTCTATTACAATAGACCCACCCTGTACACAGGGTGGGTCAAATTCGACGCTTTTAAATGGAAACACCCTTTTCTATAGAAGATAGACAAAAACTAATATCGGTGTCTGGAGCTCAATTTTTGTCAAAAACATGCTGGTGAAAACCGCATATCGATATCTGTTACCGTTTCGGAGTTACGGGGTGTTTTTCAAAAACATGCATTATTAACAAATCGCTGTAACTTTTTTGCTATGGAAAATTTTGTATTTTTATGAAAACATTTTCAAAGCACTTTTTTATGCAGAATTTAATGGTTTAAGTATATTTTTTTTAAAATTAATAATTTAAGAATTATCAACAGAAAATTTCATTTTTTATATGGGACACCCTGTATATTTTTAATTTATTGAAAAGAATTTAAAATTGCCTTTCCAAAAATATAACACACTTTATATTTTGCTCGATTCGTCCTCGATATATAGAGTATATAAAAATTCGCCCGCTTTAAATAAGTAGGCTTTGACCGGCACTGGCTGTAATGCAAAAAAATTCTAGCTGTGAGCATCAATTAAAAGGAAAATAATATTTGCTATGAGAGATACAGAGTTTTATAACAATTTAAAATATATTTAACCAACACCAACACATTTAAAATATATCTAATAGGTAAAAAAAAATACCAAACCAAGACATGAGATTTTGCTGTTCGACATATCGACCGTCTTCTGTTATGGACAGACGGGGCAGTTTTAAAACATTTCTCGCGGAATTCTTTAACTCAGTGGGGATGAAACTCATAACTGCTAAGTATTTCTAATTCTTGTGTAGATTATACGGAAGAATAAGGAACCTTTATTCTTCCGCAAATATATCCATAGGATTAGATCAAGTCAGGCGGCCTCGACGGCCAACGGCTGGGATCTTGGTTTCAATTATTCTTGAAATTGGCTACATAAAATTGCTGATAACTTCAGCCTTCTTAGGCGGTGCGTTGTCTTGCTGGAAAAATATATTTTCCAGTTCCATTAAGGGCATATCATCAATAAGGGGTCCAAAGCCTACTAGTTAAAAGTGGCGAACTTTTAAAAATTCTGTATTTCGAAGGGGATTATAACAAAATATCAAGTGTGCTATATTTTTGGAAAGGTAATTTTAAATTCTTTTCAGTTAATTAAAAATATAGAGGGTGTCCCAAATAAAAAATCAATTTTTCTGTTGATAACTCATAAATTATTAATTTAAAAAAAATTATACTTAAACCATTAAATTTTACGTAAAAAGGTGCTTTGGAAATGTTTTCATAGAAATACAAAATTTTCCATAGCAAAAAAGTTACAGCGATTTGTTAAAAATGCACATTTTTGAAAAACACCCCATAATTCCGAAACGGTAACAGATATTGATGTGCGGTTTACACCATCATGTTTTTGATGAAAATTGAGCTCCAGACACCGATATTAGTTTTCGTCTATCTCCTATAGAAAAGGGTGTTTCCATTTAAAAGCGTCGAATTTGACCCACCCTGTACAGGGCAAGTGTGGTAAGGAAGAATGTCGGTCGAAGTTAGAACATATAAAACTTTTAAAAATATTGGACCACCTCAATATTCAAGCTGATCCACATATCTCTATATATATTAAAAATTATAGAAAATAACGACATAACCTTCAAAATATTAAAAGGGAAAACACAGTAAACATTTTAAAGCGTACAAAACAATTAAAAAAAGCATTCATAAACATAAGATTACTTATTGGTACAAGGTTTTTTAATAAAGTTCTTCATCATGGACAACATAAAGTATGCCCGAATTTTCTTCAAAGGGAGTTATTCGTTTTTTCAAACCCGCTACTTCAAGCATATCAAAATGTTTAATAAGTTCATAGGCACTAGGTTCCTTAATATCTTTTTTTCTTGCACGCTAAACTTTTGCTATGACTTCATTACATTGCAAAAATGAGAAACAAGCACTATTACATTCTTGCGAGTGCCTAGTTTACCTTAATTTTTCACAGAAAATTTCTTCCGTAGGGCAAATACCGCACAGCACTTTTTACAATGATAAGAAAACAATTATACATAACCACAAAAAACAAAGCGTCTGTCGTACGCCAGATGTCTGTCAACGTTGCCAACGTTTAGCCCAATTTAATGTTATCTTTATATTGCCTATTATTCAACTTATCCTTATTTACCCTTATATTTTACAACACGTGGCAACCGCGCTAACTGAATCTTTCAAACCCACTGTTAAGTAGTAAAAGTTGGTTTCAAAAATAGCTGTTGAACTGTTACTGGCGTAGTCTTAGTAAATCAGTGAATGTGAGCTTTTACTAGTAATTGTTAACAATCACTGATTTCCAACTTTTATTGTAAAATATAAAATATTATATGAGGACTGTCATCGATTGTTTTTTCCGAGCCAACTGGACGCCGTTTTTTTTTCAATCATACAGTATATTATGAAATAGAAGATCAGTAATTTAGGAATAATGTTTTTAAACTATATAAGAAAGTTTAGAAACTACATAATAAAAGAGGTAATTATTGGGAAAACTGGAAATCGTCAGATTTTCGCCAAAATTGGTATACACCCTATTTTGAGGTCGTAGATTACGAATCTGAACTTTTTTCTTGGTGGTCTCTTACCGTTTTTCAGAAAAACGGAAAATTATTTCAACATCGAATTTTTCTTAATTTCTCATATTTTTAAGGTTTTCTAGCACATATTTTGTTAGGTATTCAATAAACAATGATGTTATTGCTATTTTCTGTTGCTTTTTAACCAATTCTATGCATAATAGAGGAAAATTTGCTAAAATAAATTTGTAAACAATCTGAAAATATTGTGTTATGTGTTTCTGGTATTTAAAGCAAGGCCAATGCTAAATCTAAATTTAGCGTGTTTTTTACACTCATTCTGGGATTACGAAAGGCGGTCGCCAGACGAACGGCTCCTTCCCATAATTGCTATTTTACCAACGAGATCTGACTATTTATAACCACGAAGTTGCACGAAAGAGTTTTGATTGCATTGGTTACAACTTCCATGCGGAGGGTGTTAATCTCTTGTTGTTATATTATATCAAAAAAAGATTAACCCCCTCCGCAAAGAAGTTAAAACCTTAGATTAAGAATAAGTTAAAACCAATGCAATCAAAACGCTTTCGTGCAACTTCGTGGTTATAAATAGTCTTTATATAACTTCTTTGCGGAGGGGGTTAATCGTTTTTTGGTATAATATAACAACTAAAGATTAACACCCTCCGCATGAAAGCTGTAACCAATGCAATCAAAACTCTTTCGTGCAACGTCGTGGTTGCACATAGTATAAATACCGTATGATCGAAAAAAACCAGCGTCCATTTGGCTTGGAAATGACGCACAGTGGGGTATTTGACACTGATAGTTGATCGAAATTTTTTTATGTAGACCTTATATAAATTATTTCTATTTTCAATTAAAGAGGAAATAATATGAACAAAATAAAGGATAATTCGTCGATTCTAAAAAAAGAAAGAAAAATCACTGTTCCAGTGTTTCCACGGTCAGTGCCAGTAGTAATATCGCAACTACTACTACTAATGCTACGACTGATCCGCGAGCAATGCCCATACCACTAAAGTCGCTACTAATGCCAAATTGTGCTATACTGCTAATGGCACTAATGCGATCGCTTTGTACACAACAATGCCATCGCGGTTTACACCTCGCATTAGTATATCACTGATTGGCAAATTAGAGGAAACCAAGAATATTTTTCTCATTTTATCAGCAAAATCGCAAAAAGTCGCAGTATTTTATTTTACTGTATGAAAGCCCAATATTTACTAAGTAAAACGTATATAGACAATATGCTGAATTCTTCGAAATGCGCAACTAAATCTCTAAGTATAATAAAAATGTCACAAATTTAATCAAATTTTCTGAACGCCCAACTTTTAGTTGCAAAAAAAATTGTTAGTATAGAGAATATCAAAATAAATAATACGTTTTTGTAGAATACATACCTGCAGCTTGCTGAGCCATTTTCAATCAAAACAATAATATCAACGTAAAAAGAGCACAAGAACAACAACAATTTATAATTTTAAACATAAAATTTAGCCATTTACCTCTTATCTGTGAGAAGTAACAACTTTGACGTTTCGTTGAAACAAATGAATGCAACTAAACACACCCATAGCAACGCCATTCATGGCAGAGATGATTTAACTTATCATTTATCTTTTTTTTGGGAAATCTTAAACACATTTGCTTTTTCGAATTTCGATCACCTTTTTCATGCTAATACCCCACCGTGTGACGGTCGATGACATTTCCCATATAATTTTATATAAAATGACAGCGATCTTCATTTCATAGCCATCGTTGACGCAGTTGTTATTCGATCATACGGTATAATGTAACAAAAAAAAAGATTAACCCCCTCCGTATAGAAGTTGAAACCAATGCAATCAAAACTCTTCCGCGTAACTTTGTGGATATATGTAGGTAGGTATATTTAATTATTGTCGATCTCATAATAGGGAATTTATTTAAAATCCCTAATCACCCGAAAAAATAGAAGATATGGCAACGTTGTAAATTTTCAAATTTCTAGATTAGCTCTAGAATATATTTGTCTCTCTCATTACATAGGAAAGAGAAAGAAGGATATATCAAATGACAAACTTCCATCAGGTCTAAATTTTCTTTGTTATTTTGTTAAGAAAAGTGTTTTTAATAATAATAATAATAATAAATAGTCCTTATTGTAATCCATAAGTATTACAAAAGGCGAAGTTGAAGCATTGCTTCCTATCTTAACCTATACATTTACAAAAAAAACATATAATATACATTGCGTAATCAATCCTATAAATTCATAGAGAAAGAAACCCTGCTACTTTTTCCAAAATTTTCAGTAAAATTTTGGACATTTTTCTGTTCCCAATCAACTGTAGCTTTTAGATAAACTACAATATAATGAAAATATAGTGAAATTATTACTTTATAGGGCCGAAATAAAGAAAAATTCAATGTTGAAATAATTTTCTGTTTTTCTGAAAAACGGTAAGGGACCGCCAAGAAAAAAGTTCAGATTCGTAATCTACGACCTCAAAATAGAGTGTATACCAATTTTGCTGAAAATCGGACGATTTCCAGTTTTCCCAATAATGACCATAAAAGATACTTTTTTTATAAAATGTCTTTTTACATTTATAATAGATAACATTAACATAACCTAAACATACCTGCATATGAACTGAAGGATAACTTTGCTCACTAACATTCCAAACCTGTACCTTGCCATCTGTTCCTCCAGAAACTAACCACTTATTGTCCATGGAAAGATCAATACTAATCCTCTGATTCGAACTACATTCTCGAGGAAGTACAAACATAGGTCTGCCGGGTACCTAAGAAAGAAAACCCATTATTCCCATCGCTTATTAGATAATATTAAATATATATTTTCCTTTAACGTTATTGACAGTAGAGGTTTTATTCGCAGATTATTAATGCACTATGTCTTACACGAAGATCCCAACAGATTAATTCTTTGTCTTTTCTTGAACCACTGTATAATCTGGAACCGTCCAATGAAAATACCATTGTTGTTATTCCGCCCTTTTGTCCTTGAAGCTTACACAGATGACGGAAAGTACCGTCGCTTTGTGAAACAAGTTCTATTGTATTTTTAACAGTACCTGTAAATAAATGTATCAAAATAAAATGTGAGATGAAGTTCATTCGAGTTGTTCTACCTATAGCTACTACACCGGGCTGTGCTTGGCTGGCAACAATACATGAAGCTTGATGTGTAGTAGGGTATTCCACATATTCTCTTCCAGGGCGACCTGTGGCAAAAATCTTTACATTCTTTTTATAACCACAAAATATATTTTGACCGTCAGCTGAAAAGGTAACACTCATTGCTGATTCCAATTCATCTACAGCATTATATCCTCTGTAAGAACACCTTAGATCTCCGGTAAAAGCATCCCAAAGATGAATAGGTCCTTCATGTCCACTTGAAAGCCAACTGAAAAGAATCAAATTTTAGATAAAATATATTAATCTGCAGTAACTAACCCCCATGACTTCGTTTTGACTTCCAACGCATTCTTGAATATATGCATATCCACATTTCATTTAAATATTTTAAAACTTACCAACAGGTAGCTGCATTGCCACTATTCATCCCAGGATACCAGCTATAGTCGTATATAAGTCCAGTTTCAGGTACAGAAACTGCAGGTGTTAACGCTCCTATTTGTCTACTTTGCATTACAGAATCACAAGAATAAAGATCACTGGGTAATTCGAAAACATTCATTCCACCACCTCTTACAACAGTCAATAAGCATGTCCCATCTGGAGACCACTTACAACCCTTTAAGTAATGCTGATCGGCATAGTTAGGCCATTGAGCCCGTGCAAGTTCCAAGGCAGTGTTCTCAAAATTGTATGTAGCATAATTCATTTGAGGTGCTTCAATATATGCCTCCATTTGAGGTTCTTCATTATAAGTCTCCATAATTAAATAGATACAAATGTTACAGAATAAATGCGAAAAAGCGTATCCTTCCAGATAATTCTTATTACATACTATATATTCAAATAGGTAGTTAAATTTTCAGTCACTAACGTCCTTGGGAGTCACAAAAGTAAATAGAATATATCTCTAAACACAAGACTCACTAATAACTGTTGTATTTTTGCTAAAAACGAAAAAAATTACAAATAGCAGCAAATAGTAAAGCAACACCACGCCGACACAGATTTAAATATTTTTCTAATTTAAAGTTAAAGGGTTTTTGACACTTTTGACGCTTTTGACTTGACATATTTGATACATTTTACCAATGCCTTCTATTAAAAGATCAGCCTACGGGCGGACTTTTGTTTACTTCATCAGCTGTACATACTTAGATATTGGGTTAGATTCCGTTTCATATTTTGTCGGTTGATTTTTGGTTTTAACTCTTTGATTTTTGGTATTATTTATTATTGTAGTGCAAAAAACTAATTATTTTGGTGTTGAAGTGACATAAACTACTACCAGATATATGGTCACTCTCGGTTTCGCACAAAAAATAGAAATTTTAAAAATTACACGTTGTGCAAGTGATTTAACCTAAAAGTGCCCATACATTTTTACTTATCGTGATTTTGTGTGTGTTTTTAAGACTCTAACAATTCATCAATAAAGCTTAAGTGGAGTGTGTTATTGGTGCTATGCCTCATCTTTGTTGTGTTCCTGGTGGAAAGGATGGTTACTAAGGATAGTTATTATACTAGGCAGCCTAAAGTGTCCGGAAGAGCAAGAAAAGTGGGTACGAGTTATAAATCAAGAGAATTTTATTGAAAATATCTTTAATAAATTTAAAAATAATATTCTCCCATGATGGTATTAATGAAAACTGGACAATTATGTTTATTTTATTCATATTGTGGAATCTCCACTCCAAGTGTTGCTGGTTCAGCTTCGATAGATTCAAACACGTAAGTAGGTATTATGATCTAGGGAAAAATAAAGAATATGTGTATTAGAGATCATGAAAAGATTATTATTTTGAGTTCAAATTTTAAAAAAGATTTTTGTAAAGACAAGACTGATACAGTTTAAAAGAAGAATGTGTTTTTGTTTGATAATATATAATGTATGTTAAGCATAACATATATTTGTTCAGTAATTTTAATGAATAGTATTGATTATTTATAATACCAAATTAATATCAAATATTTAAGTGATGGCTGAATACAATATGAATAAAATAACAATAAAATTGGTATATTTGCATAATACAAAATTAAGTTTTAAGAATAAAGGTGTTACTAAAAATACTAAGAAATTCATATTTCTTTGTTTTAATTGGTCTAATGTTATTTACATTTTACGTAAGAATTATACCGTATCATCGAAAAAAAATCGGCGTCTAGTTGGCTTTGGAAATGAACATCGATGACATTCCCTAAATAACTGTACACATAAAATAATTAACTAGAATTTTACAATCTTGGAAAATTTGATATTCTTGAACCTTGATTCTAAATATTCTAAATTTTTTGATTTTCTTGGAATTTAGGTTCGGGAAAAACGCTGATTGATTTTTCATTTGGTTTTTCATTATTTTTATTTGGTTTAAAAAACGGTTCGGCTAACATTATAGCCTCCATCAGTGTTGTGTCATATGAAAAAAAATAGTGTCGAATATAATCCAAAAATTGCATATAAAATATGCACACCACGCACATAATGTTTACTGCGTACCCATAGTCAATGTAGATAATTTTAGTGTTAAGAATAATAATTTTAAAAAATATGTGGTCATCTTTTGATAAGTTTATATTAGTTTATTAATTGCAGTAAACATTATGAGGTGTGAATTATATTGTATATGTAATTTTTTGGATTATATTCGACACTATTTTTCTCATATGACACAACACTGTGAAGGCTATAGTTAGCCGAAACGTTTTTTTTAAACCAAATAAAAATAATGAAAACCCAAATGAAAACTTAATCAGCGTTTTTCCCGAACCTAAAAATCCCAAGAAAATCAAAAATTTTAGAATAATTTAACATATAAAATGCCAGCGATCTTCATTTCATAGCCATCGCTGACGCCTTTTTAGATAATATTGTATTATTTGTAAATATAATTTTTCGAACATTGATACTTGCAAAATATACATATAAATTTTGTGAATGCAAATAATAATACATCACTATTAGTAGATATTCAATGTTTTTTGTTAAATTAGATCGATTTTCAAACCCCAAAATTTAAAATATATTTACATTTTACCCATTATCTTATGTACCTATACATTATTTGTACATTGTAAAACATTTGCTGCATATGTATGGTTCATAGTTTATTTGCCAAAGTATTATAAATTTATATTACTATAAATAGGTATATATGTTGTAGTTATTAACTGTATATTATGTATATTTCATTTAAACTATATCATTTTTAAAATACAAACCAAAAATCTGAGGAATAATTATGTTTTCCATGTATTCTACAACATATTTATTAATCCGTTATATCTAACTAGCGTGACGTCATAAATCTCGCCCGTAGGCTGATCTTTTAATAGAAGGCATTGATTTTACCTACTAATAAATGGAATACCCTTTCTGTGGTTCTCACTTGACATTTACGACCTTGATTAAAAATAGGTTAAATTGAGGTTAGATTTCCAACCCATTTTTACTGAAGTGATTAATTTTATAAATAGAATATTAATAATAGGTACATGCTTTATCCCTTAAATTAAACCATTGCTAAACTAAAAATATGAAAATTAACGATAAAAATCTTTGTGCATTTGCTGTGTCAGCAACTCCTGTTGATAAAGAAGGGTTTTTAAACAAAAGAGGAGAACTTAATAAAAATTTTCAAAAGAGGTACTTTGTCTTGAAAGGGAATTTGCTTTTCTATTTTGAAAAGAAGGGAGAAAAGGAACCTCTCGGTGTAATAATTTTGGAAGGATGTACAATTGGTGAGTTCGACTATTGTATAGTATTTAACAATATAATTGATTCATTAGCATGTACCAAGTACAGATTGCCCGAACTTGATACTTTGTTGATTAATAAGCTGGTTTGGTACTGGTATTTTAGAGTTAGGTGAAGAAGAAGAGCAATTCTGTTTTAAAATTCTTTTCCATGGTACCAACAATAGAAGTTATATTTTGGGTGCAGAATCTCAAGAATCCATGGAACAATGGATGAAAGCTTTAGCATGTTCTAGTTATGATTATATGAAATTAATGGTGGCAGAATTGCAGAGACAATTAGATGATATAGAAGGTAATTTAGAATTCGTTTAACAACAGACATACAGGAGTACTTGTGAAATATTAGTGATATTGTTTAATTTCTCCCATTTTTAATAAACTTAAAACTTCATAAACTTAATAACATTGCACAAAAGTCTTCAGCAGTCCTTAATAGGCATTAGTATATTGCCATACCTTCGATACCTTTGTTAGAAGTGTCATTTTGGCATAACGGTAGGTAGCTAGGTGTATAAAAAAGAAGAAACAATGTTTTTAACAAATTTTAAATCAGATTAGATAAAGTTATCTTATCTGTTCTTAAAGATTTAGACATTAAATAGTATTAGATTGATAATTTTTTTGTTATACAACGAGGTTCTGTATGGAAACTCCAATAGATAGCTATGATTTGGGAAACAGTAAATTTTATGTTTATCCAGAAACTCCTATTCCTGTACCTGTCAAAGAGGCTCAAAATTCACCAGTTGCACCGCCAAGAACTAGGCACAATCCTTTTAATAAACCTGAGATGAATACACATGTTAGGCCTGCCAGTGTTAGAAACACTAGTAAGTAGAATTATGTTTTTTATGCAATATAGGCAGCAATATAACATTTTTTTAACTGTAATAGTTATATAAATATATTTTTTTATCAAAAATAATAAGCTTTGCAACCAAGCTCTAGTAACAATTCACTTAGTAAAAATTGGTCAAAATAAAATGTAAAATAACACTACATAATATACAGGGTATTTCGAAAAACATTTGCTATCTCTTGGGAAGTCTATATTTTTTTCGACTTATTATAATTTTCTTCCAAATGCTTTTTTTGCAAAAGTTATTATAAGTGTTACATATTTTATAGTACTAAAAAAGTCTCGACATATTCACCAGGAACCTGTATATGAGTTATCACTGGAATATTATTCTAAAAAACATATGCGCCATTGACATTTTTTGATAGCAAAATTGAATAGGCCATTTAATGCCAATTAAAAGTTCTATCATCATATTTTCTCTATTTCACCCTCCTCTCAGGAGATAAACTTAATCACGATTAATAAAATTAAAATTAATAAATTATTTATTTAATCAATTTTATTATTAAATGTTATTAAAATTTATAATGCTGAAGTTCAGTGCTACCTACAGCAAATTGAAGAAAAAAATTAATTTTATTTAAGATAATTACAAATAGTATATTAAACAAAGAGTTTCGAAAACGACGTTTTGCACACGAGTTCGACTGTTTGTTGGCTCGAGCCGCAGGCAAGAGCCACAAGTCGAACGAGTGTACAAAGAAGTTTTCGAACGAGTTTTTTACGCTATTTTTTCTACGACTACAAATTAGCAGCAGACTCACTCAGTTTTTGCGAGTTTTGTGGAATAATTTGCGATGTAATGATGACACTTCTCTGACGGCTGCGTTGCGTTTGGCGTTTCAGCTAAATATTGGAGGTTAAAAATGTTAAAATTGATACATGTCGTGCGCTAAATCCTTATCACACGACAGTTTGCAAAACGCCAATTTCAGATCGAGTTTTCCGTGTGTCAAACTGTATTTTCTAGGCTTGTCGTAGAAAAAGGCATTTTTTTAACGTTTTAATATTCTGTAACCAGAGCTGTAACTTTGAAACTATGCATTTCTGCACCAATGTTTATAGGAATTTTTTTTATATTTATTGATGAGGAATGAATAAGTTATTATTAAACACTTTGGCCTGTTAACAACATTATTTTTTTTAAAGATTGCTATTAGTTTAGGATTAATATAAGGTAAATTAATAAAATTGTATTTATCGTATTAGGGAGATTGAAATCGATAAAATATCAAGAGACAACTTTTAATCAACATTAAAAGTCAGTAGCGCACAGTTTTTTTCTTAGAAAAATATCCTATATGCACGTCCCTAGTGAATCTGTTTTAACTTAATAGTTTAGATATGTTGCAACTATAGTAAATTTTACCCTAAATATATCATTCGAATCGCTAAAAGCACTTAAAGAAAATTATAATAAATTGAAAAAAGTTTAGACTTTAACCCCCTGTAGCCACTAAAACACAGCAGAATCGGACCTACAAAACACGTCTAAAAATGATTAATGGTGTATGTGACATGACCATTGCCTGGAAACTTATATCGTGCTTATATGGCGAAATTTTGATAAAATAATTTAGTACTCACTAAAAACACAGTATGTCGCTAGTAGTAGGAAAAATAATTTTTAGAGGTTACTAGTTTATTTGGTTGCCTGCTTTGAATAAGAAGACTAAGGAAGGAGCAAACCAATACGGGAACAGGGATCGGAGTGTTTGGGCCGAGAGCTAATTACTCCGAACCAATGGGCACTTACCCTAGTATCCTACAGGCAGAAATCTACGCTATCGAGAGATGCGTACAACTTATCTTAGATAGGAACTATCGGAAACAAGAAATAGCCATCTTATCTGATAGTCAAGCAGCATTAAAGGCGATCAACTCAGTATCAATCAATTCGAAATTGGTCAAAGAATGCATAGAGAAGCTGAATAAATTAGCCAAAGAAAACAAAGTCCTCCTGCACTGGGTGCCTGCTCACCAAGGGATAGAAGGCAATGAAAAAGCAAATAATCTAGCTAGGAAAGGAGCGAACACTCCACTAACTGGACCAGAACCGTTCTGCTTTCCAAGTGGTAACCAACTCAAGGCGGAACTCAAGAACTTGGAAGATTCCATCCGCAACCTGGAATGGAAATCTTGCAATGGTCTAGGACACTCGAAGAAGTTTCTGAGGGCTTATGATCAAGAAAAATCACAGATCTTCCTGGGTCTGAGTAAGAACAATCTTCGGATTGTCACGGGGTTTTTAACAGGACACTGTCTCCTCAATGAACACCTCAGTAGATTGAAACTAAGAAGAAACGGCGAATGCAGATTCTGTGGGGAAGATGGTGAAACACCAGTACACCTCATCACTGAGTGCCGAGACGACAACCATTCGTGCCATGAATTTTGGTACGACTGATATTGGAGATGGAGAACTACCCTCTATAAAACCGTCCCAGATACTGGCTTTTGTCAAAGCCCTGGGACTGTATGATGAGTTATGATTCAAGAAAGGGGGACACAATGGATCTGTAAGGTCGAAGTGATTAACCCCCCTCCCACTCATTCTAAATTCTAAAAAAAAAGGAAGGAGCATATCAAAAATCTTAGGTACACCGCGATGGGCCTCAAATATGGCCGACTTAAATTCCGGTTTATCAGTGTCGTTCTAATTTTATTTAAAAAATGTAAAACTATGATGTAGGGTAGACTCAATAATTTGTTGTTTTATTTTACGTTGGGAATAAATGTTGGTAGTTATTAAAGTTGTTATAAAAATATATAATTCTAATAAAAATATATAAGTTATAATAAGTATTTATTAACACAAACATCCGATACGCTACTGAAGCAGGTAAGTCAAATTAACGTATCTAAATTCTTTGACATCTAATCTTTGACAAGTAATAAATAAAAGCTAAAATGCAAGAAAAATATATAATTTAGTTAATTTAAGTGAATTTCATAAATGATCGGTTTACTACACGTATGTATATTATATGGTCACTTACTACCGAAAAGTTGTTCCATTATTTCACTCAATTTTTGCCGAGATCTACCGCACGCTACACAACCAACTATTTTAGAATCTTTTTCGATAAATGGCGATAGTGTCACTGTTAGTTTAAGTTCTGCCACAATTTCCATCTAGATTTACTACCTTTATACAACTATCAGTAGTAGAATAAATAATAAATAACATAAAATAAGCTCCGTAAAGACTGACAAATCAAACCAAATCAAACTCAATGGTTATATAAAAATTGTTTTAAGAACACATGAGGAATCACACCATAATTATTTTAGACTAATTAGAAAACACCCTGTATATTGTCAACTTGACAATGATTGTTGATAAATCAAAAAATATCTTTTCTGTGAAAAAAGCCCGATTTTCGCAGGAAAAATTTTGATTTTATTGAATTTGGGCCTGCGTCTGCAAATACCGGTATGTTTTTTAATATTCTATCTATCTAAATTTTAAATATCATAATCAGAAATAGTTTTATTATTTATTAACTGTAAAAATGGTATACTTATGAGTTTTATAAAATATTGTGATTTACTTTCTACCTTGTAGTCAAAATTTATATTTAATAAACTGTAAAATATATATATATATATATATATATATATATATATATATATATATATATATATATATATATATATATATATATATATATATATATATATATATATATTCTTATGTTTTATTAAAGTTACTCTGATATGCTAATATATCAGTGTAACTTTAAAACTAAATCCTTTGAAATCAAATATAAACATAAAGAATATTTACAGCAGAAAAGGCGAAGGCGCTGGGTTAAACGTAGTCTCTACTAAGAACACGGAGGGGCGCTTTGACCCAAAATTTTACTATTAAGTTTCATATCTATCTTAATAGAAGATTATTTTCTTTTATCTATGGACATGATACCTTTATCACCTAGGATATTCCTTATGGTATTTTTATTTGATATTTAGAGTCTATTGGAGGATAGATCTGTCAAAGGGATGTTGAAATACTGAATAAAACTGATTTTTAAAAAAATGCGACATAACACCTTTTTCAACTCATGTCTTTAATTATTATTGTAGATAGTGCAAAAGCCAAATTTAACGTTAACGGTGTAACACTATCACGAATACAATAGCTCTCTACTAATAGCGATAGCACCTTAAATGTTTACATCTCTGGGATCAACTCAGGAAATACGTGGAGTGCGTTCCACTAAGCGCTCATAATGCTCAAAATATGCATTCGGTCGTTCCACATGACGATCGCGGACGTTGTGGTCGCGGCGTAAACGTCATTATTTTCGCTCAAGCCGAGCTCACAACGACCCATCTGAATATTAGGATCAAAGTGGACGTTGAGGAATTTTGGCGCAATTTTATAGACTTAAAATAAAAATTTTCATAGATTCTCATAGCCAATAATACGTGGCCTAAGTTTTCGCTTTCTACGATCGCGATTTTGTAAAATTGCATTCCACTATATTCGTGTGAACTAGATGAAGAAGTTTCAGACCCATTCCGATGCACCAAATATCCAACTGTCGCCAAAGTCATTTTGATTTCCTTTTTTTGAGACAGATTTTTTGAATTCTCTTCTGTGATTTTGACTATAATTTACTATTTATTTACATACATTGACAGGATTGCCGCTTAAAACGCCCCATAACCCATTCCACTTGAGTTTATGATCATAACGCTCGCAAGCAAGTGGAACGGGAAAAATCGCGATCTTGAGCGTGAACGTTAAGAGTGCTTAGTGGAACTTGAAAACCAATATGGCGTCGAAAATGATGACGAAAGTTCCAAACTTCATGAATCGTGTAGTATATGTTGATATGGCAAATAAATCTTATTTATTTTATCTTACTTCAAATTGGATGGCACATGTTTTTTGAAACACCCTAAAGAAGTAATACATCCATTGGATGCTATTTTGTTAGTACCGTATGATCGAGTAAAAACGGCGTCCACTTGGCTCGGAAATGACGATCGATGACATTCCCCATATAATTTTACATATAAAACGACAGCGATCTTCATTTCATAGCCATCTCTGACGCCGTTTTTTTACCATGTCATTTCCCAGCCAACTGGACGCCGTTTTTTTTTCGATCATAAAGTATACCGGGTGCGTCTCAAAACTGGCTCACCCCTATAACTTTTTTATTTTTTGAGATAAAAAATCGAGATTTGGTATATATGACATAAATTAGGATTGATTGACTTATTCAGTTGTTTTCTGTCACTTCCTGTATCACCGGAAATGACTACAACTTTTGATTTTTAAATGGTACCCTCGTGCTTTATTCAATAGAAAATAACACTCTGGATGTAATGACATATCATATGTCAACTTTTAACATTTTCGAATATGGTTTATTTGAAATTGTAACATGCGATTCATAACGACAATTTGACTCGATATACCAAGTGTGTGGTACCAAATTCTGTGGAGTCACCCTCATTCCATTTGAAAAAAATGAGATATGATTAAAAATACGATTTGGGCATCTTTTAACCGGCCCGGACAAGACACGAATAATATTAGATGATCAAATCTATGTTTCCAAGACTCCTTGATTAAAAATTAGTGTTTTTATAACAGCCATGGCACTCTAGATTGAAATTTAAATTCAATTTTGTTTTAAGCAAAAATGTCAAAAGTTGACATATGATATGTCATTCTATTTAGAATGTCATTTTCTATCGAATGAAGTAAAAAAATACCGAGGGTGCTATTTAAAAATCAAAAGTTGTAGTAATTTCCGGTGAAACAGGAAGTGACAGAAAACAATTGAATAAGTCAATCAATCCTAGTTTATGTCTTATGTAACATACCAAATCTCGTTTTTTTATCTAAAAAAAAAATTAAAAAGTTATAGGGCTGGGCCACTTTTGAGACGCACCCGGTATATTATGATGCTACTTAACTACATAATTAAATATTTTTTAGGTAGAAATGATGAATCCATTAGACATTCTGATCCAGCAAGTTTACCACCAACACAAAAGATTACATTTAGAGAACTGCATAATTCTTATGGAAGACCAATCTTGCAAGATTTTAATATTTGGAAACGAGAACAAAGGGAGAAATCGGATAACGCTGTTACAAATTTGATCTCATTTTAATTAAATAGGATAGATAATGTTCATAAGTTGCATATGAATGTAAATTATTGAACTAAGAAAATAATATGAAAATTAATACTATTTTATTTTATAACTGTAGAAATCCAATTAAATGCTTATAATGGTTTATTATATTAATAACTTTGACTTATTTATTAAAGAAGCATTTTGATATTAAAATAATTTTGATAGATATACTTTTCAATATTACCATATTAGCCTATTTTTACATTTTTTTTTCTAATGTAAGTTTGCTTTGTGATGATTTATTTTCCCCATATGTATTTGAATCATGTATATTACAAAATTAATATATTTATATTTCAATTCAAAACGTATTTTTTTAAATATATCAAAGGTAATGTTTTTATTTCACTAAAATGATAACATTTACATCATAAAACATAATATACTTTGTATGATAATGCTTGCTTTTGATTTAAATGAACATAATCTTCTAATTTTAAAATTTCGTATATACAAGATGCAATTATTAAATAATCGGTCATCATTTTTATAGAAAAAAATTGTGTGTGCACTATTTGAGCATATTTGAAGTGAAACTTCTTACTTCCGTTTATCTGTCTGTCCGTCTGAGAACTCCATTCGAAGACCTCTATACACGTGCCGAGTTTGGTCCCAATCGACCCATAATTAAGAAACTTCCTGATGATTTTGTAGCCCGTTCCCAATTATGCTGAAATCGACCCACATTTTTCTTCAATATCAACCCCTAACTCACAGAGCGGCCCGTATTACGACGTTTCGTCGTAACCTCCGATCTAGTGATGGGCAAAACTGTTATTTTTAGATAACAGTTGAAACTGTTATAGTTATTTATAAAAAACAGCTTAAAATAACAAGTTTCTTTATTTAATTGCTAAATATCTGAAAGAGTATGAGGCGGTCACCGCCAGGCGTATTAACGCAGTTGCAAGTTGCAACAATGACGTGCTTGGTGGTAGTATTTCCAGGGTGTCAAAACATTTCTAAATATCGATTGTTATCTAAAATACCTCTAAAAACGGTGGTTGCTTACAAATAAGCGCTGCTTACAAATTGCGATATAAAAATAGCCAAAATTCCGCCACTCGTCTATACCTATATATTCCGATCTACCTACGCCCTGCCCCTCGATCCGCGTAGACCCTGAATTGCGTAGCAGTGTACAGGGTGCATCTCACTCGACGGGCGAGAAGCTCTTGGTTATGATTTTACCATTTGCGGTCAAAAATAGCAATATAAGGAAATGTGTAGTATATTATTCATAAGTAAACCAACTACACACTAGAGTTCGAATTAATTTTACACTTAAACTAGCGTGTACCCGCGACTTCGTTCGCGTCGAATTAATAATTTGTAATGGTGATGATAAAGCAAAGCAAGAATTTCCATTAACATACAAACTGTATAAAATTTTCTCACATTTGCCAAGAATAAGCTTTTAGCGTCGAGCAGTTTAAGCAGAATCGTGGTTAATCAATTACTCAACTTTTTGGAACACCCAGTATGATTTTTTTAAAAATTTCAAAATATGTAAAAAAACAAAATAAATTATGCGTGTCCAAGCGTTTTCCCGAAAGACTAACCGTTTTTTAAATAACAAATATTGTAATATTTGAGGGGCATTTTCACCCTCTTGGAATTTGAGATTCGAGAAACCCCTCCTTATCGAACCTCTACACCCCACAGTCAATCCGTTTGCCAAAAATCAGCTTTAAACGTCAAGCAGTTTAAGCAGAATTGTGATTACTCAATCGTCATATTTTATGAAACACCTTGTATATATTTTTAAAAATCTTAAAATATGTAAAACAACAAAATAAAATATACGTGTTTAAGAGTTTTCCCGAAAGACTAACCGTTTTTTAAATAACAAATATTGTAATATTTGAGGGGCATTTTCACCCTCTTGGAATTTGAGATTCGAGAAACCCCTCCTTATCGAACCTCTACACCCCACAGTCAATCCGTTTGCCAAAAATCAGCTTTAAACGTCAAGCAGTTTAAGCAGAATCGTGATTACTCAATGGTCATATTTTATGAAACACCTTGTATATATTTTTAAAAATCTTAAAATATGTAAAACAACAAAATAAAATATACGTGTTTAAGAGTTTTTCCGAAAAACTCACCGGTTTTTAAATAAAAAATATTCTAATATTTGAGTGTGGTTTCACCCCTTTAGAATTCGAGTTTCGAAAAATCCCTTCTTATCGAACCTCTACACCCTAAAGTCAATCCGTTTTCCAAAAATCAGTTTTTTACGTCAAGGGCTTTAAGCAAGATCGTGATTAATCAATGACCAGATTTTTCAAAACACCCTGTATACATTTTTAAAAAATCTTAAAATATTATTCTGAAAAATCTTCAGAATAAATAAATACCTAAATATTGAAACTTAATAACGTACTGAAACATACAGCGCCATAATATCTCGACCTCCGCCCGTTATGCTCGTAACAGGTTGAAAAACAATGTATCTAAAACAACTGATGTGTTATTCTCCAACCTGTTTCGAACCTCCATCGACAATCGACCCACTCCCATTATGTCGACCGCCGCTCTGTTATGCTCGTAACAGGTTAAAAAATAACGTATCTAAAATGACTGCTTCGCCAACCCGTTGCGAGCCTCCATCGACAATCAACCGATGCAGCAGCGTTCCTTTCCCACTCCTGTTATCTCGACCGCCAGGCGTTATGCCCGCAACTGTTTCAAAAAAGCTGCTTCTTTTATATCCTATTATTTTTAAGCTGTTGCAAGCCCAATACGACCAGCGACGGCATCGACCGATGCAAATACGTTCGCCGCGCCGCGCTGTAGCGCATACCCCACTCCGTTGTCCGCTGTATCTCGCCGCCTGTATAGATGGTTGTCGAAATAACATATTTTCCATCCATACTAGTTGTTTTTTTGGAATTGCTTCGAGCAGCATCGAATTTTGGTGGTTCCACGAAGATCGATCTCCTGTGTGTCGTTATTTTATATCTATTATTTTTTAAGTAATTAACGGTTGCGTTATGTTATTTCTAAATAATTGTTATAAAATAACAGATATTTAAATAACAACCCATCACTACTCCGATCGTTACTACTTTTCCTGATTCTAGCTCGTGTGTCACGGCCTTCAATTTTTACTCCCAACTCGCGTAAAGAAGTTTCACTTCAAAAATATGAAGATTTTTATGATTTTACTACAATTTAGATAAATAATAAAAAAAATAATGTGTACTATGCTCTTTTAGATGTTTAACATTAAAGTCAAAAAGTAACAGAATCCTGTTATTTTAAGCTCTTAATATAACAGTAACAATTTCAACTGTTATTTAAAAATATCGGTTTTTCCCACCACAACTTTCGTGCTACTTCGTGTCTATTGATAATCAGATCTGGTTTCGCAAAATAGCAGCTATGGTTTATGGATAACTATCGTTCCTCCGGCGCGGCGACTGCCTAATAATAAAATTTGGGTAAATGCCCCAGGTATTGCATCCGGTATTTATATCCAAGAATATTTATTAATAATTTATGGTACTCTAACAAATTTTAACAATTTCTGATGATGTGGTTAAATTCAACATTAAAGAATCATCTAAGAGTAAACGGTCAGAAAACTATCAGTTAAATCAATGGACAACAGCCAAAAAATGAAAAACACGCTAGCACATCTTCTATGGTGCCATTTAAGTAAATATCTTAATTTTTCAGGGGGATCTTCAAAGGGGATCTTATTATTTCTTAATTAATCTGAATTAAGTCAAGTTGGTGATTGAATTGTCAAATGGAATTAAGTCAAGTGAAAAGTTATGTGAGAAGATCATCTATTGGTAGTTTTTAGGGATGGCACCCTAAATCAACACATTTTATTTAATAGTCGTGAAAGTATAAATTTGATTAACTTATAACATGATGCTGAAATATATATTTTTTTAATTAATTGTGAACCTCCTCTGGGATCAACTTTAGACTAAATCAACCTTCTTAAATTCTCAAATGTATAAACACTATTTTTGGAAGGAACGGAAAAGGACCAGAATGCAATAAAATGTAACTATAATAATTTTATACTCATAGAGCGGTTTATTAATAATACCTAATTAATATGTATATAATTATTTATAAAGTTATTAACATGTGTATTTTACTAATTCAACTAATGTCAATAAAATATTTACAATTTCTTTTAACTATTAATTTCCCCAATTCCCTAAAATTGACATATTACAACAGTAACTATTATTTACAAAATTATGGTACTAAAATGTCGCGGAACTTACAGACAACAGTCCTAAAACCGGTCCACTATATTGACAAAATAACTTTTAAATAAACGTAACATAAATTATATAAACAGAAGTGATTTATAAAAGAAAAATATACAATAAAAAATATAGTACAGCTTTGAAGGTTTTATCACCTAATTTTTTATAATTTGCGATTTTTTAAATACTGTCATAAATAAATGTACATCAGATTGGATCGTCAAGACAAGATCAAAACAAAATCAGAATGATTTTTAAAAACAAACAAAAACAAAGTGTCATCTTGGGACATGTCCCAAATTAAATGTGCAAAATAACATTGGCAACAAATGTTAAAAAGAGATCTTCAATCTTCACTAGATTTTACAGTATAACAACGATCTCTTATTGTAAATGCTAATTATTTTATTCCATACAGTAAGCACCAATAAATACCAGTCCAAATCATACATTTCCCAATAAATAATTATTATTAATCTCCAATTTAAAAATTAGATTTCTCCATAGTTTATGACAGTTTTTAGCTAAAATATATTTAATCAGTGCGTACTGTATAGAACAATATTTAAAAATAGTAACAGGATGCGCAACAATTCACAACAGTTTTAGCTGCAACACACCTGAGGCGTTAATAAAATATATTATAATTTTGGCCCCAGTAAAATTTTTGTTTTTACTTTAAATTTACGTCGTCAAAAAAGAGAAAAAATCTTTTTTAATGTATATATAGATGTGTTTCTTATTTTAATATATATTTAAAGTACATATTTCATTCTCTAAAATAGTTCTAGCGACGTATAGTATTTAAAACATTTGTATATTCATTTCAAAATTACAATTTAAAATATTTTTTTTAATTATAAATAAACCAGTATACAACATAACTTCATATTCTATTAGGTACATATACAGGGTGATTCTTAAATAAGTGCAAATAATTATATTTATATTATATATAGTATATTCTGATCCCAAACACACGATTGTTTTTTTTTTCGCGAAAAACACAATTTTGAAAATTTGGAATTTCTTTAAAAAAATCCATATTTTCAAAAACTGTTTTTAGTTTTTAGTTAAAAAACATAATTTCTGGATAATATGGCAATATAAGTAGTAGATTAAATTTACAAGGAAGAAAATGCAGAAAAGATCGAGTGATTCTCAAAATTTTAGCAAATCATTTTTTTGTAATTTTCAAAGTAGATAAAATAACTCGGTTATTTTGTATTTATTTGAAAAACGGTAAAGAGAAAATATGTTTCTTTTATCGAAATCTACCAGCCCTGAAAATATTTGTACTTATTTAAGACTCACTCTGTATAATAATTGAGTTAATATGAAATAAATATAAAAAATATAAAAACTTTTAATAATCACAATATTCAAAACGATTTAATCTAATTTTGTAAGTTAAGAATTTACAAATTTTCAAATTATTTCTATTATAATTGTTTTCTGAATATGAATAGTATATTGGGATTTAATTATCTTTCGGCAATGAAAATATAATTTTTGACGTAAGTTTGAAAATATACTCTGTCCAACGAAAGGATACAAGACAGTGACAGTTGTGTCTGTCATTTTAGTACAGGCGTAAATTGAATTTTCTGTCATTTTTTTGGTTGTCTGTCGAAAATCTTCCTCGGCTCTTTAGATAAACTTTACTTCGAAATTGTTTAAATTTAGGTATTATGAGGTTATACTTAAATATGTTCAGAATTTCATATGTAGGCATATCGAAGACGACGTGGATCTGAAAGCGACAGTGTTGCCATATTAAAATGTGTAGTAGCTGTAATACGTTTAACGAAAATATCTTTGGATAAAAAATCCGCGTTTATGTATTGAAAATTTATTCGCGTTAAACATGGAATAAGCGACAAAAATAAAAATTCTTTTATAGATATTTAATATGTCGTATGGTCGAAAAAAGTCATTTAGTTGACTTGAAAATGACGATTATTGACATTTACCATAATATTTTACATATTATGAAATAACAGCGATCTTCATTTCCAAGGCAACTCTGACGCCGTTCTTTATTAACCATATAATATTATATTAAATTTTTTTAATGATAGAAAATCCGTATTATTAACGTACTGTTCCCAAAATCCGTAAATCTACAGATTAATCAGTAGATCTGGCAACACTGTCTCCGGCAACCACTCACTCAGTCGACTGAAAGCAGATCTATGGTACAGTATTCTTTATCCGCTGCGCTGTAAACGACTATCAGCGCGCAGCGGCGCAGAGCTAAACTAAATCTAGAAATTCTCGGACAGGTTTTGTGCCACGAAATCGTCCATAAGGTTGCGCATCTTCTTATTTCTTCTTATTTTTTTCTTAACAGAAGATTACACACACGTCTTAGTTATCAAATTTAGTAGCTACACAACTGAATAAAATTATTAGTGCAAAAAAAAAATCAATAAAACACTATACTCTCTTTAAAGCTGAAATAAAATTAAAAGTTATACCTCTGATAATCAAATATTTTGTATGTTCTCTAATGTCGACTAGAAACAAATATACAAATGTTTTAAATTGACTTAAAAGTGAAACAATTTTGATTTAAATATAAGCTAGCTGTATTATATACAAATTGTTCTAGAAATATTGGTGTTTACCTATTCCACCACCCTCTTTGGCAATACCTTAGAATACCACAATATTTGATTATATTGCTGGCTAAAATTGTATTCCTTTTCAATTATTTGTCTTATAGTTTAGTAAAATTAAAAAACGTCAAAAAGGAGATATGTGGTAAGCTTTAATAATATATTATATTGTAGGTATAGGGCTTTGATCTTGCACTTTGCAATTTTCATTTTGATAGATATATACTTTTGCCTAATTCAGTCTATTTTTTGTCGTTTTTTTACATGTGTTTCAAATGTGCTTTAAAAACTTAATCAATTATGGAAAATCTTGGAATTAATATATCTATGTATGTATATATAATGTATATAATTTTTTTTTCAGGTGTGGAAATTCAGAACTATGAAATATCAAATCAGCCATTTATACATTACTATACTTTATAATTTTCGCCTTTACTAGTTTTCAATAAGGCCTTCTACTTCGATATACAAAATAATATTGTCAATTTATTTATTAATTACTAAATAACAATCAGAGACACAACTACAATAAAATTGCATAAGGAGACATAGGCACAGAATATCTTAACTGTACACAAGCAATTTTGATAGTTAAATTCTCTTGAACGCCAAAACAATGTCTGGAATTTTATTGAAAGAAATTTTTAAATGCACTGAGAAAAATTATTTTTTATATAACTGTTATTTTATTGTGACGTCACTGGCGTGCAGTGCTAATCAAAGCAGGGCAGGCAAAATTTGGCAAAATAATAAAATAAAAATAGTTTTTACTATAAATTAAGACAAAAATTATCAAATTCGGCATCACTGCGCAGGACAGCGATCGACACCAACGAAATAAAATCACGCGTTATTCCATTATTCCCTCTCTTTTTTGGCCTTCGAGTCATTGCGGTCTGTGTTTGTGTTGTGGGCCACTGTGTGACGTTATATTTTTACAAAATTTACTACATAAACAATCAAAAAATTCAATTTCAAGTAAAATTTTAAACGCGATTACAAATTATGTTCTAAAGTAGGTATTTTAAGTTAACGTTTCCTTTTAGCTGCTAAGGTTAATCTGGACGGGGCCTACCGACTTGGCGAACGTCTAAAACCGACTCTTACTCACGAGATATACGATCTCATCCGGCTTTGAAGCAGTGTGAATGAGCAGTGTGTGTCAATATATTTTACACTCTTGCCATGGAACAACAGAATTTTTATGTTTGGATGGAAAATATCCCAAATTAAAACGTCAATAAATAAAAAGAGGAAGAAATGGAATCTATGTTCCTTCTTAAAGAATACTTTCAATCATTTCGATATCGGTGTTACTAATATAACAGCCTAAAAATATGACAAACTCGCTTATAAAACAAATCGCTTATATCGCTTTTGTAGAGTTAAGCAATTCTGTAACACTGATGCAAAAATTTAAACATATTACAAACGAAAATTTAACTGTATTTTCTAGACTTTTTTTTTGAGGTACACCTCTGAAACATCTCTTTAACCTGACAAATAAAATAGTTTCTCCAAATTTGATTTATTTCTTATTGTACTAAAATACAATAAGAAACAAGGAAGAAGATCCCTGAGATGCGAAAGGAAGCTGACAAAGGAAGATTCAAGTAAGTTATTAACAAAATTTCTTTTCAAGCACCATAATGAAACACATGTAAAATGTCATTGATATTGAAACTTACAGAAACACATATTACAATTACATTGAGATTTAACTAACCTATTTATTACTCTTGTAAAACACTGTGATTATTGGCAGTTAAAAATATATAATATTATAGTTTATATATTCGGCGATTTCAGTTTAAAAATAGTTTTTATACAGACTAAAATTTATTATAATATCACAATTTTTCTTTGTACAATAAAAAACAATAGGGACAAATTACAGTTAAATTATTCTCTGTATGTACATTGTTCAATTAAAATAATATCAGTATTAACAACACTTTGAGTATTATAATAATTTGTCACTATACTTACAATCTACACATTGGCTAAAATAATTACAACCATAGGAATAAGTTCCATGCGAAATTTTGTTCGCTTAACGTTCTGACAATGGATTTAAAATTGCTGCAAATTTTGACCACCTTCTCTTTAAGTACCGTAGAATATATACTCAAAACAATGTTTAATATGTACAATAAAATAATATGTAATGTACATAACGAAACTTCAAATATTAAGACATCAACAAAAAATTAGGCGAGTGTAAAAGATTAAAAGAAATAGAAACGATAAAATGAAATCAGGTTACACTAAATGCCTAAACACTGCCTATAGGCACAGGGTTTTACAAGAGCGCTGCAGCTGTGTGATAAAGTTGAACTAAAACTTGCATATGAACTGGCAGACATGACAAACGGTCCTTGGTGTTAGAGTCTAGAGCCAACCAGGAAAGGGCGTTATAGCCTTCCAAAACATACCTGAAATATAATAAAATACGTTATCTACTGCCGACTTTATAAAATAAGTAGTGAAAAAAACATAGAAGTATATACAGGGTGTCCCACTTAAGATGGATACAAGCCAATATCTTGATTTTTTGTTGAGCGATCTTTTTCATTTTTGGCAGGAGGCTGCATGGCTATAAGACGTACATTTTGCCCAGAGTAAGAAATGCGATACTTCATAGACGTACGTTTTAATGGAATTTAATATTTTTCGAGTGAAGAGTTAACCCTTAGGACAGTATTTATTTCAAATCTAATAAATTATATTGAATCCTCCTTACCTAAGATACTTAAGTTCTAATTTTTATAAATATTGATACAGGGTGTGTCATTAAAATAAGACATTTTTATTTTTATTATAATTTTTTAAGTACTTACGACGCCACTGGATAAACAACTGGTTTATTATCAATAACCACACACACAATTATATCCAATTATCAATTACTTAATAATTGATTTAAGTTTGGTTGAAGATGTTGACTTTCACTTCGTTATAGTTTTATAAATTTTTGTTTAGGGCATATTTTTCAAAGTTAATAGTGATTGTTTTAAATAACTATTTGGATTTTTTAAAATATTCCTCAATAAAACGAATAAAAATCATATTTCAGATTCCATTAAAAACTCGGTTTTTAAATTATTTTGTAACTCATTTTATTCATTTGTATTAGCAAAGTTAAAAAAACAATTTTTTAAAGTAAACAAAATAAATTGAAAGTATTTAGTTTTTTTGTATCGTATCTTAATTATTATGGAAGCTATCTGAAAACTTAAATCGATTATTAATTGATAATTGGTTATAATTGGTTATTGATAATAAACCAGTTGTTTATCCAGTGGCGTCGTAAGTACTTAAAAAATAATAAAAATAAAAACGTCTTATTTTAATAACACACCCTGTATCAATATTTATCAAAATTAGAACTTTTGAAGTATCTTAGGTAAGGAGCATTCAATATAATTTATCAGATTTGAAATAAATACTGTCCTAAGGGTAGTTTACTCTCGAAAAATATCAAACCCCATTAAAACGTACGTCTATGAGGTATCGCATTTCTTACCCTGGACAAAATGTACGTCTTATAGCCATACAGCCTCCTGCCAAAAATGCAAAAGATCGCTCAACAAACAATCAAGATATTGGCTTGTATCCATCTTAAGTGGGACACCCTGTATATATCTATATTTTTTATATACCTGCCGGTTGTTTGTATTCTAACAGGTAAGATAAAATTTAATAGTAGTTGATGAAGTTTTACCTAGTTTTGCCCCCTTAAGCAATGAATTCCGAAAATCATTCTAATTACTCAATTACACTACATAAGGAACCTCTGTGCAAATTTTTATACTCCTAGGAGAAATTTTTTTAGAATGTTCACCCCTCATTTCACCCCCTTAGAGGGAGAATTTACAAAAATTGCTTCTTGGTGCTAAATTACGTTATACAAGGAACTGCGTAGAACACTGCGCAGAATTTCATACTTCTAAAACCGATTTTAACAAATTTTTGTACAAATTTTCATCCCTTATTTCTTAGGGGATGAATGACCAAAATTCGCTTCTTTCATCACTTAAGGGGCCTCTGTGCAAAATTTCATACTCCTAGTCCTAGAACGGATTTTACATAAAAATTATACAAATTTTCACCACCCCTAGTTTTACCCCCTTAAAAATAAATTCCGAAAATCGCTCTAACTATTCAATTACACTACATAAAGAACCTGTGTGCAAATTGTCATACACCTTGGACAAATTTTTGTCAGAATATTCACCCGTCATTTCACCCCCTTAGAAGGCGAATTTCCAAAAATTGCTTCTTAGTGCTAAATTAAGTTATATAAAGAACGTCTGTGCAGAATTTCATACTTCTAAAATCGATTTTAACAATTTTTTCTACAAATATTCATCACTTATTTATTGGGGATGAACGTCCAAAATTCGCTTCTGAGTACTCACTTTCGTCACTTAAGGAACCTCTGTACAAACTCTCACACTCTTAGAACTAATTTAAAAAAAATATATACAAAATTTTACCCCCTTAGGAGACGAATTACCGAAAATCGCTTCTAACTGTTTAACTACGCTACTTATGGCACCTCTGTGCAAAACTTTGTACTCCTAGGACATATTCTAATTTTTTTTGTATACAAATTTCACCCCTTTAGAGCAAATTTCCAAAAATCGTCATTTGGTACTCAATGACGTCAACGAAGGAGTCTCCGAGAAAATTATCATACTCCGAGAACAGATTCATCCCTAATTTCACCCCCTTAGGGGTTAAAAATTCCTTCTTAGTGCTCTTTTAATATGTACCAGGTCAAGCCACATCGCAGGTTTGCCGTATCAATCACAGTCACGCTTTAGCCAATCAATCGTTTTATTCTTATCTTGGTAACGACCGTGATCCGTTATTTTTATTTCACGGTGACAAAATCACAGGTAGCGATTTTTTGCTCTATTGTTAAAGATGAACGATATGAGAATGAAACTGAATTATCTTCATATATATATGAAGGTTTGAAATTTCACTTTTTGCCTCTTTTTAAGAAGTTTGTAAAGAAAATTTCGAAACATTTTGCTCATCAGCCGATCAGTGTAGCGAGCTAGTGATGTAAGCCATTTTCAGGAGCAGCAGAGGCACAACCTAATCTAAGTCCCCAGTTTGTTCTATATTTTGCATTAATCGACTGTGACTTGTTTTGTTTAATTCCAAGGTACGCTTCAATAGTACACAAATCTTAACAGTTTAGTGGGTTATAAGTTTAATTTTTGAATTAGGATAAAACTCCACAATTATCTTACATGTTAAAACCCAGACAACGGAGTTAGGAAGACCAGACATGTATAAACAAACCCTGTGATATCTGGTATCTATATAAACCAAAGATAACTTACCTTAAAACATCTGTAGTGTACTGAGAATCTAATGGATGACTAGTAACTTGAGCGGATTGTTGAAACAAATCGTCGCTACTCTGTTGAATGTTGGGACTGTGTAAATGCAGAGCATTTTTGAGAAAGGCTGGACAAACGCCTTCCAGATGGGGACAAGACGCCCAAAACCACCGCGGCATACGTCCGGTAGGCGCGGTGGATACCAAGTAACCGAGAGCCAGAGGTTGCTGGAGAACTATGCCAACCTGAAAGAAAAATATGTGGTTTAGTTTTATATTTTTATTATGAATACTATTTACATTATCATAAAAGAAATGTAAGTGTTCCTACAAAAGAACAATTTAGAATCTAAATTTAAAACATAAATAATAATAAACCATGTTTATTCAAGGTTTATAGACATATTTATAGAGAGTCGTCATGGCTTACTTTTGAATACTAATAAAAGTAGCAAAAAGTCACACAAAATATAATTCTTTTCTTGAGATTTTTATTATCAGTATTGTATGAAAGTATAATTATTGAGACTAAGAAACTTGAGAATAAAAAAGTATTATTGAGACCTACGCTCTGAAGCACTATGTCTTTAACTGGTCATGAGCCGCCACTACCTAGAGGTATCGGTACTGTATAAAAAAAAATAACTTACTTCTTCACTCGATTCTTGTCCTTTAGATAGACCACCCGGTATACCAGGAGCTCCCTCCATACTCCCAACTCCACCGCCTCCAGGACTGCCTGCCCCCGCATCCTCTCTTCGTGGGCTACCAGTCGGAGACTGGGCCAACTGGTCCCAGTTGAATATTTCGGTAAATTCTTTATCTATTCCTTCAGACAAATCGTCGTCGAACGCTTTGAATAATTCGTCGTCGCCTAATTCGGCACCGATATGTTGTTCCTGGAAAGAAAAACATTAACAATTAGTACACAGTTTTTATAAGGCCACCCCCAACAATTCAATAAGTATAAGTCCTTCTTCCAGAAACTAAAAACTTTATAGTTTTTAGTTCTTTATGAGAAAGTTAGCCCTTAAGTATGTACATCAAGAAATTATTTGAGACAATTCCCTCCCCCCTCAAACATATTTATATCCAGTCAGTATTTATACTTCTACGAGTAATTTGCTATGGCGATCTTATAAGTTGAAGTGAGAAAAATGCGAAGTGTTTATTACATATCATTTCATGCGCTTAAGAAAATACTTGCTCTTGTCACTTTGCTTGGAACATCTTGATTAACTCTTCGTACACACGAAAATCGGTACCAAAAGCTAAGCGTTGCCGACCGTGTATACTTTAACAATTAATAAATATCTCTCTCAATAATTTTCATAAAATTTCTAAGTTAAATAACTCGGTTATTTTCAATAAATGCAAAAATTGGTAATAGAAAATATTTTCCTTTTCCTTGGGTAATTACTCAACCGTATTCCAAGCAGAAATCTTCGCCATTCTACAATGTGCGAGAGAAAACAATAGAAGAGCTTATTTATGTAAGCTCATCAATATATGCTCAGACAGTTAGGCAGCACTTGGGGCGTTTATAATGCCAAAGTTATCGTCGAGACTCGTCTGGGAATGCCTAGGTGGACTGGGAGCTCTGGCACGAAGGAACAGAAATAAATTATTCTAAGTGCCGGACCACAGCGGCATCCAAGGTAACGAAAAAGCCGATGAGCTAGCTAGGCAAGGATCATCGGCATCCTATCTTGGTCCAGTGCCAGTACTGGGAATACCCAAATGTATGGCCCGTAGTACACTAAAACTCTGGATCAGGGAAAAGCAGAATGTCCACTGGCGAAACAGACAAGGGCACAGGCACAGCAAGGCCGTTATCCAAGGACCTAGCCGCTAACCGCAAAAGAACTGCTAATATTTAGCAGGAATAAAGTGCTGATTACAACGGGCCTCTTGACAGGGCACATGGCTATCAAGTGTTACCTGAGCAAGCTTAATGAGTATGAAGGAAGTCTTTGCTGCAGACTCTGCGATAAAGATCCTGAAACAGGGGAGCACATAATATGTCACTGCGTGGCTCCAGATCGCAAGCGACACGTTTTATTTGAGAAAGCTAGGCTAGAACCGGAGGAACTATACTCCCATCCTATCAAGGACCTGCATAAGTTAGTGCAGGGCACAGGGATAGGAGAATGGGTGCAGATATAGAAAGGGAACAAATACAATAGGCCTCACAGGTCGCAGTGTTTCCGGCAGAGGACGGCCCCTGGTTATTGAAAATAAAATAGAAAATATGCTCCTTTGGTTTAAATTTACCCACCCTTCTTTATGTTAAAAGAAAATATGTAAAAGTGGGCAACGCTGTGCCGGTTGGCAATATTATTCACCTCTTCTCGGTGGGTTTTAAAATTATAATAAAATCCAGCATTTTTGTCCCTTTTTAACAGGTTTGACTTTTTTCATTATGTCTTCATATATATCCGTCATTATCTTCCACTTAAAAGATCTAGACCGCAGATTTATGCATTAATACATACCTGAAACGCTGTTTGTGACGACTGGGTTGTGGCACTAGTAGGGAAAACCATAATATGCGTACAAGAAACGTCCTGAGGCGTTGACAGTTGCGAATTGACGCTGGCCTGACTGAATCTTTCGTCGGGAGTGAATTGGTCCGGCATCAACCTCAAACAGGAATCAGGTTCCAAACTGACAAGACAAGCGGATAGAATACAAGGCACTGCGCTCGGATACAGCATCGAACATTGGTTACAAATCTCCTTCAAATGCCTGGAAGCCTTCAGTAAGTTCTTTTTGCTGAGAAGCCAGCTCCAGCCTTTTAGTTCGCCATGACCTAGAAAATACATTAAAATATTTAATTATAAAGCTATTTATTCATTTAATTAATAAAAATAAAGCGCTATCAAAAATGAATGTAGGTAGTTTTCATGTCTGTAATTGGCATAAACTAAGGCCAATTACCAAAATTAAGAACTAACTTTTTTCTTTTCCAATGATCTGGAGGTAATGGAGTGACATAAACCAATACCCTTAACTTACATTGGATATGCATAGAAAGGATAATTCGATCGAAGATATACTAGGTTTATCACTGAAGTTGTTGAGATTAAAAATTAAACACGAGTTATTTGTAGTCTTGAATACCGTGGGCAAAGTACAGAGACTGGCATGCATCTGCATTGCAGGTGCTATGAAAACAGGCCCAACAGCAGCAATGGAGGTCATCCTAGAGCTAACACCACTGCACATTGTCGTCGATAGTTATGCCAATGCGACAATGATTAGAATGGTCATTGACGGAAAAAGTACTGGGAGAATTTTCAGGTCAGGGGCTTGGAACACCCTCAAAAAAAAATCAGTTCTCCAACTCCCAGTGGATGACATACCAAGAATCTACAACTTTGAAAAACACCTCACTCAGAAAATGAATAAAAAGGAATGGAACGTTTGCTCAGCATGAAAAAGGCCAAACCATAACGTGGTATACTGATTCCAAAACCAAAGCAGGGACAGGGATAGGAGTATTTGGGCCGAAAACTAAATACTCCGTTCAATGGGCACCCACCCCAGCATCCTTCAGGCAGAAATCTACGCTATCGAAAGATGCGTACAATTTATCTTTGATAGGAACTATCGAAAACAGGATATAGCCACCTTAGCCGATAGTCAAGCAGCGCTAAACGCGATCAACGCAGTAACCATCAATTCGAAGTTGGTCAAAGAATGCCTAGAGAAGCTGAACAAATTAGGCAAAGAAAATAAAGTCTTCCTACTCTGGGTGCCATGCCGGCCCACCAAGGAATAGAAGGCAATGAAAAAGCAAATGGTCTAGCTAGAAGAAAAGAAGCGAACACTCCACTAACTGGACCAGAACTGTTCTGTTTTCCAAGTAGAAATCAACTAAAGGCGGAACCTGGAAGACTCCATCCGTAACCTGGAATGCGAATCCTCCAACGGTCTAAGACACTCGAAAAAGTTCCTCAGAACTTACGACCAAGAAAAATCAAAGATTTTCCTTCATTTAAGTAAAAACAATCTTCGGATTGTCACGGGGAATAGGACACTGTCTCCTCAGACTGTGGGGAAAATGAGGAAACACCAGAACACCTTATCACTGAGTGCGCCGAGACAACGACCGATCGTTCCGTGAACTTTGGTACGGCTCATGTTGAGGATGGATAATTGGCCTCCTGTGGAGGACTAACAGGACCCCGTCTCCTCTATGAACACCTCAACAGATTGAAGCTAAGAAACAAAGGAGAACATAGATTCTGGGGGGTAAATGGAGAAACACTAGAAAACCTCATCACTGAGTGCGCCGAGACGACAACCATTCGTGCCATAAACTTTGGTACGATTGACATCAGAGATAGTGAACGAACCTCTGTAAAGCCGTCTCAGATACTGGTTTTTGTTAAAGCCCTGAGAATATATGATGGGGAACACACGATAGATCTATAAGGTCGCGGTGATTAACTCCCCTCCTAAACATTCTACATCCTATTTGTAGTCTTTGTTCTTACCTATTCTCCCCAACCTTCCAACCACCAATCGCCAAGGCCGTACGCTTTGCGACATAATGCCCAAAATGAACGTCATCAGTTTTTCCAATCCGATCCTGCGCGCCGATGCCTTTTTCCGCCTGCTTCTATTTGGTATGTCTATATTAATGGTAACTGTTTCGAAAATCTCTCCTCTTTCGTCGGTACAGACTGCCAATAGCCAGCTTTGATCGTCGGAGAGGCAGTAGGAAATGTAGAGGACTGAAGCCTGGTCCTGCGTACCTTTGCCGAATGCTTCGGCCGATTCGACTTTTTCCCGCATCGGTGCTAGTATATAGGGCGGTGTGAACAGTCTGTAAGGTGCCCGATTGTTTTCCTAGAAAAATAATAACTTTAGAAATAATATCATTAATGTATCTCTGAAGGGTTTATCATGGTAGTAAACAACAACCAAACCTAGTAACACCTTCAAGTCAATCAAAACACTTAAAAATAGAAATATCTAGATTATAGAGATACACTGGATTCCAGGGGCGCTCTTCTGTACAATCGTCGGTATCGGTAAGTTACCGACAGCTATCGGTACGTACAGCCAATGAGCGTCGTGTTGATTATTGTTGTCATAGTTACCGATCGGTCCTATGGCAGATATCGCAAATTTGTACCGACGAAAATCGGTATCTCTACCGTGCCCTTGTCAACCTCACGGTAGAGATACCGAGAGTCGTCGGTACAAATTTGCGATATCTGTCATAGGGCCGATCGGTAACTATGACAACAACATTTAACACATATTTACTATATGCAAATACGTACCGATAGCTATCGGTAACTCACCGATTCCGACGATTGTACAGAATAGCGCCCCAGGAAGATAAATTTCAGTAGTCAGGGCTGAGAGAATACGTGACAGTGACATTGTTGTCATTTTGATACACAGGGAAATATATTATCAGTATTTTTGTACCCAACCCAAACTTTAGATTATCTTAAAATTTTCCTAAAAAAAAATAATACGGAACGATTCAAGTACTATATTTTCTGTCATTATCAGAAGCAATAAAAGGAAAATATAATACTCTCCGGCACAAAATTCCGCCACCCTAAAATTTTGACTACATTTGATGTTTCATAACATTGTAATTTGAAATCCTATTTTTATGATTATGGTATTAGTTTGTAGATAAATTTGTTGGCATTATTTTTTATTGTTTTAATGGCTTATATATTTCGGTTAGGTGGATTTATACAGGGGTAAATCAAAACTTCGTTTTTTGCATTAAATTCAAAACATTGTTCTGTGGAAAAGACGGGACGGGCATTTTGGATAAAAAACACTTTCCTGTAATCTTAGTTGTATTCCTAACATTTAATTTTTTTTAATTATCCTATTATTTCTATGCTTTTATGAGCTACTTATTTTTTAAATAGAATACTGATATTTTTACAATCTTTTTTTTTTGAAAATGTAGCTCTCAATACCCACCGTTATATTGAGGATATCCATTAAGAAGTGGTTCCGTTCAGTTTATACTGATGCATGATAATGCAAGGTCCCACGTTGCGCGGGGTAACGAGTTAGGAGTACGAGTAGTTAACGAGTACCCAGATGAGGTTGGACTACGAAGATTGGAATGGCCTACAAGGAGGCCATTCCAATCTCCGACCTCAATCCGAACTTAAAAGAGCTGTTCATCGTCGTCCTATTCCAACACAAACTTTACAAGAGCTATGACTAGCATGAACGGAGATTCCTCCGTTATAAAAGAATAACTACCCTTATTCATTCGATACGAAGAAGACCTCGAGCTGTTATTGCTGCGAGAGGTGGACATACACGCTATTAAAATTATTATAAAATTATTGATTTTGTCAATAAAAGAATCTCCAAAATCAATATTTTATTTAAAAATGTTAAAACAATAGAAATAATCGGATAATTCAAAGATTGGAATGTTAGGAATACATCTAAGATTATAGGAAAGTGTTTTTTTATCAAAATGCCCATCTCATTTTTTCCACGGGGTGTGTATTTTTTCTAACGTTTTGATTTACCCCGGTATAAACCCACTTAACCCTTTGAATAAGAAGACTAAGGAAGGAGCATATCAAAAATCTTAGGTACACCGCGATGGGCCTCAAATATGGCCGACTTAAATTCCGGTTTATCAGTGTCGTTCTAATTTTATTTAAAAAATATAAAACTATGATGTAGGGTAGACGTGGGGTAGACTCAATAATTTGTTGTTTTATGTTACGTTGTGAATAAATGTTGGTAGTTATTAAAATTGTTATAAAAATATATAATTCTAATAAAAATAGATAAGTTATAATAAGTATTTATTAACACAAACATCCGATACGCTACTGAAGCAGGTAAGTCAAATTAACGTATCTAAATTCTTTGACATCTAATCTTTGACAAGTAATAAATAAAAGCTAAAATGCAAGAAAAAATATATAATTTAGTTAATTTAAGTGAATTTCATAAATGATCGGTTTACTACACATATGTATATTATATAGTCACTTACTAGCGAAAAGTTGTTCCATTATTTCACTCGATTTTTGCCGAGATCTACCGCACGCTACACAACCAACTATTTTAAAGTATTTTTCGATAAATTACGATAGTGTCACTGTTAATTTAAGTTCTGCCACAATTTCCATCTAGATTTACTACCTTTATACAACTATCAGTAGTAGAATAAATAATAAATAACATAAAATAAGCTCCGTAAAGACTGACAAATCCACAAAATTTCAAATCAAATTCAAATGTGTCAAATGAATCCTCAAACAGAACTGTCAAGGATCCCCACCCTAGAGTGCTTTTATGGCGCTTTTTCCGCCCACCATGCATGAATACATGGATAGCATTATGCTCCTTCCTTAGTCTTCTTATTCAAAGACTTAACCGAATAATATTAACCATTAAGATAATAAAAAATAATGCCAATAAATTTATCTTCACACTGATACTATAATCATAAAAATCAGATTACAAAGTAAAAAGTTATGAAACATCAAACTTAGTCAAATTTTTAAGTGGCGGAATTTTGTGCCGGGAGTATATTAAAATCAGCATTTTTCTGTGTCTTCTGTCGAAATCTTCCCTGACTCTTTGGACACACATTAGATTGACTTGAAATTTGCCTAACAAAAAAAATAACACTGAACCATTCAAGTACTATATTTTCTGTCGTCATTAGAAGTTAAAAGCAATAAAAGAAAAATAAATAAAATAAAGAATACAAGCCCTAAAGTAAAAAAAGAAAGAGATATTAAAAATATCACAACGAATATGTTGATAGCCATCAAATTTATATTTGGCATAAAATAAAGCCATTTACCAAATTGACGCCTAACATTTTGCTTTTCCAATGATTTGGGAGTAATGGATAGAAAGAAACCATAACCCTTAACTTACATTGGACATCATAATCTTCAACATAATTTATTTAATAAGAACATATAAGACAAATTAATGTAGAGACTAATAAAACTAAGATATTTTTTTTAGAAAACTACTTTGGTTTTTTTTATGTTTTTGAGTCAATTTAAAATTTATGTCATAAATGACATTTGCAGGGCAAAAGATATACATATAGTAAACGCCACGAACGTTTGGGAGTGATTCATCGATCGCTACCATGTGAACTAATCTGTTCAAGGTCACATAAAATTTAATTCCAGTGCCGTGTTGTTTCAAGTCATATAATAATCAATATATAATCTGTTGTAATTTGTTGTTTTAATTGTCAAAGTCTTGTCAAAACATATATTTGGTTATAAATATAAAATGGAATGCCCCATCGGTCGCACTGCAAGCACACCAATGGACTGGCGTACAAAAACGAATCAATTAAAGAAACGCGATATAGTATCGTCTTTGTCAATCACGCTAACATTTTAGAATAAGTAGGAGGAGCGCAGGCAGATGATTAGACCGGGCCTTTAAAAACCTACGTCTGCGGTAAAAATTTACGTTTTTAATGTAAAAATGATAGCTCGCGTGTCGATTCTAACTTTATCAAGCGATGAATCACTCCCAAACATTCGTGGCGTTTACTATATAAACATTTTTCTGTATCAATTGCATTTTCTATAAATTTATGCTGCTTGTCTTTTATAAAATATCTTACTCTACTTAAATTTGTATAAAATTGTATTAAATATTATACAGGGTGTTTATTATAAATGTTAGAAATGTTACTTTAACAATAATTTTCAAAATGTTTGCTTTTTTGGTCACCTTATGAGTAAAATGTTACTTTTCCTATTAGATGACTCTATCCATGATGACTAGTGCTAGAAAACTATTTTTTTTAATTTAACTGCAAATAACTACTAAAACAAACTATATTTAATAATAGACACACTGAACTTTTAGTAATCGCACTTAAATACTTCTGGTTAATATTAGTTACTTACATCTTTACTCTTCAAAAACAGATCCGCAGTAGCGGCAGTACCAAAGCCAGTGAGCGATTTAACGTTGTTTGAATGAATCAGCAATCTTCTACATTGGGAGAAAATATTTAAGGCCAACGCTCTCATATTATCACTGTGCCTCATTCGGTCTCTAGCCTTGTTTAATTCCACTATACTTTCTAAAGAAATTATCTGAAAGAAAATAAATGATAAATTTAATGTTAATTAAATTCGCATATCAAACACAATATCCCAAGGAAAATAAGTATATTTTATTGGCACTTTTTCAAATTAAATAACTATAACAAATATTTTTCAAAAGTAGCTCACCCCCTATACCTTTCTTATTTTTTCAGATAAAGAAACGAAATTTGGCATGTTAGTAGATGACATAAATCAGGGTTGATTGACGTATTCAATTAGCCTCAGTCACTTCCTGTTCCACCGGAAATGACTACAACTTTTGATGTTTAAATGGTACCCCGTTACCATATACAGATTTGGTCATTTTAGAAGCGTGGTCTGGATTTTAACGTGTAAGACAGAGAATAATATAATTGACCGGATGAAAGACAGAGAGACAAAATCAAAAGCGGCATACAGTGTTGCCGGTTTTTTACGTTTGTAGAAAAATGTATGTAGAACAAAAATAAACTATTTTAAAAACTTTCATATATACTAATAAAATGAAGATAATATATCTAAGCTAAATATAATCTATTACATTTGTAGTAAAATGAGTAACCTAATTGTGAAAAATAAGGTTCCAACCATAAACGCCTACTTGTGCGGTTTGAACATTTGATGCAAAATCCGGCAATACCGCATAGAAGAAATGTATCAATCCAACTTTTATCTCTTTTTAGTACATTTGATTTTCAATTAAGCTGCCTACACAAAAGACTACACTTCTAAAATGACCAAACCGGTATGTATAAAAATATATGGTTAATAGCCCACTTGAGTGGAAAGTGAAGCGAAACAAATGAAATGGAAATATCAATCTTGCATAAGTCTATCATTTTGGTTCAACACGATTTTTATGCGCACGCCCCAAATAAAACAATCTGATTTGTCTATTTCATCGCTGTGCGCTGTCACCGGCTATCACCTGACTATTTTAAACTCTAATATATAATATATTATTTTTGTTTCGTAATGGCATTATTTCAACCTGTTATTTTAGATATTCTTGAAATATAGATATATCTATCCGTTTCTTGTTTTTGTTTAAATATTTCAGAGATTAAATTTAAATCTATAAGTAAAGGCGCGAACAGTAAGACTAATTGTATTGATTAGTATGAAAATAAATCAATTGTGAAGCATTTTTCACGCTTGCGAGGTTCAAAGCTGTTGAACCAAAAGGACCAATGTGGATTTTGTATAGCTTCATTTCAAAAATTTAGCTTCAATTTCTGTGCCTGGCTAGCCATATAGTCTTTAAATATATTTGCTCGTTACCTTTTCACTTTGATAGAAAATGGCATCCTCAATAGAATGATATATCATAGTCAAGTTTTCACATTTTCAATTAAAGAAAAATTAAATTTAAATTTCAATCTAGAGTGCGGCTGTGTTAAAACCATTAATTTTAATATTAGAACTTTGAAAAAATAGGTCTGATAGTCTATTGTTTTTCGTGTCCTTTCGTGGCTGGTTAAAAGATACCCAAATAGTATTTTAATCATAACTCAATTTTTTCAAATGGAACAAGGGGAGCTCTTTAGTATATTAGGAAAAAGCATTTTTTTTACGAATAATTTAATACCAAATACTTGGTATTTCGAATCAAACTGTCGTTATATTTATTTTCGTGGCACTCTAGATTGAAATTTAAATTACTATTTTTTAAGCAAAAAAGTCAAAAGTTGATATTATGATATGTTATTCAATTCAGAATGTCATTTTCTACTAAATAAAGCAAAAACATACTGCTGCTACTATTTAAAAATCAAAAGTTGTAGTAATTTTCGGTGAAACAGGAAAAGATCCAAACTAATTGAATACGTCAATCAGTCCTAATTTAGGTCATATACTAACATATCAAATCTCGTGTTTTTATCTTAAAAAATAAAAAAAATATAGAGGTAAGCCACTTTTGGTACTAAACACCCGGTATAATAAACCAATTTAAACATCAGCCGATTCTAAGAGAATAACCGTTGGTTACTGTTGACAGATAAACAAAGCTTTAAACATCAGTTTTCTAGCGATTGGTTGACAACTGACGTTTAAAACATTTTCTATTTGTCAACCATAACCGACAGTTATTCACTTGAAATTGGCTATTGTGTGCTGTACTTACTTGAACACTAATATTATTCCTAATATTTTCAGGTACGGCGGCTAGAACGCTTTGGAAGCATCTCAGTAGTGCCAGAACAGCGAGTCGTTGTAACTCGGGTTGATCGGAACCCAACGTAAACGGTTCAACCAGATACACGACGACAGATGGCGCCTCCCTGTCATCGTCGTCGTGCGAGGTGTCAAGGTTACTGCCCGGAAAAGGTGGACTCTCTTTCATTCCGTCAGAGTCTGCAAAATCTTTCCATTAAATATAACAATTTGTATGGAACCATATTATAAAATGCCGTTCTTACCTTGGTCACTCTTTGGCGTCGATGGTGCCTTTTCAGGCGTGGAAGATGACTGCGAATTTAGGTTAGGATCTGGCGTGCTGGGCGGAGGCATAGGACTCGGCGCCGGTCTTTCATTGGGCTCGGGCGGTGGATCTAATAACGTTTTGTCCATAGGTACTTGTTGTAAATGTGGCGCTAGGTGATGTTTGCAAACCTATGATAAAAATTATACAATTACAACCGTTATAACATAATAGCGCATTAGTTGAATATAAGATAATCATATACCGCGCTGGCAAGTCTTGCTGTTGGGTCGGTATTTACATGTGGGGGATGGCCGAAAACTAAATACCCTTAGGCCGAAAACTAAATACTCTGAATCAATGGGCACCTACCCCAGTATCCTTCAGGCAGAAATGTACGCTATCAAAAGATGCGTGCAATTTATCTTAGATAGGAACTATCGAAAACAGGAAATAGCTATATTATCCGATAGACAAGCAGCACTAAACGCGACTCGAAACGTGATCAACTCAGTAACCATTAATTTTAAGTTGGTCAAAGAATGCCTACAAAAGCTGAACAAATTAGGCAAAATAAATAAAGTCCTTGTACTCTGGGTGAAAAAGCAAATGATCTAGCTAGAAGAGGAGCGAACACTCCACTAACTGGACCAGAACCATTCTGTTTTCTAAGGGGAAACCAACTAGCAGCGGAACTGAAGAACCTGGAAGACTCCATCCGTAACTTGGAATGGGAGTCTTCCAACGGTCTAAGACACTCGAAAAAGTTCCTCAGCACTTACGACCGAGAAAAATCAAAGATTTTCCTTTATTTAAGTAAAAACAATATTCGGATTGTTAGGGGGTTTCTAACAGGACTGTTTCCTCAACGAACACCTCAGTAGGCTGAAGCTGAAGCTGAACAACGGCTAATGCAGATTGTGTGGGGGAAATGGGGAAACACCAGAACACCTTATCACTGAGTGTGCCGAGACGACGACCGTTCGTGCCATGAACTGATGTCGAGGATGGAGAGCTGGCCTCTGTGGAGGCGTCTCAGATACTGGCTTTTGTTAAAGCCCTGAGACTGTATGATGAGTTATAACTCGGTATGACTCAAGAAAGGGGAACACACAGTAGTTGTTAGCTTGGGGATCTTATGAAGTAGGAGTGAGAAAAATGCAGCGGTGTCGCCACATTTATAGGAGATACAGGTACGCGAAAGACACTTATTTCTATTTTTTTTTTCAGAAAGATAACTAGATAAAATCATTAGATATGTTTGTGGGCATCTAAGATCGAGTTACAAGAATATCGTTATTGTGTCAATTTTATCAATTATATCAATTTTTTATAATGAAAAAACGTCAATAATCGTGTTAATTTGAAAACTCAATTTTTTAACACTTTAACACGCGATAACTCAAGAAGCACTTTAGATATTAACACTTTTTTTTTACTTTGTTAAGTTCGGAACTTCAAAAGATGTTTAAGTGAGAAAAATTGGATAGGCTTATTTTAGTCAGCTAGCACAAACGCGTCCATCAACTTTTAGTACATGGCAATTTTCAGCAATTTTGTAATTTTTTTGTTTGTAAAAATTTTCACAATCACTTATTTCTAATAGATTTCGGGATATCGATTTTTGAATTCAGAATTCGAATAGCGCGACCATTGTCTAGCATCAACTCAAATCCACTTATTTTTACCAAAAGTGGTAAATTTTAAAGTCATTTAATTTCTAAGTTAGATTAGGTTGCTGTGAGACCCCTGTATTATTGTATACCAAACCTTCCTCTCATTCTTTCTTTTAGTTAAAGAATTTCCAGCTTTTCGTATAATTTCTAACTTGAATTTAATAATTTACAAGCTATAAGGAAAATTACAACGATTCGTTAATAAATAAACAAATAAAGCATAATGAAACGTAATTAAATCGTGAAGTTGAACACATGATGTAGGTACATCCTTCTCTAAAATTCGAAGTACTGGATTTAAATTTTATGATTTTTATGCGGCGCATAAAATAATAATAATAATAAATAATCCGCGCCTCTTCTCAACCGCGACGAAGCTGCCATATCCCCTTCCACGTTTCTTAGCAATGTGCACAGTTCCTTGATTTATTTCATACGTTTGGTAATGTTTTTACCCATCTTTCTTTGTTCAGTACATTATAAAGGTATTCTACTCTTCTTACATACGAAAATCTGAACCCAAAGCCAAACCTTGCCAGTAGGGTATAGGTAAATTAGTGTAAATAATTGACATACCTGTGCATACAACTTAAGCATATCAGTTGTTTCCCCATCCCCAAGTAATGTAAACCAATCTTCAACTGGTTCATTTCCAATTTTCATTTTTGCTGTTTTACCCACTCTTAATATACCGTCCCTTAATACTTTCGTAATAGGACTGTGCCTACCCAACTTGCATATTTCATATGCAGTTGACAATTCCTACAAAATAAAATGCCATAAAAATATGTTTATGCTACGTTGTACAAAATCATACCTTGAAAAAAGTCTTAACTCTTGGTAAAATCGCCTCATTATCAGGCGCCACAACAATGTAAGCCACGTCCCTTGTATAGGAGTAGGGTTCTAAGAGCAAACTCTCCCAATGCTGAAGAGCATAAGGAGATAAACACAGCCAATCTTTGTCATGCCCTACTATTATAGAAGGAATCGGTTGAGGTTCACATCTATCATCAGTTCCTATAGAAAATTGATAAATAAACATTAAAATACGGTCGTAAAAATCGTTGGTCTATATTTGAATGAGCGATCCAACAGATAACTTACCTCTACCAGCTAATCGATGAAATTGTCGCCAAGTAAGAGGCCCCTTGACGGCAGAAGGGGCTTCCCAGAGTCTTGTTTGCCCTCTCCTTTGAACGGTTTCCTGAAGCAAAGGCTGCAAGGACTTCATCACTCTCACAATGTCCTGATTACACTGAGGTCCTGGTGCTTTTAGGTAAGACCATCTATGTACTCCCACCGATTGTAACTTGGATACCTTTTCGTTCTCCATCTGTAGAGATAAAAACTTATTGAAACAGAATATGTGTTATTTAAGTGTTCAACCGATAATAGAAAATTGGATTTTATGAATATATTGAATGAAGTCGAATATTTAGGGTCATTAAAACGCTTTCCTTAATATTTTAGATACACTGCTTCTGCCAATAATATCAAATAGAAGGAAATATATCAAAATATTCAAAGAAAACGGTTTAAAATAAACTTAGACAAAATTTCATCAAACATCTAAGACATAATGGTACAACATCAACCACAATATACTTAAAAAGTAATTTCAGTTGTTATCAAACTCTTTAGTATATTGTCATTAATTCGACTAATTTTCAGTTGTACTACTTCCAACATAAACTGCTTTTTTATTTAAGATTATTCATAAAATGTTATTTATCTTTCTATGATCTCTGAAATTTGCACACGTTACTTACATCTCCATATGTTAACAATATCTAAGTTAAAAAAGAAAATTATTATTTTATAATCTTCACTAGTATTTGAAATATTTTAACATTGTGTTTAGATTTAATAAATACGTGTATATGTATCATGTAAATGTAGTTTGTATAGTACATAGAGAGGGTGGTCCGAATTGTACTCCGGAAATTTTGGCAGCATATTCTACAGATAAAAATAAGTAAAAAAGTTCCTATAAATATACGTCCTAAAATGCTTAGTTTCGGAGATACAGGGTGCAGAAGTTTCATTTTTAATTCGAGATTTTTTCCTAATAATTTCTGAAGTAATGTCAATATTTAGATGAGAATTGGTGTCTGGGAGTTTTTTGGCATGAGAAATTTGATTTTGCTGTCAATATGACTCATATTTGTAGGGGGCGCCACCTACCTTTGTTTTAACTGTTTTGAAGAGTAATAATTTTTCGTCCGTACCTGTATAAAACTACTGAGTGAAAAAATATACATTTCCGTGATTTTTTAAGTAGAAAATGTCTCTTGATAAAAATCGTTACCAGCAACCGTTCTCAAGATATTTAGAATGGAAATAGTCAATACATGTCGTTATTGACAAAAAATAATTACGTTGAGTAAAAAGAGTAGAATGGGGCAAAAGTACGCACGGGGCAATAATAGTCCTAATTGAAAATTAAGGGAAAAATAACTACAACTTCTCAACACCACTTAAGCATTCACGGTACACTGGACCGTCCCCGAGCCGGGCACGTTCCGTAAAGTAGACACCGAGCCACGTCCGGGCCTTCAATATTATGCAACACCGAGTGGACAACGGGGATCATGTCCGTGCCGATTATATTCTAGAAACCAGTGTTGCCGCAGTGGTACATTTGTACCAAATTTGATACTTTTAATTCTATTTGGTACAGTGGTACTACATTTTCAAATCCAGGATGATTCGGTACAATAATTATTTCCCACACGCACCGAAAATGAATAGATATTTAATAATTATCGTCGTTGATATTGCATTAAACGCGCTTACCGATACCATTCGGAGACAATCCGCATTAATTAACGACGTATTATAAACGTTGTAATGTCCATAGGGTTGCCTATATTAAATAACCCGAAGAAAAAACTTAAAAATTTGCTGTTTCTAACATGCTTCTATATTTGCGTTTTTTTTAATAAAATTTAAGTTTTCCAAGTATCGTGTGTAGTATTAGAATTACTTACATTTCTTCAACCTATACTTATAATTGGGTTTTCTGAATTTCTATTTCATGTTTTTTGTCTCGATTTGTGTCTTTCTCTAGGAAGTTTTTTTATGTAGAAATTTATGAAGAAATTCACAACGACCAAACCGGTTAAAGTCATTTGCAGATGTATTCTGTTGTGCTTTAAAAAATTGTACCAAAGTGGTACATTGATAGTTTACAATGTGGTACGCGCTAAAAGTTGGGTGCGGCAACACTGCTAGAAAACAGTCGCTATAGGCCCGTAGACGAACGAAGTATTTAGCCGCGGCGGCTCATTTATGTTTGCCGCAACGGGGCCGGAACGTAGCGGATCCGAGGAAAAATGTACACCGACATTTCTTGGACGTGCTCGGCTTAGCATGAATGTCTAAGTATAAATAACAATTTGACAATGTTTGACCGTGCCTTCACCGTCGCACGGCTCCGGCCCGTCACGGTGTACCGTGAATCATCCTTTAAACATACGCGTGTCGTCAATCGACTTTAGTCATCAGTGTGTTTTCAAACGCTGGCGAAGAGATAGACCGCTGCGCTGCCATGAGGTAAATTACGTTTTTAAACGTTGGCATGTAGTTTTTACATTAAATAGTATTAAATAGTTTAACATCCAGTCAGCTTATTTTTAAAGTTTTTTTTAATACAATATATACAGTGTGTCAATTTTAAAACTTCCCACTTTAATATCTTTCTTGCAGTTAAAAATATGAAAAATCAGAAAGACACGTCAATTTTATTTGTGAGGGGAACACTTTAAATTAATATTTTTAGCCTTTTTCTTTTAACCTCCTAGAAAGGGGAGATGTTACCCCTACAATCTTAAATGGGAATGGGGGTCAAGTGGCACATCGTTTTAAAGGGCGTTTAATTATCTTTTCAGTGGTATCCTACTTTGTTGCTTTTTGTCGAGTGGTTTCCGAATAATCACTTTTCAAAGTTGCAGTAACAATTAAACATGCATGCATTGAAATTTTGGTTTTCAGTCTAGTGTTTACACAAAAATTATTGCAATGGATCTCCTTATAGTACAAATGATCACATTACACCACTTACGCCCTATCTTATAAGTTGTTCAGAATGTTGTCGATTTTCCTGTTAACAATAATAAAGTGTGTTTTCAAACTCCTCCCTAACATTTCGGAAAACTTTACCGGGAATTGATCGGCATTCTGCTGTAATTCGCCTTTTAAGATCATCAATATCAGTAAGTTATGTTCTATAAACAATGGATTTAAGATGTCCCCAAAGAAAGAAATCTAAGGATGTTTAAATCCAATGATCTTGGAAGCCATTCAATTGCTCCCCTTCTGCCAATCTATATACCCGGAAATCTCTCGTTTAACCACTGTCGGATCGGAAGAAAATAATAAGGTGGAGCCACCGTCCTGCTGGAATGTTAACAAATCCTCCTGTATAACTGATTAGAAGTTGCCACTCATTTGAATTTAAGAAAAGAAACGCTAATGTTTATGATGTTTTCTGTTTATTAGTATTTCGTCCCCCCTAGAGAAATATAATGGCTACGTCCATGTTTCCACCTAATCTTCTCATTATTTGTACTACAAGGAGATCCACTGCAATATTTTTTGTGTAAACACTAGCCTGAAAACCATAATCTCAATGCAGGCATGTTTAATTGTTTCTGCAAGTTTGAAACGCGATTATTCGGAAACCCCTGAACAAAAAGCAACAAAGTAGGATACCACTGAAAAGAGAATTAAACGTCCTTTAAAACGATGTGCCACTTGACTACCATTCCCATTAAAGATTGTAAGGGTGACATCTACCCCTCATAGGGGGTTAAAAGAAAAAGGCTAAAAATATTAATTTAAAGTGTCCCCCTTACAAATAAAATTGACATGTCTTTCCGATTTTTCATATTTTTAACTGCAAGAAAGATAGTAAGGATGGGAAGTTTTAAAATCGATACACTGTATTTAGAGTTGTGCGATATATTTGTATGGCATGAACTCCAATGGCATACCATTGGCGGGAAATTTGAAACTCTATCATATCTTCTGTGGGGCAAATGACCTATTTTTTCGTGGGGCAAAAATCCGCGTATACTTTTGCCCGACCTAATCAAAGAAACATCAAAAACTAAATCGAAGAAACATGGCCAGAAAAACATTAATGAAAGTCTTCGGAGACGTAATTCTAAAAGAAACAATGAAGATAAAGAAAATAATAAACACCAAAGTTCCGAAAAAAAAACACGAACAAGAATTTTCTGTCCTGCTTGTGGAGAAAAACACACGATCCACCAATAGAAGACTGGATAGAATGTGGGAATTGTTCCAGATGGTGGCATGAACAATGTACAGACTATGAAAATAACGGCTCTTTTATTTGTGATTTTTGTGTATAATATTAGTAAATATTGTGTATAATATACGTAAAAAAGGTCGTAAATGTATATTTTTTTACTCAGTAGTTTTATACAGGTACGGACGAAAAGTTATTACTCTTCAAACCAGGTAAAAAAAAGTAGGTGGCGCCCTCTACAAGTAGGAATTATATTGACATTAAAATCAAATTTCTCATGTCAAAAAACAATTAGACCCCAATTTTCATCCAAATATTGACGTGACTTCATAGATTATTTGGAAAAATCGAAAATAAAAATGAAACTTCTACACCCTGTATCTCCGGAACTAAGCATTTTAGGATATACATTTACACGAACTTTTTTACATATTTTTATCTGCAGAATATTGTTACGTTTTTCGTCGGTTCCGTGTGGATAGAAAGTCACAATTTATTTAAACACTATTTATTTAACACTAATTAACAAAAACAATAACGATAAAGACTTATAGAACTATTTACAAACGATTTATAACTAAGAATTTATTTTGAATTTTAGCGCGTCAACTGCACTGTTATATTTATAACTGCCCCCTCTAGGCCACTGCCGCCGGCTTTTATACCGACAGGTAAAAGAAATCTAGAATAGTCCAAAGATCGTTAGGCGCATAGAGAAGGTTTTCGCGGAGCACCCTGTATATTACTATATTTTTTTTCAATTTAAGAAAAATAATCAAAATCTAACATTTCAAATTCATACTAATAGCGCCTGTCGTCACGTCACTTATGCATTTACATTGGCAAGTACCAAACACTGCCATCAGAAAGCACTTAACTAACTTACTGGTACTGTAGTTCTATTGATACTGTACCAGTTAATAGTCATACTAACTTAATGCTACATGATTAATCTCAATATTTAATGAATTTACATAAAACGTAAAATTACGATATCGGCAGAGTATTGGGTACGTTCAGAATAATATTCACTAGTGACGCCCCCTGTTACTTATCCCGTCAAATGCGCATAAATAACATCATAATATGAGACGCATTTTTAAAAGAGCGATTATGTAGAATTTGACTTGCTGTTAATATCTGAATTGTACCCTGAATCTCGATGCACACCTTTTTTAAATATATCTTTATCTAACTGAATAGGATTAATCAGTCCTATTTAGTTTACAGTTGTTGATATTTACTTTAATGTATCTTACCTTGCACATGCCCAAATTATCCAACAGATTTTTACTCTGCTCCAACGCTATACTAGTAACTTCGTTGCTGTCCGAGTACTCCAGCAGATGCACCGAATTCGAATATAATCCCACTTTAGCCTGTCTGACGTACCTAGCCGCTCGACAGAGGGCGTTCGCGGTGCTGGGAACGAACACCAGCTGATCGCGCACGAGCTCGAGCAGATTGTTCGGTAACGAATCGAGCTGTTCACGATCGACCATCGATTCGGACTTGATGCTGTTCAAAGATGCGAGGTAACTGACTAGTGAGGCCTTCTTTCGTTCGCCCGGGTCTTCGGCAATACCTGGAAGTAACATTAAGCCTTAAGATTCATTCGGGACATCAAAATTAGTAAAATTAATTAGTGGTTTCCATTAGCGTAGAAATTTCTACCTCTTATTTCAATGTAAAGCTTCATTCAGAACCTCGAAATTAGTGTAATAAATTATTGGTTTTAATTAACGTAGAAGTTTGTTCCTCTAATTTTAATGTAAGTATTTGGAACGTAAAAATTAGTAGCAGTAATTTTCAATTAGTAGAAAAAGTTAACACAAACTTTTAACATTTTCCATAATTTGGCCTTTGATTATCATCTGTCAAAAGAAATTGTGGTTATAAATGAAAAGTTTATAAGCATATTTTTATTGTTTTATAAGCTAATTTTGAGCTAATTATTATTAGACTTCTCTAATGGATACTGACTATACTTTGTTTTTTTCTCAGGTAAGATTTGACTCGATAGACAATGACAAGAAAAAAAGTAGATGGACGTCACTAAATTCACTAAAAAAAGTTTCTAATATTTTTTAACTATGGATAGGTTTATACCGTGCTGGCAACTGTTACTTTTGGGTCGGCATTTACATGTGTGGAAGTAAATCGCATAGGGATCTTATTAAGTCGGAGTGAAAAAGGAGTTGCCGATACGCCTTTCCCTATCAAGTATAGTAAAATCACGATCGCAAACCGCTTATTTTTAAAAGGCTTTTTTTTCAAGAGATAACTAGATAAAATCATTAGGTTTGTAATGTCTCTGAGAATCTGAAATGGAATTATAAGGATATCGTTAGGCTGTTATTTTTTTTATTACGAGAAAACGTCAGTAATCGCGATAATTTAAAAACTCAACTTTTTAACTAGGCCATAACTCTAGAACCACTTTAGATATTGAAACTTTTTGTATTTTCAATCGGATATTTTACAATATGTTTACATAAGAAAAATTCGATAAGGTTGTTTTTTCCATTCAAAAATTGTAAACAATCCATCCATTTACTTTTAGAGCATAGCAATTTTCAGCAATCATGTAATTTTTTTATTGATAAAGATTTTCACATACTGTCTACAAAGAAAATACAGCAGAAATATTAACAAAGTTCTTGAAAAACTACAATCTATTATTTCTAATAGATTTCGAGATATCGATTTTTGAATTCAGAGTTCTAATAGCGCGACCACTATCGAACACCCACTCAATTCCACGTATTTTTACCAAAAATGCAAGTGTTTCTACGTGCTTGCACTTAAAAAAAATTAAGCTATAGGGAAAATTACAACGACTCGGTAATAAATAAACAAATCAAGTATCACGAGACGTAATTAAATCGTGAAGCTGAACGCATGACGTACACCTTTCCCTAGAACTTTAAGTACTGACAGAGGTATTGATTGGGTCAACCGGTCAACTGTGACAAATCTGCTATATCCTCTTCCATGTCTCTTAGCGCTGTGCACAGTTTCTCGGTTTATTTCATACGTTTGGCAACGTGTTTACTGTCCTCTCTTTGTTCAGTACATTATAAACGCATTGTACTCTTCTTACATACGGAAATCTCGACCCAAGACTAACCTTTGCCAGCCCTTAGTATATAAATCCGTCATAGCGTCGTCTCTTGTTGTTTTTAACCAGTTTTGTTGGTTTATTTAAAAAATGACAGATCATATTTCAATATTATTGGTTTGATGGAACGGTGAACGACAAACGGACGCCGACGCGTATGAACTCGACTTAAAATTTTGAGAGTTGTCAAACTCTTGCCAAATTATAGATTATAATTTTGTGTCAAATTATGTCAAATAAAAATGATAAATATTTTGCATTTTGGACTATTATTACGTGTATTTCGTGTATTTTAAAATTTAAAGTGGAGGAAAATCGAAGGAAAATTAACTGTTGACAGACCATAATTTCGAGGTTCTGAATTTAAAAATTAGTGTTTTTGAAACAAGGTAGAAAATATGATGTGTCCTTAGAATACAGTCGAGAGTTGATATAAAAAATACTCATTTTTTAACAAGTATAACAACATACCTGTAATTTCCATTTCGTCTTCATAGAAAAGTCCGCTGCCATATGCAAGTCGTCTATTGGCTACCGCCGAGAACCCACATTTACACCTAACTTGCTCCTCATCTGAAGTACCATGATGTTGGGGAGAGAGCATTCCTCCATAGGGAGGCGGCTGCCCCATGCCGGGATAGGGACTGCTGGGCTGCGCACTAGCATGAATTTTGTCACTTTGTGAATTCAAGAGATAGATGCCAGCATCAGCCCCTCTGATGTTTCCGACAATCTGAAAATAAATATGTTATTTTCAGCCCATATTTCATTGTTAGAAATAAGAGAACTTTTCAAGCGAGTATCCCTAAGACATCTAACTTAGAGGAGACAAAACTATTCAAATTTTATCCCAATCACACACCGACTTCAACCAAAATCGATGATGACAAATTTCTGCGGATTTCGTTAGATCTACGGCTTGTGTTTTCAAATCAAAACATCATTTTTTTCATTTCCCAAAGCATTGAACTCTTATTTAGTAGACAAGGCTTTCTACGCCGTAAATGAATTATATTTTGAAAATCGAATTTGATCTTGTAAACACTGGTCTAATGTTTGCTATTGCTATATTTACTAATGACATTGAAATAAATTTATTTAGAGGTCATTGATATTTTACTATAAACTAACTAAATATTTTTAATACTATTTTTATTTTCTTGTTCTTTGACATTGTAAACATTTATAAATGTTTATTTTAAACAATAAGACTGACAATATTATTTGTATAATGTTTTGTATTATCTTTTGTTTGTGTACCTTGTTTTTTTACTTTGTTTGTTAGTTTACCTTTGTCTACAAATTGAAAAATTTTTTGACAATAAAGGTATTTATTTAGGTCGCGACCGTTGCAAGAATAGCGCCAAATAGTGTTTACATTGTCCTTATGGGCAATTTGCAATCTAAACTTGTTTCATTTATCTATGGGATTCATTCAATTTATGCTTAACAGAATGGCTTTGTAGTGTCTGTGAACGTTTGTGTTTTTCAACTAATATAGTATTTTTCTTTGCAAAAGAACTGTTTTAACTTTTTTAAATTATCTAAGATGGTTCTTAGAGGCATATGAGAGCGTCAAAATTAATAAATGTAAAGATAGTATGAACAGAGACTATGACCCAATTCCTTCAAGTTCTCTGTTCCTACTGCTCTAGTTGCGGTAACTAATTGTTACGCTCGGTTGGTTTTGACTTACTTGGCTAGTTTTTGCAACGCTCACTCAAAACCATCTGAGCGAGTACATAAACGCTCAATTCGTAGATATGAGTTTAGTTTTAATCATCTGCTGACGATGCTACTAACATGGTTAGCGAAAGTAAACCAGTGTAAAAGTCCAGTGGTAAAAGTAAAATTGTTTTGGTGTATTGTGGTGATTTAGTGTTTTATTTTGCTTATATAAAAGTATGATTGTAAACAAATAGTTTTACAAATGGATTGTTGTGTCTCCCCTTTATTTAGATGTCTTTGTAGTAACAACAATTTGCTATTTAACATTCGTATCTACCAACAAAAAAAAAAGTCAAAAAGTTATCTTCTTGTAAAAAACTATTTTGTTTCTAAAATTGATTTTCTCTATCTTCAAAATACAATAGTCCGACAACTTTCTTACCTTTCCATCTGCGTTACACACGCACAAAGTACAACTGTCGAAGTTATGATCCCTAAAGATGTTGAAGGCAGTATCAGTTAGGAGAATGTTGAGCACTAACGAACTTGCTTCTGGCGTTCGATGATTAGCTTGCGGCGTAGATACTGGCTCGACAGAATTCAGGTTTTTATTCAGATACGACGAGGCATTAGAGTTCGCTGGAGAAGGTAACTCGTATGGAGGTGGAGGAGGCCTAAAACCTATAAAAAATCGTTTTTATATGTCGAAAAGGTTAGGAATTTAGCAGGGTCAAGTGGTGAAAAATGAGATATTTTTCAAAACTTTTTGTTTTTACTTAGTTACATCCATAAACTTAAAATAAAATATAGACTACACTATTTACATCTAAACGCAGTCAAACAATCATTTTTGTACACGTATTTACATCTGGGTACAGTCGACCGCAGCCGACCGAGCCTTCCAAATCCAGCCTATGTTGTCACGTCTTTAATATTATGAATATTTTTTTTCTTATTATACACATATATTGAGGTATTAATACTGCATTTTAATAAAGTAGGTTTTAATATTACATTGATGTATTAAATAGTCCTTATACTACTAATATATTATACTACTAAATTATAAGTCGGATACTATTAAAAAAGGAAAAATTCTTTACAATATGGCAACACCGATTAGACACGAGGTTGCCTATTCATTCATTTATTATCTTGTAGTACGCATTGCACGTGTGTACTAAATCTTTGTTGCCGCTATGTCTCTGGCTCTATTATCGCATTTTCTTAGTTTGTAGTCCAAGGTACATTCAGGCTGAGAGCGTCGAGCGTCGCGTCGCGTTTGCGTCGCTTCCGCGTGTCTAAATGGAATCAATTCACTTTACTTAAATTAGACCGTTCAGGCAGACAGCGTCGCGTTTGGCGTTGCGCTAGCGTCCGCTGAGCGTCGGGGGTCGTTCAATGGGGCGGACGCGACGCCCTCAGACGAATGAACCTTTAGGAGGTTATTTTATTTACTTTTTCTACTCAAGAAATAATTATAACCCTGTTATTATACATAATGTTTTTATTAAAAATATATTCCGGTTTATTCTAAAACTATCTTCAGAATCTAAAATAACATACAAGAATTTTAAAATGATATTACATTATGAAACAACATTTTTTAATATACCGGGTGCGTCTCAAAAGGGGCTCACCCCTATAACTTTTTTATTTTTTCAGATACAAAATTGAGATTTGGTATGTTAATATATGACATAAATTAGGATTGATTGACGTATTCAATTGTTTTCTGCCACTTCCTGTTTCGCCGGAAATGACGACAACCTTTGATTTTTAAATGGTACCCTCGGTTTTTTTGTTGCTTTATTCGATAGAAAATGATACTCTGAATAGAATGACATATCATATGTCAACTTTTACATTTTCGAATATGGTTTATTAAAAATTGCAACATGCGATTCATAACGACAATTTGACTCGGAATCCAAGTGTGTGGTACCAAATTATTCGTAAAAAAATCTTTTTCCAAATATGCTAATGAGCCACCCTCGTTCCATTTAAAAATATTGAGATATGATTAAAAATATGATTTGGGCATCTTTTAACCAGCCAGGACAAGACACGAATACCATTAGACGATCAAATCTATTTTCCAAGGCTCCTAGATGAAAAATTAGTGTTTTTAACACAGAGGGCACTCTAGATTGAAATTTAAAATTCAATTTTGTTTTAAGCAAAAATGTCAAAAATTGATATATGATATGTCATTCTATTCAGAATGTCATTTTCTATCGAATGAAGTAAAAAAATACCGAGGGTGCCATGTAAAAAATCAAAAGTTGTAGTCATTTCAGGCTAAACCGAAAGTGACAGAAAACAATTGAATACGTCAATCAATCCTAATTTATGTCATATACTAACATACCAAATCTCGTTTTTTTATCTGTAAAAATAAAAAAGTTATAGGCATGAGCCACTTTTGAGACGCACCATTATAAAACATAGAATAAACATAAAATCGAGCATAAAATGAACAAAAAATCGAGAAAGTTAGAAAAATACAATTTTTACAAAATAAATCTGATTTTGCTATATCAGAATATATCCATCGAACTTGTAATCCATCTGTGTGCGTTTCAAATTTATCCCTCCAAAAAATAGCTGCTCATACCAACAGGACTTAATTTAAACGGGCATGCTTTTCTAGATCATGTACTGTAACCTATCTACGCACGCGATGACAGGAGTCGAACGCTTACTTCTTCATACTGATTTCACCCAAAAAAAGTTTGATAGTCATTAAACCTCAAAACCAGACAGACAATGGATTTGTAATTTCAGTTTTTCCATGATTCATCACACAAAGATTACACAAATTAAAAGGATGACCTCTTAACAATTGTTGTTAAATGTTCCTAACAAGAAAACTGACCGAATATAAGTTTTCAGTAGTTTTATTTAAATGCCTCACTTTTACACCATATGACCCTAAGTTATTCTTACCTGGAGGATGTAAAGGACTAGGTGGAAATACCCCCGGACTTTGATGTAGATTATTGGGCACAGAGGGCGTTGGCGTTCGATTTCTGTTGTTCATGTTATTGGTACTGTTGTGGTTGCTATTATTACTATTACTATTGTTATTTGTAGCGTTCTGTTGGCTGTGGTTTTTACTATTTTCTAGATGCTGTATCCAGGAAGGTTTGTAAACACAATTGCTAGGAAGTTGTACGGGTTGCATTTGGCTGGGCAGATTGTTCAATGGGGCATACTTGCTGCTGCCGACCATTTTACAAATGGCTGGTGGTTTAAAAACGAAACTCCAGTCTTCTAAAATATAAAGATTTTTATGAAAATACATTACAAAGGCAAACGTTACGTCACAAGGTTAGAGTATGATATTTATTATAATATTTTACATCTTTTCTAATACTTTAAATTTTGTTATCTCTCTGGGTTAATCGAAGGGTTGTTTTTTACCTTAACTTTAAAACCCCCTGTACAATAATTTCGTGAGCAAATTTTCCTAATACATTTTTTTTAAATGCCTTGGTTATTTTTTAATGAACTTCCCACCGCAATTTTTTTCAATTATCATTACTTTTTGTTGTTATTTATTTTGTTATTACTAAATTATTTTTGATTAGAAGACCAGGCTACTAGTAACATAGCAAGTTGCCGGACGAATTTACGTTTACCCGTTTTGCGTTCGTACTCGAGATTCACTGCCGGCTAGTCGGCTAGTCGGCTGGTCAGGCAGTACGCAGTTGCAGTTCTGCTTGGACGGGTCGGTCATGACAGACTAGGAATACGACTCGAGGAGTGCCGAGTATTTATTATTTTCATTTTAAGTGTTTACTTTCACTTAAGGTAACATCTAAAATGAAAATACTTAAATATTTATTATTTGAGTGTGTTTACAAGCCAAAACTAAAAATAAATAAGTTCTCTAAACCCAAAAAAAAACTCAAAAAGACCATCTTCTTGTGCTAGACAGAAACCTAGGCGGTCGTAAAATCCCCGTCTGACATTGGCTAACATATTAGGGCTAATAGTTTGGAAAGCCCCTCGTATTTTTATTTGAAGCTCATCCAGATTATTAGCCCTAATATGACCATACACTTTGGATTTTACATAACCCCGCAAAAATAAGTCATTGGGAGAAAGATCTGGTGATCTAGCGGGCCACAAAATAGTTCCATATCCACTAATTAAACGGTTGGGAAAAGTATTGTTCAAATATTCGTGAACAATAATATGGGCATTGTAGGCAGGACAACCACCTCAGCAATTTGATTACTTGAAAACGTGGGATTTTGATCCGCGTCAGCACAAATGAACACTTGCTTTAACTCCTGTTCTTCATTAATCAACACATCAGGCTTTTTGTGTTTTTGTGGGAACACGCACCCATGCGTTTCAAAATTATTAATAACTCTTGATACAGTAGGTAAAGATGGAATTGGCCTGTCTACAAAAGTTTGTGGAGAATTGTTTGTATATCCCGATAAGACCTATTTTGGAAATACCATTTTACAATTTGAATTTTCTCACGAACTTCGTAAACATCCATTATTTTACTTAAAAAATAAATTTTACACGAGAACTGTCGCGAGAATCTATGTATTCGTTTTGGCTATTAAAACACGAATAAATACAAATTCTGAAACATTCTTATCACATATCTACCTATTTTTATTTTATCGCATTTTTTCGCCTGCTTTTTATCCGGCGGACGGGTATACGCTAATTCGTCCGGTTCTGCCTATGTTACTACTACGGTGGTCAGGTCTGTATACCACTATGAACTGTTCAGTATGTTCGACAGTTCTGAACCTTATAGACCACATTTGGGACAGCAAACAAGGGAGGCAATACAAATATTAGGTTATTTTTAAAAACTTTTGCTTGTATACTTGGTTATTACAGTTATGTTCTCTTTAATATCGTTAGTTCTGTTATTGTTATTAAAGTTTATTACAACCTAGCCAACTTAAACGTTTTTTTTTTCTTAATTTAGTATAAAGCATCTAATGTAGTGTCTATATGACATTACGATTACGACAATAGTCACCAAAGCTACATCATTATGTTAAAAAAATATCAAAAAGTAATGGTAATTAATAAAATTACAAATTGTTGGTGGCAAGTTCACTTCACCCTGAAAAATTAACCAAAGCATGAGTTGACCTGAGACAAAAATCAAAATGCTCAGAGGGCATGGTTCTAAGCGAAAAATAATATTTTAGACAAATTTCTATATTCTATATTCTATAAACAAAACTATTCCACTCAAAAAATAGATTAGAATATTAAGCAAATGGAAATCTTGAGGTAAATTCAAATTCTGTATTGTCTTTTTAAATGATTCAGAAACTTCAGCTTCATTCAGAAACTCGCAATTAGTGGTTTCAATTACACTTTACACTTTTTAGTTTACGATCATTCACAATATCTAAAAAACACAATTAAAATTAATAGAATATCCTAGCAACAGCTTGTGTTAGTCAGTTGTATATGGATACAACTCTCTATGGAGAGAAAGCCTAATATTTAGCTTCTAAACAATCAACTTTTGATTTCTAACCCACAATTTCTCTTGACGGAAGATAATCAAAGGCCAAAATGACATTTCTCGCAAATTTTGAAGTATAATTAGTGGAAAAGTTAAAAGTTTGATAACTTTGTCTACTCATTGAAAATGTCTACCACTAATTTTGACGTTCCGAATGCTTACATTGAAATTAAAAGAACAAACTTCTACGCTAATAGAAACCACTAATTTATTCCACTAATTGCGAGGTTCTGAATGAAGCTTAATACTGAAATGACTTAGTACCAATTTGTTAGGCGAACAACAAACAAAACATACCTATATTCTCCTCTTGTGGGCTCCCCATCATCGGATAAATCTCCTGCTTGAGCCTAACTATAGTCAAATCAGTATAGTCAGGCTGTACCAAGTCCGATTGGCCGCAAGGTGACGCGATGGGGTTATGTTCCAAACTGGGCGGCGTGGGAAACATTTTGCTCAATTCGGGCGGCATGCCCACGTTGGGACAGCCGCCCAAATTCGTTGTTCCGTACCCGGTGGAAAGCCGTTTGGTGGTGTCGTCGTGGTGAAGTAAGTGGTTGGTAGTGGGCCCCGCAGATCCCGGAGGCGTCTGTATTTGAATCTGTGGAAAGCACTGTGATAAGGAAAAAACAATTTGTATTAAAAAGCGTGAAGGAGTAGTTAAATGAAGAATTGGGAAGTTTTCGCTCTGTATTTCACGCAGTTTCGATGTTGATCGCATTGAAACAATATTAAAATCTTGACTTTGTCATAATATTTAAGCAATTTAGTTTTTAATAGTGCAGTTATTGAAACGATAAATACTCAGGTACGATGTTTGTGTGATGTGACACTGTTTCAAGTTGTAAAAATTAAGTGAAAAAGAACCCGAACTGAGCGTCGCTTTATGTCGTGACTAATAAAATTGTCAAAAAAATGTTAACACGTAAAGGAGTGTATGGCCAAAGAAACTATATATCACATTTCAGAAATCTGCCTGAGGCTTAGCCCAATCCTGTCGTGTTAAGCCACCCCCAGAGTTTGCAGAGCTTCAACATTTCAATAAAATAACGAGCAATTTGTTACAAATCTTAAAAATAAATTTGTTTAAAAATATGCTACAATACGAATATAGTATTAAACCTTTATCTTTAATTTCCTTTTTCACTTGTGTAAAAATACCTAGCCAGTTTTACCTCAAACGTTAAATGCCAAACGTTTATTTTGCTACTTTTTCGGACTAGTGAAATGGACTCTTAATAAATTCTATTCTAATTTCTACCTCAGTTATTATTACTAACATAAAAATGACTAATTGTACCTCACCAAAAAAAATATAGAAAATAGCAAGATTTTTAAGCAAATTTACTGGATATATTCTTGTGTACTTTAAAAATACTTACCGCTTCATCACTGCTCGTATAATCCGAGTTGTCAAAGATTTGGTCTAAGTCCTTCAAAGAGGGCTGCAAACTTTCATTCACAAATAAATTTTCTACTCTTTTATCTTTTGGCTCCTCTTTGATGGGCGGTGTCCTAGTAAAACCGTCTATTTTACAATTCGAGTTGTCACCATCGTCTCCAAATTCGTAAGGATCTCCCGGCCGCTTAACGCCGTGGGGTTGCAATATCGATTTTGAATCTGGATCCATCTAAAAGAGCATCAACAAAATGTTAAATATAAACACCAACAGTCACAGTTAATTTAAGTTACTATAACTTCATAGCAAATGATGCAACTACAATCACAGACAAAATTAATAATATAAAATTAATAAAATTATATTAGTTAAAGACAGTAAATCTAAAAAATCAGATCCTGGCACACCAATACGATAATTTTTCGTGTGGAAATTGCCAGGTTATTAAACTAGTTACATCAAAAATAAAGATAAATTCCTTTCGTGAAAGTTCGACATCAGCTTGAAAAAAAGCAATGGAATTAATAAATGCCGATTCATACCATAAAAAGTTATGCATAATGTGTAATGTTTGATTATTTTCATGGCATACAGGGGGGACATTTAATAAACATTGCATATAAGATGGTTTAGAAGAACGTGACGAGCTGGTCTAGAAGAACGTGAGCTCTTCGAAATCATCAAGAAGAGGAAAAAAACACTCAAGAGATGCTACACAGATGCTTGCATAATTTCAGGAAGCGGACAGTAATATACAAGAAAAAATCGCTGATAGACCAATAGGAGATATCGTGATACACTCTGACAGCTTGGCCGCTTTAAGAGGCATCACAATGCAATCAGTGAGATCGAAAACTGTGATGGACTGCCGAGAAGCACTGTCCTGGCTGCGTCAAGGCGGAGCTACTCTGTGCTGGGTGCCAAGTCACAGCAATGTGGTAGGCAACCAAGAAGCAGACAGACTCGCCAAAGAGGGGGCTAGAGGAGAGGCCGTGGCAGATGACCCACCACTTGTAACCAACAAGGCCAAGCAGCAAGAGACGTGGTAACACCGTGAGGACTGCGCTACAGCTCGAAGACTGTGGCCAGTGGTGATAGCGAAAAGACAAAATAACTACTAGAGCACAAAAAGACATTAAGTACCTAGTACGCATAATTGTAGGTGTCATCACTGGAAACTGCTCCACGGGGATAAACCTCGTGAGATGGAAGATTTATAGCAACAACAACATGGAAGATTTATAGCATAGAATGAGGAGAGAAAGAAGAAACCATAGAGCACCTGCTGGGCCACTGCCCGGCACTGGAATACCGACGCTTTAAAACTTTAGGGCAAGGTTTTTTGGAGGGACTAGAGGAAGCAGCAGAAGCGAACCTCAGCGACATCGGAAACTTTGCAAAAAGCTGGAAGTACTTTAACGCACAGAAAGAATGAGAGGAAGGTTTGGTACGACAATACAGGAGTATCGCAATGTGCACAAGGCCTCCGAGTGAGGGATCAAACATGATCCCAAACCCCAGCAACCTAACCTAAGGTATCTATTCTAATATCATTGAAGTAAAATATTGATAAAAATGACGATAAATATTAGTTGCAATTCTAAATATCAATAACATCAGCGGTAAACAAAATAAAGCTGGAATAAATTGACGAGACAAGTCTACCAAATTGTAGTACATATCCGTTTTCTGAAAAAAGAAATGAATTGCCATAAATTATCCCCTACAACAAATAAGAGTTTGGCAAACGAAAGACTGCATGACAGTGAGAGTTGTCTGTCATTTTAATACACAGGTAAATTGGATTTACCGTCATTTTTTGAACGTCGTTTTTCGCAATCTTCCCTGGCTCGTTGGACAGCGTTTATACAAAACTTTTAAGATAACCTTACATAAACATTAATTTTATATTATGTTATATCAAATCGCAGAGGCATCATTTTGAGACTCGTAAAATTGTACTCACATTAAAAGAAGTCTCTTGCTTAATATTTATATTACTAATATCATTGTTTTGACTAATGCCGTTGTGATGATACAGGGTGTATATATCCATTTTCCTATTTATCCTACTGTCTTTTCCGTCGGGTTTGAACCTTTTTACTGGATGGTTCAGCCATGCATTTTGAGTCGAGTAATCATATAACATGTCAAGGGTGTGTTCTTCTTCACCTAATGCCACTTCATACTCTAATGAATTAAAAAGACCAAGTTAAACATGTACCGGCTGAACTATTTATAATTAGTTTACCTTTGCTGCTCAAGAACGGCCTTTTTAAGGCTGTCAATCCCCCATTACCCTTCTCAGCGTCGTCTATCGATCTTCTGTCGTTGGTTTTGGCGTCTTGGTCAGTTTTAATACATGATGGACTACTGTTTGGACTTTCTATACTTTTTGGTGGCATCCGAACGCTATCTGGTGGCGTATGGGTTTTATCTACGCCTACTAACGGTGACTGATCAGATGTAGGTGGGTTAGGTGACAATGTTGGCATTGTAGCATCAGCTGGTGGAACCTGTTATAATATATAAACGTTAGTTGATACTCTGTGCATATCTAGCAAAAACACATAAATTAGTGAATACATTAGACTACTTCTTGGTCGTTCATTCAATGATTTGTGTTCATTTTTGAACGTCATCTGTCAAAATTGTTCCTTTACACTTCATTACTTTTTTCTGACTGTGTTAAAAATTTATATTAAAAAGTTAAATTACACACTTTGCACGAGAGACTAAAGTGTTACAATTAGGGTTATTAGTGTTTCCAATTTTCGGGATCGGTATCCCGTTTTGAAATCCCGGGATAAGAACCTATTATCTCGGGATCCCGGGATTGAGTATCAGAATGAGAAATTTAATCCAAAGTTGCTACATACCGATTTGGTCATTTTAGAAGTGTCGTTTGGGTTTTAACATGTAAGACAGTGATGTAGGCAGCTTAATGGAAAATCAAGTGTATTAAAAAGAGATAAAAGTTGGGTTGATACATTTCTTCTATGCAGTATTGTCGGATTTTGCATCAAAATTTCAAACCGCACAAGTAGGCGTTTATGGAAAATGTTGCATCTAGGGTTGGAACGTTATTTTTCACAATTAGTTACTTATTTTACTACAGATGTAATAGATTATATTTAGCTTAGATATATTATTTTCATTTCAGTAGTATACATAATAGTTTTTAAAATAGTTTTTTTTCTACACAAACGTTCCTACAAATGTTAAACCGGCAACACTGTATACCGCTTTTGATTGTGTCTCTCTATCTGTCAACTGATCATTTATATTATTCTCTGTCTTACACGTGAAAATCCAGACCGCACTTCGAAAATGACCAAATCGGTATGTATATCAAAAAGAAAATGAGACAAGAGCTTTATTAAAATAGACAAAACAAAGTAACATGCATATTTATACATAAAAAATACAGTTCTTGTTGAAAAAAATAGAGGAAACCTAATAACTTTTAAATATTAACGTTCCGCTTAGTATAAATAAAATATGATCTTTGAAAGACTAAAGTTTATAAAAAGTCGAATCATTTTAGATTAGGCATTAAAATTTTTCGAGATTTTCGGGGATAAACATGCACCGCGGGATTTGGGGTATGGAAACCCTACTTACCATATACATTTATATTTTATAAAAAATATAAATTGTATATTTTTTCAAAATACTTGCATCATGTTAACAAATGATCACTAAAAAACAGTACTCACTGAAGCAGGTTGTGAGTGAGGACCTGGCAATGGAGATGGAGCAACTGATGCAGGACTACCAACTGAATTAACTGTCAAACTTTCCTGAGTCCTCGGATACGAAGGCGGACCTCCTTGCGGCGTGTAAGAACCTCCAAGACATGTTCTGAAAAAGATATTTAAATTACTACTAGCAAAGCCTATGGGTTAGTTAAGCTTGTCTCTGGTCAATTAATTCCTTGTTTTACAGCTATTTACATTAATTCAATTTTATTTGTCAAAAAAACTTAACTTGAGAAAAAATAGTTTAAAAATACTTTGTTAAAGTCTTTTAAAAACCTTCTAACCCAAGTGCATAAAACATGTAACGGTTAAAAAGTTACCTGCAATGTAATTTCAAAAAAATCACAAACACTATTATGTATTTGCATCTAGTGTCAAATTGTTTTGTTTAAAACATGCTTGATAAGTAAATAATGAATGTGACGAAAAATGTATTAGTACATGATTTCATTAAAAAAAATAAAAGGAAATTTTATATAAAAAATAAAATACATCCTTCTTCTATCTCAGTTTTATAAATTTGAATATAAATATAATATATCAATAATAGAAATGTATTTTTTTCAAATTTTATACAAACAACACAAACCTCAATCAAATCTTGACAGCAAAAAAATCCTTTTACATACAAAATAAAATATTATTTTTTACAAATAATATTAAGATGTTAATGTAATGAATATGGTTGCCTGCCTCCAAGTGTGTGTAAAAATATGAAAAATTATTCTTATTATTCCCAAAGCCAAAAAAAAAGCGTGAAAATTAAAAGTCTTTTAGTTAAAAAACATACCCATAAAACCTTTACCACATAACACCTTTTTTCAGATTTTGATGTAGCAAAGTAGATAACTAATATCACTAATATAGTGGTATCAGATAAAGAAAAATTATATAAAACATAGTTTATATTAGTTTTTTGTGTTCTGATTAATAATAGCTTCCCCCTATGCATTGTTTATTATTCTATTTATATCCTGGCATGAATAATTAACTTTGTTGTAACATTTTTCTGATATTAAAAATATGGCAACAACCCTGAAATATATATTATTAATTCAAAGATTAATTAATTAGGTAAAGGCTATAATACGTCTCTTCACAAAAGGTACTGAGTTAAAATACACAGTACACTAAAGATACATAATGAAATAAAAAAAAATATCTGCTGAATTATGATCTTAAATGAAAAAAAAAACAATATGTATGTAACCAAAAGTAATTCAAAATAAAGGAAAAGCTATTATTGGAATAAAAAAATACACAAATAGTAATTATTATTATCCATTGTTTGTCCATGAATTGAATTAAAAATAGAAAAAAGTCAGCATAATACAGGGTGAGTTTCCTACGATGTTCTCTATGGCTATTTCGGAAACTACTGGAAATAAAGAGTCGGTTAAATGGGGAAAGAATTGCAATTTTCCTGGGGTCATAATAAAATTGTCCCTAATTCCATTATAAGCTATTTTAGACAAAAAGTTTTCAGATAAAATTTGTAGATAATCACACCCTTATTGAGACTGTGTTCTCCGTTTTTTTCTAAAGCCTGTCATTTTTGACATATGACACAAACATATGTTTTTTTAAATGGAAACCAAAGTTGGCCATGACTTCATAAAAAACGCCTCTTTTAAGCTTTATAGCGATATAAGCTATAATATGTTTTTTTTTTCAAAAAATTACTGAGTTATAGCCAATTCTTATCATTTTTAAACAATTTCATTTAGTTAGCCATGGAAACAAGTTCAATCGCCGTTGCTCTCAGAACTGTGAAGCTGTAATATTCAAACTTTGTAAATTAAAATAAACAAAAATTGTAAATATGAATTTTTGAAATGAAGAAAACGTGTAGATACTTGCGCATCAATAGAGCGGTTCCAACATGACCTCCCCCCATAATGAAAGAAATGTTATTATTCATATCTAATTATGCAAACTCAGGGATAGGATGCTAGGGATAGGGATAGGACATGTGCTTCCTCAATCACCTGACCTATCCATTTTAGATTTTTATGCGGTATGGTTAACAATAAGGTTTACAAAAGAACTTATGAATTAAGAGAGGCGCGGCGCGGCGGTACGAGAGAAGTTTAATTAAGTCGACCAGTCCTTCTGTGAGAATAGGTAGTAATTCAGTTTTAAAAAGATGCAAAACGATGGCGGATTTTTTGAACATTTTCTAAAATAACTTAAAGTGTATGTAGTGATATTATTTCTTTAAGTAGTTTGTGTAATGTAAATTGTAAGGAACCGTTTAGTAATATATTCTGAGTTTTTATAAGTTATAAATCATAACAGAATAAGAATACCACCGCAATCTAATTGAAATTAGTCAAGAGAGATAAGAATTGGCTATAACTAAATTTAACTTTTCTAACATGTCTTGAAAACCGTTCTCTAAAAAACGTTACACTCACCGGTCAACGTATCCTCGAAAATGAATGGTCAAGAAAAGTTGAACCAATAATCCTACACGCTTTTCTTCATTTGAAAAATTCATATTTACAATTTTTGCTTATTTTAAAGACGATTAAACCTTATTGTTTCCATGGCTAACTAAGTGAAATTGTTAAAAAATGATACGAATTGGCGCTTTTTATGAAGTCATGACCAACTATGGTTTCCATTTAAAAAAACATGTTTGTGTCATATGCCAAAAATGACGGGCTTTAGAAAAAAAAATGGAGGGCACAGTCTCATTAAGGATGTGATTATCTACAACTTTTATCTGTAAACTTTTTGTCTAAAATAGCTTATAATGGAAGTCCCTAATTCCATTATAAGCTAATAAAAATAATTTTTAAAATAGCCGAAATTTGTTATTTTCGAAATATCTAGTAAGCCATGAGAACTTTTTCAAAAATCTGAAAGGCGCATATTTATGACCCCAGAAAATTGCAATTCTTTCCCCATTTAACCGACTCTTTATTTCCAGTAGTTTCCGAAATAGCCATAGAGAACATCGTAGGAAACTCACCCTGTATATATGGTAAAATTTAGCCTGTAGACAAAAATATTTGCTACACATTTTATCTGCAGGGTGCGATAATATAAAAAAAACATAAAAACTGATTGGTTTTATATAACGGTTAAAAGAATGAAAAGTATAACTATTATCTGCTTTCATTTTTAAGAAATATGTAAAAATATAAAAATATCTTTTTTTTGTTGGTAAGAGTTGTTTAGAGAGAGATTAGCCTTATTAAAGCTCACTTAAAGTTCTAAATCAATTTTTTTAGGTCAGTAAAATCGTGTCCTCTCCAAACAAAGAATCCGAGACGAGAGGTTTTCATAATGTTGGATCACCCTGTATTAGTTGATGAAAGATTACTTTAACTTATTGAAACATTCTTCATTAAAAAAGGAATTTCTATAAACAATATTTCCTTGTAAATTTCAATCCATGAACAAAATAAAAACAATATAAACTATGATTAACTGGTCGTCTTAAGAAAAAAAATAGCACAACATTCACAAGAACAGTTCGATTGCATATTCGATGTAATCTTGTGCAGTGAGTAATAGAAAAAAAGTACAAATAACGATAGATTCCGATGTTACACAGCGTAGCGACAATGCCTCTGCGACGATTACATCAAAACCCATTGGAAACTTTCCACCGCCCCCACAGTTAACAATATTAGACAGTAGCACAATCTGCAGAGTGCGAGGCTTGTCGACCAACCTTGAGTCTGAGGGTTGGGGTTGGCTAGGTGCCTCCCCCGTCGCCCCTTGGGGCTGGAGGGGCGGTTCCGCCCCGGCGTTCAGCGATCGCCTGTGAAACGGAATACGGTTTTTTAGGAGTTTTTGAGGCTTCGGCGAACTGCCCGAACAAGTTGCAGAACTGGAACTTAGGTTGGCGTGAGATTGGGGCCACTTGGAGTTAGACGAGTAAAGATATCTTCTTGGCCTGGTTTCGGAAAAATTAAAAGATAAACAAAAATAACATAAAACTTATATAAGGATAGCTTTATGAAAAAAAAGTTAAAGAAAATTTAGTAACAAATAATAAATACAAATTAAAATAGTCTATTAAAAAATTTACCTAACACCAAAAAGAAACAAGAGATATTAATGTAAATATACTTTAGATTTTTATAAGTGTCAAAAATAATTAATTACTATCCTATAGTCTGTCTAACAAAAGAGTAGATGAGAGGAACATTTGTTTTCTGTCATTTTAATTCGAATGTAGTTTGTATTTTCTCAGTTTTTGGATTTCAAATCGTCTCTTTCTTCAATATGCGTACCTTTTAATGCAGTAACACAGACTCAAGTTACATTCAAAACATGACACTAAATGTAATTTTGAATCAAAATAATAGAGAGCAACTCTGTCATATATTTTTCGTCGGACTATACTGTTCAATATGAAATAAACGTTATTGTAGAGAGAGCATTGGTTTGTGAGAACTATATGTATTTGATAGCAAGTTATGACTTATTTACTTCCTTATTAGAGTCTAGTCAAAATCGTCCGAATTATGTAAAAAAAGTATCTTATAATTAATTATAAAAATAGCAAACCAAACCAAACCAAATCAAATTACAAAAATTGTTTTCTTCTATTATACAAATAACTTAATAACATATGATATCTGGAATGTTTTATATTTATTTATGCAATTACAGTAATCAGTGTTTGTAGGTACGTTTTTCTTTAAAACGAAATAAACATCAAATATTTTATTTTGATTTCAAAATTCTAACTGCAAATATTCATAATACCCAGTTTGTGTAATAAACATTTTCAAAACTTTTGGTTTTACCACAATGTTATAGGTTAGTTTTTGAAATGAAACTTCTTTAAGCGCGTTGGGAGTAAAAATTCAAAGCCGTGACACACGAGCTAGCGTCAGAAAAAGTGATAACGATCGAAGGTTACGACGGAGCGTCGTAACTTGGGCCCTATGTGAGCTAGGGGGATGAAATTCGTAATGTATCATCTTTTCATGATATTTTGACGATGTTTTGCGCACTATGAAACTCCATCATCAATGGCGAAAAATCGTCCGATTCAATGGGTCTTTTGAGCGTCATAACTCGGGCCTTATGTGAGCTAGGGGGCTGGAATGTAGATGGGGTTCATGATATTTTGACGACGTTTCGTGAACTACGAAACCCCATCATCAATGAATCATATCAAAAAATCGTCCGTTTTAAATAAAATTTGGTACGTCGATAGGTTGAACTAAGGCCAACTTGACCGTGTATGACACGTGTCACTATGACAGTTAGTTTTGACGAAAGAAATGTCAAAATTTGAAGTCGTCCGATCGCGACCAAATTTGGTGGGTAAACTATGCGAGCGACAGTGCACACGGTCCCACCGAGCAAAGTTAGATACAACGTTTCGTTTACATCTTCCTTAGGGTGGGACTAACGATTTGATATTGAAGAAAAATGTGGGTCGATTTCAGCATAATTGGGGACGGGCTACAGGATGACGCCCTCGACGTTTCGAACCGATGCCTATAAGTTGTCGAAATCAGGATTTTTCTTAATTATGGGTCGATTGGAACCAAACTAGGCACATGGTACCCGAATGGAGTCATCAGACGGACAGACAGACAAACGGAAGTAAGAAGTTTCACTTCAAATATGCACACATACAATTTTTTTTACATAACAAATAGTTGTCTACACATAAAAAATAGTTTTTAATCGTAACAAATAATTTTTTTGTGTTATAAATAGTTTTATACGCGTAAAATAAAAAATCAATAAAATAGTTTTTTACGTGTAACAAATAGTTTTTAGACAATTTTAGACATTTGATTCACTTTCACAAAATTTGTATTAAAATATCAATATTTTTGATAAATACGTGGACTCTCGTTGATAAATAAACGTCGCGTCACTACGTATTTCTAAAGCTTGATTTTCATGCGTCCGTTATCCGACGATACGATGATACGATATTAGTTTTATTGGTTGAATTTAAAGGCTTCGATTGGTTAACCGTTTCTAACGGATGCATGAAAATCAAGCTTAAGCCGTAGGCTGTCCTTACCACTTTTTCAATAGTTATCACACACACACTTTTCGTCATCACTAGCTCGTGTGTCACGACCTTGAATTTTTACTCCCAGCGAGCGTAAAGAAGTTTCACTTCAAGAAAACTGAATTGAGTTGTAGCCATTTGTAAAACTACATAAAGCTAATAACCCACCTGGTCATTTTAAACCAAATTTGAATTTTAGTCTATGATTTTAGTAAGACAAAGAAGAGAGTAAGATGACTTACGTCACTGTTATGAGCAGCCTATAGACGCAACGATATACAGGGTTGCCAATTTCTTTGTGCGGTAGACATAGTTAAAAATTAGCGCGTTTAATCATTATAGTGGAATTAAGAAGTCACAGAAATAATATATCCAGCGAGTTAAAACTACAGAAAATATAATTTACCTGTGAATTAGAAGGACAGACAACTACCGTTACTGTCATATATCTTCTCGTTAGACAGGCCTTAGAATGTTAATTAGAACTTAGCAAAATAATTAAAGTACAACATTTCAGCACAAAGTTATTTTTATTTTTCTCCCTTTATCTTGTTTGATTGGTGTTAGGCCAAAATTACCAAATTATTAAAACACTACACTATGAAACTCTTCAAACACTCCTTTACATCCACTTACTTTAAACAGGTACAGCAAGTCTTCCTTGTAGGTTCCACAAAGTCCCAGTTCCCACCCCCGTCCTCCTTGGAGCCCTTCTCGTTCGCGCACAAGCAGTACTGCCACGTCCTCTCCGCCAGTACCTGAGCGGCCGACTGCTCCCTGGACATGCTGTTGATGTTCTCCACCGAAACGGTGTGGGGTCCCGGTTGAGGTACTTTGCTGTTGATCTGCACCGGCGATGGTGGAGGTGTGGGTACGGTGATAGGCAAACAGGTGTCGTTTGCGCTGACGGGTGTCTTAAGTAACCTAAAAAGTTTATTTATTATTATTTATATCAAGTACAAAGAGTTTACACAATGAGATGAACCGCCGATTTAAAAATAAACATATTTCTTTAAATTCAAAACATTCATTATTAAGACACTCTCAAATAAAATTATTGATTTTTAAAATATTATTCGCAAAACCAGAGAGAGGGAAATCAGGCGACAAACAGAGATAATGGTTGTTAAGAGATAGCTTTTTAGACTACCATTCGAGGACGCACTGACCTTTGGTTCGTAAGTTTTGCGACAAAGAATGTTATTAAAGGTAAAGTAAATGTTTTCCCATTAATTAACTAGTGTTAACTAAAGAATATTAGATTCTTAGAATATTGTGATTCTGTTCAAAAGATGTTCTTTATTTATTTGATCTGACAAAGATAATATATAACATGTGTATGTATTTAATGGAATCGATTATGTTGTGAATAATTTCAGTTTAAAAGTAATCTTAATACAATCTCTACTGTCCATTCGTGCCGATGTTTGTGGTTCAGTGAGAGAATAAGGGCCTTTTTGAGTGTACTAACAATTTTCGACCGTGCATGATGGGCGAATATCTTAGCTCGCAAAAAAGCAAACAAAAACAATAAATAGAATAAGTCATAGAATAACTTATAATCTAAAGACTTTAGCTTCTAGTTCCGCAATAAGGTCATTAGTACCTACGGGTGGGGACCCAAAAATACTCGTCAGTTTTGGACAATATAAATGTGGCATGTTTTGAATGTATTAAACTACAAACCTTATTATGAAGACAGTTTTTATATTACTATTATCTCTTTTATTAAAGTTCAGGACAGCATAGTTATATTCTCTGGAATAATGATCAAGGTTTTCTCTCCCGTGCTTATATCTAGGCAGAGTACGGCACTCCTTTCATTTCATTTAATAAAATAAGTAGGGCTATTTACAAATTTAGCGTTTCATTTTCATAACCTATTCTCCTCAAATTTCCCAAAATATTGCTTCTGTCGGGCGCATCCGAGGTCACACATCACAAATCACAATAAAAATATTTTTAACACAACGTAAGTTCCTTTACTTCATTTAAATTATTTGTTATACAGTTGGCCAAAATATTACCTCTTCAACTTTGTTGACGACCCTGGGTTGTTAGACTATAAGTCAGGAGATATAAAAAAAACGGACAAGTGCGAGTACGGACTGAAACTCGGAGTGTAGATGGAGTCGATAGATTGGACCAAGGCCAACTTAACCGTGTACGACACGGGTCACTGTGACAGGTAGTTTTGACGAAAGGAACGTCAAAAGTTGATGTCCTATCTCGACCAAATTTGGTAGGTAGGCTATGTGTGGCACACAGTCCTACCCTGCAAAGTTGGATAAGACGTTTCGTTTACATCTTCATCAGGGTTGGACTAAGGATTGAAGAAAAATGTGGGTCGATTTCGACATAGTTGAGGACGGGCTACAGGATGACGCCCTCGTATGCAATCGCCTCTCATCGCCAGGATTTTTCTTAATTATGGGTCTATTGAAGCCAAACTCGGCACGTAGATAGAGGTACTTGAATGGAGTACTCAGACGGACAGAGGGACAGACAGACAGACGTAAGGAGAAGTTTCACTTCAAATATGCACACATAGTGCACACACAATTTTTTTCGTAAAAACAAATATATTTTTATAAAAAAAGTCGATATTACTTTTTAAACAGTAACAGCCCTAGGCCCCTGGGCTCAACTCTAGGCTCTTCTCAGGATTAATTGCTAGTTACGCTAATAAAGGCGATGCACAAAAAGGCATTTTCACTCCGAATAGAACATGCTATTTTTTTTCAAACGTAACAAATTATTTTTTAAACAATTTCTAGCGTTGCAAATAATATAAAAAGATTTAAAGTAATACGAGTTGTAAGTTGTAAGTCGAGAAACTATTGTTACCATAGACTTAAAATAAAATATAGACTACACTATTTACATCTACACGCGGTTAAACAATCATTTTTGTACACATGTTTACTTCTGGGTACACTCAACCGCAGCCGACCAAACCTTCCTCGTCCAGCCTATGTTGTCACGTCTTTAATATTATTAATATTTTTTTACTTATTATACACATATATTGAGATATTAATACTGCATTTTAATAAAGTAGGTTTTAATATTCCATAGATGTATTAAATAGTCCTTATACTACTTTATTATAAGTCGAATACTATGTAAAAAGGATAAATCCTTTACAATACGGCAACACCGATTAGAGGCGAGGTCGCCTATTCATTCTTCTATTTTTGTAGTACGCGTCGCACGTGTGTAGTAAAGCATTGTTGCCGCTACTTCCCTCTAGCTGAATTATTGCATTTTCTTAGTTTGCAGTCCTTAAATGTTTATTTTATTTACTTTTTGTATTCAAGAACTATAAAATATGGTTCGCCAGTGCCAAATTTGCAAGAAATTTGACTTATTTGATCCATTTGAGTCTCGAAACGACTTTCGACCGGTAGGCAACTCTCAATTTACCATTGGGAGGCAGTGGCGTTGTTGTAGAAAGACGCTTATTTAGATAATATTTTAGTAAAATGTAAAATCTGAATTTTTTCTATTACATAATCATTTATACATAATCAGTTTTTGTAACAAAATTATAATTATAATAATTATAACCCTTTTATTATACAAGATAAATTATATTAGGCATCGGTTAAAAAATAATTCATGTTTTTATTAAAAATATATTCCAGTTTATCCTAAAACTATCTTCAGAATCTAAAATAACATACAAGAATTTTAAAATGATACTACATTATGAAACAATATATTTTAATATACCGGGTGCGTCTCAAAAGTCACCCCTATGACTTTCTATTATTTTCTCATATAAAAAAAAACAGATTTGGATGTTAGTATATGACATAAATTAGGGTTGACTGACGCATTCAATTGTTTTCGGTCATTTCCTGTTTCACCGGAAATGACTAAAACTTTTGATTTTTAAACCTCGGTATATTGCTACTTTATTCGATAGAAAATGATACTCTGAATAGAATGACATATCATATGTCAACTTTTGACATTGTCGCTTAAAAACAAATCGTATTATAAATTTCAATCCAGGGTGCTACGGCGCTGTTAAAAACACTAAGTTTTAATCAAGGAGCATTGGAAAAGTAGTTTTGATCGTCTAATGTTTTTCGTGTCTTGTCTAGGCCGGTTAAAAGATGCACAAATCGTATTTTTAATCATATGTCAATTTTTTTAAATGGAACAAGGGTGACTGATTAGCATATTTCGAAAAAGCATTTTTTTATGAATATATTGATACTTGGTATTTCGAGTCAAATTGTCGTTATGAACCGCGTGTTACAATTTCAATTAAACCATATGCGAAAATGTCAAAAGTTGACATATGATATGTTAACTAGGGTGCAATTTAAAAATCAGGAGTTATAGTCATTTCCGGTGAAACAGGAAGTGACCAAAAACAATTGAATGCGTCAATCAATCCTAATTTATGTCATATACTAACATACCAAATCTTGTTTTTTTATTAGAAAAAATAAAAAAATTAATTATAATAAAGACAGTACCGGGTTAAATAAATGTAGTTTTCATTTTATCCACTTCCTAAAAGCTTGCTTTAATGAAACAGATCTCTGTTTTCTCTAATTTACATAATATGACTTACACTTACCAGAAAAAAAAATTACAACAATCATGAAGTTTTTTTCTCTTTCCATGTCCCCGATTCTACTATATCTATAGAATAGATCCTGTTTTGATTAATATTAGGGTTGTAAATGTTTGACTAAAATTAATAATTAATTTATTAATTTCAAAAATTAAATAGGTAATTTCGATTATTAAATTTTTTTCTATAACATGTATTTTATTATTTTTATCGCTTTTGGACGTTTTTTTTCTAAACTTTTATTTAAAAAACCTCTCCTAAATCTTAATAAAATATAAAAAAGTTAAATACGATATATTTTTAATTGAATTATAGCTTCAGGTACGGAGAGTTCAGGTGTACTGAGGAACGACAGACAGTGTTGCATTCCTCGTCAGAGTCGTCAGGGAACGACCGTTACGACGGAGACAACCTATCTATCGCTCGTGTCGCACTCGTTAGAGCCTAAAACAATAACACAACAATAACAAGACATTGTCTGACCGCATCTTCCAGCTATTTATGAATGAGATGCTCAGTCTATATTTTATTTTAAGTCTATGATTGTTACATTCATGAATCTGAAATTTTATTTCAGTTTAATAATATATTTTCGTAATTTTTTGCTCAGGCGTAAAATGAGTAAACAGTTTCTATTGTCAATCCCGTCGCAAAAATTAATAATTTTGTGTCGTTTGAAAAAAAAAACATTTTTTTTGTATCAACTAAATAATTTACCTTTCATTAGTAGTCGCATTGTTCCCACTGCCGCTCCCCAATAGACCTAAACTACTCAGTACATTGTGGTTTCCTGTATCATCCAAATCTGTCACCATAACGTAGCATGAGGGGTACCTGTAGCAATATCCCAACAATATATTAGTATAAAATTTGATCTCAAAAATATGATATTTTTCAAAATATTAATTCAACAAGTCTTAAAATACTTCAAACTTAACCTTTTTATATACAAAATAATAATGAGTTATAATTATATCAGATCTTACTATACCAAATCATGTATAGAAAAGATATTTATTAATGTCTGTCCAACGAGTCAGGGGGGATTTCGGTAAACTACATCCAAAAAATGACAGAAAATGCAATGTGCCTATGAATTAAAATGACAGACAATTGATACTATCAAAGAACCTCTCGTTGAATAGACATTAGTTATGATTTTCTTGAAAGTACTCGTAAAAATATGTACACAATCCATGAATGAACTAAAAAAATGACTTAATGTTCGAAATTAATTGTATTGACAATAGATTAAGTCGCATAATATTAGATTATAAATTACGCGACCTTGAAATTAATTCTAATATTGTAAGTTAATGAACAAACGGGCTGTAAAATCTGAATGTTTTTATTTTTAATATTTTGCGTGAAAAAATAACTGATATTTTGTTTTGAAAGAAAAGTATTTAGTTAACCAAGAATATGATATCAATGCAGTGCAATATCTTTAATCGGAACACAACTTAAAAACTTGTAATTCTCTGCTATTTGTAATACAGTTTGCCTATGAAACTTTTCTAGTAAAATAATATGATGCGTTGGAATCATATTCTATGATGCCCAAGCCACAGATTAACTCACAAACGTGGCACTTTTTTCATCTTGCTAATAAACACCGCTGTGATCTCGGACCCAAAGCTCGGACCTTTAATAGGGCTATGGTGTTGTCAGACTTCGTTTTTTTCCTCGAATGCATTGTTGCCCTTTTGTAAAAAAGCAATACGGAGCAAGGCGCAAAACACAAAGCAAGAGGAGACCATGCTAGGTAATTGACAAGTATATAGAGGAACGTTCCGATTATAGAGGTAGCCTCATGACTATAACATCGCAATTGGGGTGTCCCGACTAACGATTGAATTATAAAAACGATAATTGAATGTTCCGACTAACGTGTGTTCCGAATAAGTTGGTTGCACTGTATATCAAACAATGAATTCTTAGTTAATGTTATAAGGGTAATGAATTACATAATATAAATTTACCTCATCTTTACTCCACCTACAATAACTTCCACCACATTACTATCAGTAAGCGATGAGCTCTTGTCCAAAGGATAAAAATGACTCCAATCCTCCAAAAACTTGGCTGTCGACTCAGGCGATCGAAAACACTGCCCGGTGAGCGTACCAGCTAGTCCAAAAGGCGCCAAAATCACTAAAATAAAACAAATGTAAGTACAAATATCATAACTGTTTTTTTCCCACAATATCAAATACTTGAACTTTATAGAGTACTTTTAAGCTAAACTCAGATGCTTTCAGTTATTTAAAATTAACTAATTTTGCCAAAATGTTTCTTGAAAGTTTATATGATCGAAAAAATAAGTTTAAATTGACTTAGTACTGTTGTACTGTAATAATTAAGATTTCCATATGTCCGGATTTATTTGTCCAGATTTCAAAGCTCACTTCTCCGGAACTTCTAAAAACTCTAGTATGGAAACCCTAATTGTAATGAGCACATCATTTTGCATCATCAATTTAAAACTTGTTAAATTCAATCATTTAATATAAAATATGCAAGCATGCATGTTCGTATATTGTATGCCGAAATGATCTTATATAAAATTATATTATAGAAAAAAATCATATTTATTCCTCACGCATATGAATCCTTAGGCAGCTATATCCACATATAGTTTACTTTGACAAGAAATCGTTACAATAAGAATAGTCAACGTGGTGGCACATTCAGCTGGAACACAAAAAACTGTGGTGATAGAAACATTCCAAAAACATAGTTGATTTCAGCAAGTAAAAGTCAAATATAAAAGACGCAAGCATGTGGGATACTATTTTCAAGTCCATAGACTTTGCTATTTTTCTGTGGTTGGATTACACTTGTTGATACATGTAAGACCTTGACAATTTTTGTTATTATTAATTAAGGATAACACTTAAATTTTGATTTGGTGCAATATAAAAATTAACGTGTTTGTTAAATCCATACATGGGAAGTTTGATAGTATCAAGGTTACATGTACATATGATAAGGTGATCCAACTATACATAATTACACTAACTTACACTTAATTTACAGTATTTACACTAACTTAATAAGGTAAGCCTAATTTTATACTAACTAATAGTCGTTACGATAATGCTTTAATTCAAATTTTTGTTTTGTTACGATTTCTATAATAAAATAATAATAAATACATATACAGGGTGGTCCAAACTGTATTCCGGAAACTCCGTCAGCATATTCTGCAGATAAAGTAAAAAAGTTCGTATAAATGTATGGTCCTAAAATGCTTAGTTTAGGAGATACAGGGTCTGGAAGTTTCATTTTTATTTCGATTATAATAATTTCTGAGACAACGTCAATATTCGGATGATAATTGGTGTCTGGAAGTTTTCTTGACATGAGAAATTTGATTTTGATGTCAATATGACTCCTACTAGTAGAGGGCGCCACCTACAAATTTTTTAACTGTTTTGAAGAGTAATAACTTTTCGTCCGTACCTGTATACTTATACTGAGTATAAAAAATAAAAATTTATAAATACGTGAAAAAGGTATCTTGGTAAAAATCGCTACGAGTAATGGGTTTCGAGATATTTGGAATCGAAATTATCAATACCTGTCATTATTGACATAAATTAAATATGTTGACTAAATAGTTATTAGACTGAAATCATAAATTTGAATTTTTTTTGTGCCAAAAGTTTAACAGAAACTGTTTTATCGTCATTTTTTGCACAAAAATTTATGATTAATTTAAAAAAATAAACATATCCCATTATTGATTATTTCAGTGAAATAACTATCTACTCAACGTGTTTATTTTTCGTCAATAATGACATGTATGGTCTATTTCCATTCTAGATATCTTAAGAACGGTTGCTCGTAGCGATTTTTTTTACGTAAAAAGTCACAGAGATGTATATTTTTTTCCTCGGTAGTTTTATACAGGTACGGACAAAAAGTTATTACGCTTCAAAACAGTTAAAACCTTTGAATAAGAAGGCTAAGGAAGGAGCATAATGCTATCCATGTATTCATGGACGGTGGGCGGAAAAAGCGCCATAAAAGCACTCTAGGGTGGGGATCCTTGACAGTTCTGTTTGACGATTCATTTGACACATTTGAATTTGATTTGAAATTGTGTGGATTTGTCAGTCTTTACGGAGCTTATTTTATGTTATTTATTATTTATTCTACTACTGATAGTTGTATAAAGGTAGTAAATCTAGATGGAAATTGTGGCAGAACTTAAATTAACAGTGACACTATCGCGATTTATCGAAAAAGACTCTAAAATAGTTGGTTGTGTAGCGTGCGGTAGATCTCGACAAAAATCGAGTGAAATAATGGAACAACTTTTCGTTAGTAAGTGACTATATAATATACATACGTGTAGTAAACCGATCATTTATGAAATTCACTTAAATTAACTAAATTATATATTTTTCTTGCATTTTAGCTTTTATTTATTACTTGTCAAAGATCAGATGTCAAAGAATTTTGCTACGTTAATTTGACTTACCTGCTTCAGTAGCGTATCAAATGTTTGTGTTAATAAATACTTATTATAACTTGTCTATTTTTATTAGAATTATATATTTTTAAAACAATTTTAATAACTACCAACATTTATTCACAACGTAAAATAAAACAACAAATTATTGAGTTTACCCCACGTCTACCCTACATCATAGTTTTACATTTTTTAAATAAAATTAGAACGGCACTGATAAACCGGAATTTAAGTCGGCCATATTTGAGGCCCATCGCGGTGTACCTAAGATTTTTGATGTGCTCCTTCCTTAGTCTTCTTATTCAAAGGTTAAAACACATGTAGGTGGCGCCCTCTACGTGAAATTATTTGGAAAAAATCGGAATAAAAATGAAACTTCTACACCCTGTATCTGTGAAACTAAGCATGTACGGACATACATTTATATGAACTTTTTTACTTATTTTTATCTGCAGAATATGCTGCCGAAGTGCTGCAAAAATGGTGATATATGAGCTAGAGTTAGTTATAATAAAAACAGATTAATCAATGAAGATATCATGTACTACACTAATACAATACAGCTTTATACCCTTTGTCCTTAACCAAGCTTAATAAAGAGACATGCAATATCTCCATCAAATTATTGTTTCAAGATCGGTTATAATTTTGACATTTGTATTGTCCAGCTTATAATTTGATAAAATAATTATATAAATTTCATATGTAGAGGTAATGTTTTAAATCATAATGTAAAAACATAATTTTAGAATTAGAATAGAATTTACATAGTAATATTGTGTACTATAAATATATAAAGTCATCTAGTTTTACATACATATATAGTACTTAACACAGTAAAAAATTACATTATAATAGATTCTTATTCAAAGATAATAGACCTTGTCAAGGTTAATTCATAAATTTATCAGTTTTTAATATTATTAAGATAATAAGTAATGTTATGAATTTTTAGATTGCCTAGTTGTTTCTGATGATAAGTTTTGTTATGTCTTGAGTAAACTATATCATATTGTGTAAGTTACATGAAATTTTCTTTCTTGATTTTTTTCCTTAATATTTCTCCGTAAAGTACTGAAAAAATCAGCTTCCGCTGCATACATGTAACATGTAACCTAATAAAAATCAAATTATTTTCTAACGGTATTTGCTAGAAGTACCCGAGGAAGTACCGTTCATGGACGACATTCGTTATTGTACATTTTTACGATATACGTTATATTTATACTTATACTGAAACATTGGACACAATATTTTAAAATATTGCACTCTTTATTCTTATATGCTATTATACAAGGCCTAGTGATTAAAAGATAATCACAAATATATCAAATATTGCAAATTTTATACTCCATATCCATATTCTTGTTTCACCAATTTCTATTTAACTAAAATTAATGTTTGAATACTTCATAACTTTAACAAGAATTAATAATAATCATATATGAACAATGTAATAACAAATAAATATTCATGAGTATTTTTGTGACAGAATAAGGTATAATAAATCTAGAGTCCCCCTATTAACATTAAAAATAAAAAATTGCTATATAGATTATAAAATATCAATGTTCTATAAACATCAGATTTCTAGGGTATGTTCGTAAACAGTTCTATGACTAAACTCTGCAAAAGTAGGTTACAAGTCATAATCTACTCCAGGTTTTATTAGCAATACTTGAAAACTTTTCAATAACTTCGATATTATTGTTAGTGTTGTTATAAAACGATAATAATTTTGAAGTTAGTTGAAGGATAGCCAGGACAGTTCTTAAATAGAACGAGTATAGTATACATATTGGCCTGGGAATTAACCTCTAAAGAAAGTCCTTTGATATAAAAGTATATTTTATTGACATTGGGTCAATCAATAATTTTCCCAATCAGCTCGATATATTGATGATGTTACCAGTATTACCCATCAAGCAATACTATTGTTATATTAATCAATTAAGGCCGCGTAAACAAACATAACATATACAATTTTATATACTAATTTATTATAATAACATTAAATAATAAACATATTGTAATTATATTCCTGCAGATTGAGTGAAAAGTTTTGTTCTTAAATATCTAGTTTACATATTATTATAAACGCGTGTTCAAATATTAATTTTGTGGAATATATGTATATCAACATAAAACTAGATGTAATTAACGAAATATTACAGTAACAACAGCTGTTTTAGAAACGTCTAGGTTTACTTATTTCACTAAGATTTATGAAAAAAAGTCCTTTGCCTCGGGTACAGATACCGCCACGTTTTGGAAATAGCTCAAAACGAGGCGACAGGAAACCTTAAAAAAATCCCCCCATGCCTTCCACACAAGTAGTTATCAGGCGCTTTTAAGAGTCGAATTTGAAAACACTGAATGTAAAAAAATGTGAAAATCATGAAAACAACCAATGTCGTACATAAACGGATCTTGTATTACTGTTTTCGAAGATACAAAAAGACCCACTTATTCTACTTAACCTAACCTAACCTACTTAGCTTTATTGAATGTACCACCAAACCCCCCATTCCCCACCTTACCTTTGATGCCTCCCGAACTGGCCTGGGCCTGCTGCATGTGCCACCGGGTGAGCCGCCTCACCGGCGGGTGCTGCCTCACGTCCACGCTGGCGCACACCGAGCTCTCGCCGTGCACGAAGAAGGCGAACGAGAAGGAGAGGTGGCCGGCGGTAGGTGGCGCCGCCGAGGGGGCCTCATAAGGGGGCGAGGGAGCCCCGGGAGGGGCGGAAGGCGAGTCCGGGTCGGAGGGGTCGTAACGTGGTGCCGGGTAGTCGTAAGGCTGGACGAACCACTTGCCTAGTCGGATGAAGTCCCTGGAAATCAAGTAAAGATCAGTTCAGTTGTTGTTTAGAAAAGATATAGAATTCCGCGGAGTTCCGTCAGATTGGGGAGTATTAGCCTGTATTGGCAACGCCGCTTTTAGGATGTGATATGATACCCAAAAATACTATGGTAGAGACTATATATATAAATACATTTACACTGATCTGCAATTAAAAATATTGAGTGATTGTCAAATTCCAATGGTGTAAATTTTCTAAGCGAATTACGTCTGGCTATTTTTGTACATATTTATATTGATATCCATTATGAATATCATGAACTTGTATGAATTATTAATTAGGTAGTTAGGTTACTACTATTTTTTATTTTTTCATTTTATTATAATTTGTAAAACTATGTACTATTGTCTATTGTAGAAATAGAGACTTTTCGATTTTTTTTTTGAAATTCTAAACACATTTTCTAACGAATATGTTTTAGTGATTAGAGAACAACCTCTTAACAACCACCGAAAAAGAAAACGATTTATTGTAGCTAAATTTCTAAAATAATTTACAAATTACTAACCTTGACAATAAACATCTTTCGATCAGGTTGTGAAGAGCTTTGAAGAGCAAAGACCTGCATTCGTATGACAAACCACTTTCCCAAGAACCTTGTTCGCAATCTGTAAAGAAAAAAAATTAACATTAATAAATTTATAACATAAATATATTATAATATATCAGCTTTCATTTTCCATAATTACATGAAACATATTATCTTTTGACTTTGCACGTTTTACTAAAGATATTTTTTTATTAAAATTTATGTTAAATTTTACTAAAAAACTCTTATCAAGAAAGTATTCGGATTGCATATAAATCTAAATTAAATATTAACTTGCTCAACAGCGGCTGGTTGAGACACGATTATGATTTTCACAAGTAAGCTTTTTGATATTTATTTGATCAACAAATATTTGTGCTTTAAAAACTGCAGCAAATGTTACAAAACGATTGTATCTTTGTGGTGTTCGACTCGAAATATTTAAAAGCAAAGTCAAATTCGTAAATATTTATAAAAAATACATATATCAATTTTGCATTGCGTGTGGGGTAGAAAATTCAGGAAATAAGTTTTATATTTTCTTTAAAGAGTTTAAGAGATATTCCCGACTGTTACTTTTTATATTGTCCCCCTGTATATAATACTCTTCCTGAAGCAAACATGAAATAGCGCATTAAAAATTGACCAAAAAATAGTTCCTGTTGAACAAAGCATTCCATGGCTCAACTTTTGTTTAGATGAAATCAGTTATGTAAAAAATATTTGTTTATTCAGTAAGTTGGAAGCCTTTTGAAATAGTATATCACAAAAAAATTTCTGCGGAAATGCATGCTTTTTCAGTTATTCAACTTTAAAATAGCTGAAATCAGGGCTACTTGCGTTTATCTGAAATCAGTTAAGTAAAAAATATTTGTTTATTTAGTATTGGAATGCATCATTTTCCGTTTTTCAACTTTAGAATTGCTGAAATCAGAGCTACTTTAGCTGAAATCATTGACAGGGGTCTAATATCAAAAGCAGCAAACTCCACCATTCCTTCACTCCGACTCCCCAACATGTATGGTCCTATAATTAAATTTGCACTTGAAATTGATCTGAACCAAAAGTTTACAACAAAGTTTAAAAACTATAACCTTCGTTGCGTTGCAAACTTTTAGTTCAGTATCAATTTCAAGTACAAATTTAATTATAGGACCGTATATTGGGAGTTTGCTGCTTTTGATATTGGACTTCTGATGTAAGAAATATTTGATTGTTTAGTATTTGGAAGCCTTTCCAAATAGAAAGTCACGAAAAATATTCTGTGGAAATACATAATTTTCAGTTTTTCAACTTTAGAATAGCTGAAACCAGTTTCATTAAAACACCGTTTCTGTTTTTCATTCTAGAGATTTTTCTAGACACGCAAAAAACTTTTAGACAATTCTAGTTTTTACAGTTGAGGATTGGAACCTTTGGTGTTACACAGCAAAATAAAAACACTAAATCACCACAATACACCAAAACACTTTTACTTTTACACTGGACGCGCGTTTCGCTAACTATGTTAGCATCATCAGTAGATGATTATAAACTAAAGTACAATCTACAAGCTGAGCGTTTATATACTCGCTCTGTGGGCACCGAGTGGGCGTGGCAAAATTTAGCCAACCGAGTCAGAGCCCACTGAGCGTAACAGGTAGATTTCCGCCACTAGAGTAGTAGGAACAAAGAATTTGAAGGAATTGGACCGTTGTCTCTGTTCATACTATCTATACATTTATTAATTCTGATGCTTTCATATGCATCTAATTGCCTGTAATATTAATAAGTAATTGATAGTATGAACAGAGACAACGGTCCAATTCCTTCAAGTTCTTTGTTCCTACTACCAGAGGCGCAACTAGGAGGGGGCCAGAGGGGGCTTAGCCCCCCCCAGATGTCCAGTGCGTGTCGTATAAATCTGGCTTTAACCTCACATTAATCTTATCTTATAGTGACCTAAGCCCCCCCAAAAGACTTAAGCCCCCCTAAAAGTATATGTCTAGTTGCGTTATAATGTCTTGTTGTCTACTTGTAGATTGTACTTTAGTTTATAATCATCTGCTGATGATGCTACCATGGTTAGCGAAACGCGCGTCCAGTGTAAAAGTAAAAGTGTTTTGGTGTATTGTCAAAGACTACAAAGACGAGACAGTGGGAGAGAGAAACGATTTTAGAAAAAGACAGAGCGGGTCGCACTTTAAAGGGACAATTTCTATGAATTTTGATGCAATTACAATATTGCCAAGTATAAAACAGTTAAATGAATAGAGTGAAATATATTGTGATGTAAACCTGGTTATAATAAATCAATTTTTCTGGATTCTATTTTTGTATCACATACACTAAAAAATCTCTAAAATAATAGGGTGCATGTAGAAAGTTGACATTGTCGCAAATTTAACTTACAATAATCTTAAAGAACTGGGATATGTAAATAATGACTGTGTGTCTCTTCGAACCAATAAACTATTATCTATCTACATATTTACTTAAATAAGTGAAAATTGTTTGTTATCAATCATTTCTAAAATTAGACATGTTTTTCAGCAAAGTACATAAAAAATACTATTTCTATTTTCAGCTTTAACTCTCCTATCAGAAACAGTGAAAATATTTAAGCTTGATTTTCATGCGTCCGTTGTCCGACGATATGATGATACGATAATTATTTTATTGATTGAATTTAAAGACTTCAATTGGTTAGAAAATTAGACAGTTTTTAAATTTATTGCATTTTCATGCTTCCCTCATCGGATGTACGATTTGCTTGTGATTGGTGTCATTTTATATTTTCATTTCCGTAACGATTTCGCTGTTTTACTTATAGTCTAAGAGCTAGCAACGTTTTTGAGAGAGAATTTTAAGAAAGCTATTCTTTAATGTATCTTTTGTTATGCTCTCCTGAACAGAGTGCGGACTGTCTGGCTGCCGGTAGACGTTGCGTTTACTACTGCGCATCATATCTGTATTCAACATCTGTTCACTACTGCGCATCACAAATTCGCGCTATATTTCAGTAACTAAGGAAGCTAGGACAAACATGTGCAGCATATTTAGTTTCATAAAAAAGTAGCAAAGTAATGTGAAACTCGCATCATTGTATCTCTACTCATAAACGAGAAATAGCATAAAACACACAAAAATGGGATACCCTGTACAGATGTGATGCGCAGTAGTGAACCGCAGTAGTCTACCGGCACCCAGACGGCCCGCACTTTGGCCAGGAGAGCATAACAAAAGATATATTAAAGAACCAGTTTTTTCAAAATTCTCGTTTTTCCGACGTTGTTAGCTCTTGTACTATTATATTTTTATTAAGGTTAGATTAAATTTGTCAAAAAAGTGTCAAAACGTCCGTTATTGTACGATCATTCTCCGTTGACGACGAGTAAAAAAATTACGGATGAAAAGTGGTGCGAAAACGCTATGACCAATCAGAGCGCCGCACTGTGGTCAATTTTTAAAAATTAACAGGAAAATATTAAAAAATCTGATGAGGCTAAGCGGCGTCAAAAACTCCATAAGTAGGCTTTGAAGTAGTGGCTAAGAATATTTCATTAACAAATATGTCAAAGGTCGTTGCGAATTTACTGTTATTTTGATTGAAAATGTAGTATAGTTGACAAACTAAACTAAATAATCTTGTTATTTGCACATGAATAAAGTTTTTAATTTGGGTATTCCGTGCAAAAAGTTATATGTCATTAATACTATCTAAAATGGAAAGAGCAATTGTTGGTGGTAAGTTTTTTGGCATTAATGTTCTTCTGTTGAGTATTAAATATGAGTAAATAATTTTGATATGGTTAGATTTTTTTTTAAATTATTAGAATATACATTTTTTTAATGAACTAGCAGAAACAAGTCTTATGAGGTTTCAGTTTTAAATAAAGTTAAGTTGATAGTTAAACCATTAGACAACTTTACCAAACCTACAAATTTACCGTCCTAGTCCGTCAGTTTTTTGGGACGCCAGGTCCAGGCCATTTTTTAGGACGTATTGCCCAGGTTAAACGCTTGGAGGTTGTTGACTTTTTAAAAGCAACTGTTAGCAAAATCTGTAAGACCCATAGTATTATTCTTAGAATATGATAATTTTTAAATATCTAACATATGCAAATGATCGCGAACAAAATCTATTTAAAATAAAAAATAACGAAACTTTTCCAGGTTTTTAATTATTATACACCCTGTATACGACCTGTTCTTATTAATTATATTATTAATGTAATTTTATGATTCCTAACATATAAAATCGGATATAGTTATTAATCAAAGTTAAGTAATTTTCACTAATATTTTTTTCCGGCTAATTTGACAAAATTGACCACAGTGCGCCGTCGGACCATCGCGTCAACGGATAACGTACGCATGAAAATCAAGCTTTAGTCGTAAAACCAGGACATCACAAAATTTAAACATCCTACAAGGTATATTAAAAGTATTCATGTGAAAACGTATTAATTAAAAATCTAGGTTAATCAGCAGCAAAATGAACAAACTGGCTTCCCATCCGATTAAGCAAACCCTCCGGTCAAGCCCCTGACCCACATTTTTTATCTGTTAACAGAGGGAATCAAAGGGTAAATATTACCCGATAACCGATTATCCCCTAAAAGGGTTCCTGAAATTACCCTACCGGTCAAGGACCGGATGTGATTTAAAATTCACTTCAGTCGGGGAGTGGATTGAATGTTGTTTTCCATATTTTAGCAGTAGGTAAGTAGATTAAAAAAGTTCGGGAGTTATGTTTCTAGTTCTAACTATAATTAAAAGTTTGATTTATTTGTTTTTTGATTTAGGTTACGTTCATTTATTCATATTTTTAATCTAATTTTGCATTATTATTAAAAGATAAAATGAATTTAAGTAAATTTCGAACTTAATTATATGAAGGTCTGTCTCGATAAAGTAAATACGTACTTACTAGGGTTCAGAACCGGGAAACGCCGGTACCGAAAGTACCGGGAATTCCATGTTCTTTTGAGACATCAAAGAACCGGGACTCGAAATTATTAAGGAGTTTTCTAGGTTGGTTGATGTTTGACGTAATTTTTAAGCTACCTTTGTGTTTTCTTTTTTTTCGCTTGTGTT